TGGTGTGGTTGTCCCTGAGAAGGCTTTAGGCAGTAAGGTGCCCTCCAGTCTCCACAAGTCAGATTCCTCCCCTTTCACTGTAACTGGAAAGTCTCTCAGCTTGGCTCCATTAACATGCATCCCTGAGTCTCCAACATCCTTAAGAAAAACCTTTCCAGGAATGGCTACAAACCCCCAGAGCTACAAGTATAAGGGGCATCATGGGTTAGAAATTGGGTGGTAGGTAAAGTCTTCCTGTGAATGGAGTCTACAGGAGGAGGAAATCAACTCTTTGATGTAGAAAGGCAAACAAAATCATAGCTTTCTCAAATTAGCTAAAGACTTGGTAAAACTAAAATTTGATCAACTCTCTAGTTTGCATAAAGTTTCTTTAATGGGTGGTCTCCTTACCTATCCATTATGTGGTGCATGAGGCCTCCTACAAGGAGGCCCTGCCTCTTGCCCCCAGACTTTCTGAGGTTCTTAGAGCTAGAAGCTCTTTTTCTACTAATCATTTTTTCCCTACTCTTTTTGGATGGATTGTGCTCTCTCTTGCCCCCAGGCATCTGCAGTGGCAAAGCTCCTCTGCTTGGAAAGCCAGTCTCTATCCCTTCTTACCTCATCCCACATTTCAGATTACAGCTTTTGCATGGAAGTTACAATGACTTCAATTAACCTGACTCTTCAACCTTTTCCTAACTGGATTAGAGGCCCCAGCAGTGTGCTCTCATAAACACTGTGCATTTCTTGGATGATAGCGCTTCATTTTCTAAAGGATATCAAGGTCTATTCCTCTCCACACCTTCAATGTCATCAAAAACTGAGAAGTTCTGCATGGAGACCTACAATTACTGCCCAAGTTCTAAGTGCATTGGGCTGTTGGACACTTTTTCCACAAGATCTTTCAATGTCCTGAGGAACAGAGTTTGGGAAACAATTGACCCAAAGATACCAAAATGGATGGGCCAATTGATTTTCAAAAGTCCTATTTAGCAGGGACTATTTTCTCCTACTACAAGGAAACGGAACTTTCTGTGCCCAAATTTGTCAAAATTACATTTGGGGCAGAGTAAACAAAATTCCAAATGACTTTATCTTCTTAAAGCACAATCATAAAACCTTCATCTTCAGTCAGTTACCATAGAGACTGTCAATTTAACTTGTTATTTTACTAGGTGTTTCTGGTTTAACTACCTCTACATGGTTCATCTATATAATAAGCTATTATTGGATAGAGATAATACATCTTTTGAGAAATTCTATCAACACTTCGTATAAAGATGTGTAATCTCATGCCCATCATGTCTAGGGTTATAGATTAAATTACGGCTCTCCTAAGAGATGTTGGGCTCCTAACCTCCAGATCCTCTGGATGTGACTTTATTTGGAGATAGGCTTTATAGAGGCAATCAAGTTAAAACGAGGTAACTAGGATGAGCTCTAATCCAATATGGGTGTGTCCTTCTAAAATGGGGAAATACACAGACAGCCATCTATGGCCAAGGAGAGAGGTTAGGACAGATCCTTCCCATGTAGTCCTGAGAGGGAGCCAACCCTGCCAACACCTAAATTTTGAATTTCCAGCTTCCAGAACTGTAAGACACTAAATTGTGTTGTTTAACAAAAGCTGTGGTACTTTATTCTAGTAACCCTAGCAAACGAATACAGTAATCCTGCCTTATCTTTGGTTTTGTTTTCTGAGGTTTCAGTTACCATGCTCTGTAGTACAGTAAGGTATTTTGAGAGAGAGGGAGAGACCACATTCACATAACTCTTACTACAGTATATTGTTACAATTTTACAATTGTAAAATAAATAACACGGTTTTATTATTAATATCTTACTGAGGCTAATTTATAAATTAAACTTTATCCCAGTTATATCTGTATGGGATAAAATGTGCATTCAGTGCTATATAGGTACAGTGTAGGGTTCAGTTCTTATAGGGTTCAGTGCTATCTGTGGTTTCTGGCATCCACTGGGGGGTTCTCGGACTGTATCCTCATGGATAAGGGAGGGACTACTATACATTTATTGATCACAAGTGAGAACTACGTTGGGTGCTGCTTCTCTGGTGGCCTATGTTCAGTATTCTGCATGGCGGTCTCTACTATAATAATGATCGCTGGTAAAGAGCACTGTGTTTATGCACTGCTCTAGGAGTTTTACATGTAGTACTGGTCTGATCCTCACAATATTCCTGTAACATTACTAGTGTTAGTCTCATTTTATGGATGAGACCATCAAGTAATGGAGGAGTTCAGTAACCTGCCCCAGGTCACAGCAGTTAATACAGAGTAGGTCCAAAGTCTGAGCTCAGCAGTCATGGCTTTGATTGCAGATGTGTAATTCCAGCAATACTCTACTTATCGTGTTGCCAGGGTGTGGGGTTTATGAACAGGAAGGATTTAGGAAAAGAAGGGCAAGGTGATTTGTGGATTGGGTACGTTGTACAGAAGATCCTCATCAGCTTGGTGCTCTCTGTCGCCCCCTGTTGACACAAGGAGACAGGACCTAGTCTGACTTGGAAATAACGCCGCCTCGGTGTGGGGGACCCGTTCCTGGGGTGAAGGCCGGGTATGGAACCGGAGTATCGTTCCCTGCTGTCTTCAGGGAAGCATTATTTCTAGAGGAGTTAGGGGAAGAAGGCTAGCTGCTCGATGAGGGAAGAGGTTCTTGCTGTTCCCTGTGCAGTCCTCTCCTATGGCCCGCGTGGCCACGCTGCGCAGCTTTGGGAAGCCGTGGGCGTCCGCTTAGGCTTAAAAATAAGTCCCGTCCCCCCCCCACCCACCCACACCGCGCCCCGGTGGTTCAGGCCTGTAATGCCTGCACGCTGGGAAGTTGGCCCGAGGATCCCTTGAGCTCAGGAATTCAACAGCAGCTTGAGCAAGAGCACGACCCAGTGGCTACTAAAAATAGAAAAAAATTAGCAGGGGGTGTTCTGGGGGCACCTGTAGTCCAAGCTACTCAGGAGGCTGAGGTGGGAGGATTGCTTTATCCCAGGAGTTTGAGACCAGCCTGGGCAAGAGTAAGACCCCATCTCTACTAAAAATAGAAAAACTAGGGGCCTTGTGTCAAGTGCCTACATTCCCAGGTACGCTGGAGGCTGAGGCAGGAGCATCACTTGAGCCTGGAGTTTGAGGTTGTTGTGAGCTAGGACACTCTAGCCTGGGCAATAGAGCGAGACTCTTGTCTCCATAAGAAAGGGAAAGAAATCAGGCTTGCTTCCTGCTTTTAGAAAAAACACCTCCTTCACTGGATGGATTGCTACGTCTTCCCTTTCCCAGGTCCAAAATGGATCTTAGAACCTTGGCAGCTGCAATTTCAGGAAGGGCAAAATACCGTCTTTTTTTTTTTTTTTTTTTTGAGACAGAGCCTCAAGCTATCCCCCTGGGCAGAGTGCCGTGGCATCACAGGTCACAGCAACCTCCAACTCCTGGGCTCAAGCGAGTCTCTTGCCTCCGCCTCCCAAGTAGCTGGGACCACAGGCGCCCGCCACAACGCCCGGCTATTTTTTGGTTGCAGCCGTCATTGTTGTTAGGCGGGTCCAGGCTGGGGATTCGAACCCGCCACCTTAGGTGTATGTGGCTGGTGCCTTAGCCGCTTGAGCTATAGGCGCCGAGCCAAAATACCGTCTTAAGCTATGGAATTCTCATCAGCACTGTCCATATCTCAGCCAGGGATGTGGATGTGTGGAAATTAGTACCTCACGGCTGGGAATCATCCTCAGGCATCACCCAGTCAGTGCTGCTTCTCATTTGAAGGTAAGAATAGACATTTGACATTGCAAGGTGGTGCAGTGGATCTATTGGTATCTCCTGCCCCCTCCACCCCACCACCACCATGTGCATTCATCCCCCAGCTCCTTAGGTGTTTGCTATTGACCTGCCCTAGTCTGCAGATAATTGCCTGGGCCAGCAGGCATCCACCTCCCTTGGGAGCTTATTCCCCACCTCCCCACTCCCTAATGCACCCCCTGTAGTCATTGACTGGCAGTGAGAGGGTACAGAAGATCAGCCCCCTTGATCCTGGAAGGAACCAACTCTGTAGTAAAATTGAAGCCCCCTTTGAGATGAGGGTGAAACTTCTGCTAAGATCTGCTTTCTTCCTCTGTCCTATCTACCTGCTTACCTCATTCCCTTTTTCCTGAGAGTAGTCTCTCATAGAAATACTGAGATAAGAATCCCCGTCTCAGGCTCTGCTTTTAGGAAGTCTGACTTAGTAAGTCTGGCTGAATAAATTGATGAGGACCCAAGATCTTTTCTTGGCAAGTAGACATTGTCTGTACATTTTCTTCAGCTTTGCACTGTTAACTGTACTTACATTGTACTGTCAATTCACTTGCACTGAAATTAAGGATGTCCATTTAGGCAAGTATCAGCATCATGGGTATGCAATTATGATGAGCTAATTGACATGGACAAATATGGATTTTTCTGGCTCTAGTAAAAAAAACATGGCAGAACTTACTTCATGCCATTTAAAGTAAGTTCTTTATTTTGGAGGCCCTTCAGTTGTTCTGTCTCTATTGGAGCTGCAATAGCCAGTGGTCATTTCATTTGCTGTATTTCTTGAGGAACAGGATCCATAGCATCTTAGCTCATCTTTGCATTCTCCATATTGTGAATTATAGATGTTTACTATCTTTGAAGGATTTAGTTGAATCAGCTCCCTTAAAAATATTTTTCTTGGGTGGCACCTGTGGCTCAAAAGAGTAGGGCGCCAGCCCCATTTGCTGGAGGTGGTGGATTCAAACCCAGCCCCAGCCAAAAACTGCAAAAACTGGGAAGTTTAGAAGATAAACTTTTGAAGATTAATTTGAAAATTATATCTAGGCTTTTTAAACAAAATTGCTGACTACATCCAACACAGTAATTTAAATATTTGTTCAAAAGAGCTTATTAACATGAGTTATTTTGAACTTGGGTAGCTTTATCTTATCCACTGATGACCATTGCTGTGATGCATGAAGGTACATACTTCCCCGCCCCAGAATGTCACAGAAAACAACCGACCACACATTTTGAGGTGCAGATAGCTTGCTTTATTTTGTTGTTACTATCTCCAGGAGGTCCAACAATTAGAACTAACAATTGAATTGATACCTGCATGAAAGGAACTACCTCAAATTGACACTTTGGGCAGTTAGTAATATTATTCTTGTTTTTAATTTAACAACAGCATTATTTTGTTGTTCTTTCTTGTTTGCTGTGGCTCATTGCTTAGGTGCCCTGGTTTTTTAAGTGTAATTTAAATTTAGAGCTACCACACAAAGGCATTGGCTGCACCCCAGGACCTCCAAGAGCTGGCACTGCTCTGGCATAGGAATACTTGAATAACTTGGTTCAATGAAGGGATGGCCAGGAGATGTTACTTTTCCAAGTTATCCAGGCACTCTCTGTGTCAGAGACAGTGTAAAATGGGCGAACAAAGTGTTGGCCGTTACACTTTGCCCTGGTAATATTTAAGTCATGTTAATTTTGAGTGTGACATCATCAGAGGCAATGTAAGACGTTAAAGTGTTGCTTACAGGAGGGTAAATGCAAACATCACCAATGCCTTACATTTCTGATTCAATAGGTATTGGTGCACATATCAGGTGACGTGCACAGTATTCTCATCTTTTAGGTGGACAGGACATCTTCAGTGGGGAATTTCTCAACCCACTGAGGCAGACTTAGACATCAACAGTATGTTGAGGCACAAAGATTGATTAAGTGTTGAGCAGGGTATTCGTTCCATAAGAAACTTTCTCCTACCAACAATTAGTTTCAAAAGTTACATTGTAAAATGTCATAAAATAAATGGTACAAAACTTTATAACCGTTAATCCGGCTATATACAGTATGTACATGTCACTTGCAAATGTATAATATTCTTAGGTCAACAGTTATGAAAAGATTGAAGTGAATATTTTTGAACTTTGACTCATTTAGGTTGATACAAAACTACTTTTAAAAAATATTTACAGATCAGAAAGATTAGTCCATGTGAATTGTTTGTGGAAGGTTAAGAGTGAATGTTGAGTATAAGAGCACAGTTGTGTATTCGACCCTCTTAAATGGATCGAATGTGTATATTCACAGTGGCAGAGTCAGACCCAAATTCATTCCCTAAACTAAGGGTATAAAGTCCACCATCTTGTTTCTGTACGTCCATGATGATGAGCGTTGTCAGGTCATCTGTGTTTTCAATGTGGAATCTTCCCTGTTGTTCTTGATTTTGAATGTTTCTTCCACCACAGGACCAGGTTATTTGTGGGGTAGGCTCACCCGTGAAAGCACAGGCTACTGTTAGAACTTTGCCTTCATCAATGCTGATATCCGAGGGAAGAGCTTCAATTTTAGGTGGAACTCCTTTATAGAACAACAAAAAAGTCTTAGTGTCACTGAAAAACATAAAGATTTGCTTTCTACCGAATTATATGTACTAAAGACTACACCATGCTACTTGGCTTGTATATCTCTACCAGTAATTTTATGCTCACCTCTGACGCCTGCTTTAAGCATTCTACTAGTTGAGCTTTCCAGTTGTGTCATGCTAGATTTTCCCATAAAACTGCTGGAACTCATTTCTACAAAGGACTCTTGCATGGAGGACATGCTTTGGGCAGACATGCTTGCAAATTTCATTTCAGTCATGCTGCTAGCACTGCTGCTGCTGAAACTGCTGAAGGAGGCCTCCTGCTTAGAGGCAGACATTTGGACTGACTGAGACGAGAAGCTTCCTTGCAAGCTTGTATCACCACTTGTCCTCAATACTACCTCTCTGGAAGGTTCTTCAACTAGAGCTGTGGAGCATAGCAGATACACAGTGAACATCAATGACAGCCGGTTAATTGGTGACATCTGACACTGACTTACAGAAATGGAAACTGAAACACACACATGGAAACGTAACCCAAACAGTTTGCTGTTGAAGCATAAGCAAATACATATATACATACATTTGTCAAGAGCTAGCTTAATGTCTTCAAGAAACGAATCCTTGTATTTCTATCATTACATTACATGCAGGTGCTAGGAACCACGAGGAGAAAAGTCGTTAGTCATATAGCAAGTAATCGACACATTGTGCATTCTGAAAAGAAATGTTATAGGGAAGTTGGTAGCTGTACTTTGACATTGAATTTATCCGGGTTTCTGTTCAGCTGTAAAGAAACTTTGACCATAAGGATGAATTCACACAGATGCCTGTTCTCTCTTACACGTGCAGTTGAGTTTTCTGTGCTCAGAAGAGACAGATGAAAAAAAAAAACCACCTAAAAGTCTTTAAGCAACTAAGGAAGAATGGCAAAGATATACTTACGAAGGACTGTTAAGGAAGCGGTAGCTGAGCATTGGCCACGGAAATTTTTGGCCTTCACTGTGTATTTTCCACTGTCGCTTACTGATGCATTTTTGATTTCCAGAGAATATACATTTCTGGAGCGACTGACACTAACATTTGAAGAAACAGAAATCTAAAATGAAGGAAAAAGAAAAAGAAATGTTTACGTTCTTTGGAAATGGTAAATGTGGTACTGAAATTTTTCTTCAATAATATATTCTGAATTAAACTTACCGGCATGTTGTTTTTAAACCATTCGATTTCAGGGGATGGCTCACCACTGATTTCACAAGTAAAGAGAACATTTTGTCCTTCGTTAATATTTTGAGATCTAGGCTGTGTGATAAAGGCTGGAGCATCTGAGAGTTCTTTGCTCAAGGTCAAATCAAACTGACATTTGATGATTCCTTCACTGGTTTTGCATATGCAGGTGAGGACTCCTTCATCTCTGTGGCTGGCTTGCTTGATGGTTAGGGTCTGGTCACTGCCTGAGACACCGTATCTGTACTCCTCAGAGTTAGGAAGCTCTCTTCCGTTCAGGACCCATTTCACATCAGTGGCACCAGCGATGTTGGCTTTTAAAGCCACTTTTTGACCTTCAGTTATGCTCATCTGAGTAGAAAATGCTTTAATCTCAGCATGAGTTCTGATTTCTTCTGATGCCTGTGATGATTTAGTGATTTCCTCATGGACGATGGATTTTTCCAGGGAGGTTGCTGCTGACTTCTTGACTTCTTCAGAAATCAGAAGCTTTGAAGCTTCCTCCTTCGTGGCTAACTTTTCTTGAGATTTCAGCTCTGACATCTTGATTTCTTCAGAAAGCAGGGATTTTTGGGAAATTTCCTCTTGGACAACTGCCTTCTTCTGAGATGTAATTTCAGAGGTCTTTTGTGTAGATACTTTTTGTCCCTCAGTATCTTTTACAGCTAAAAAAGAAACTTCTGTAAGGCAAACTTAATTGGATAGAGACCCTCCCTTAACTCTTATAGATTCTGGATGTGAATAATACACAGAATAAGAAAAAATGTTGGCCACTTGCAGTGGCTTATGCCCATAATCCCAGCACTTTGGAGGGTTGAGGCAGGAAGATCACTTCAGGCCAGGAGTTTAAGGCTGCATTCAAACTCTGAGCTATGATGGCACACGGCATCCCAGCCATGTCTCAGAAAGGCAAAGAAAAAATGTCTACTTCATGAGCAATGTAGGTAATCCCTAATTCTGTCTTGGAAAATCGTCATGTATGATTTTTGAGAGCAATGCCATGATTCCTTAAACTAAAATAAGTTTAACATGATTACTTAAGGGAAAAAAAAGAATCTTGAAAAGATTAGTCTAAGGATTTAAGAAAGATGTCTATTTACAAGATTTTGAGTAACCAAAAAAAATGAAATTATTTTCTCATTGTTCTTTGATAATTGAAGTGAAAGCAAACTATTTGTAAAACAATTATAGCTTTTCATTAATTTTGTGCTGTTGGCTCGGCGCCTGTGGCTCAAGCGGCTAAGGCGCCAGCCACATACACCTAAGGTGGCAGGTTTGAATCCAGCCCAGCCCACCAAACAACAATGATGGCTGCAACCAAAAAATAGCCAGGCGTTGTGGCGGGTGCCTGTAATCCCAGCTACTTCGGAGGCTGAGGCAGGAGACTCGCTTGAGTCCAGGAGTTGGAGGTTGCCGTGAGCAGTGAAGCCAGGGCACTCTACCCAGGGGCAGAGGCTCTGTCTCAAAAAAAAAATTTTTTTTGTGCTGTTTGGAAAATCAGCAAGTGTGAAGGTTTAGGGAAGCAGTACCATTTTGTATACCCCCCTGATTCTATCCTTAAAAATAATAACACCATATATAAATAGGTTAAGAAATCCTTTTATGCTATAGACAAGCATATACTAACTTAAAATATATGTGTTGCCCTAATTATGTACAAATGGCATTCTAGAATTTGCAAAACAATTTTGTTTTTATATATTTGTGTGTAGGTGTGTAAAGGGGAATGTTAAAAAATGTTTCCTTAATGTTATTTTCTGAAAATTGTTGGTAAAAACAAAAGCCAACCTACCTTTTATTGTTAATTTGCAGCTACAGGACACAGATCCAGCAGAATTGGTTAATGTACAAACATAAAGTCCACTGTCAGAAGTATCAGTCTTATGAATTTCTAAGAGGAATCTTCCTTTGTCTTCAGATAGTTTAAATTTTCCTCCTTGTGTAATAGCCTGTAGAATGCAAAGGATTTGTGTTTTTAAAAGTGATGTAACTTTCTTTGAAAGCTGAGGGTTGAGGGAGAGGTTAGTTTTTTAGGAGATAACATTGAGGTCCATGTTAGAACTGGTTACCTTTCCATCCTTCGTCCACGTGACAGCTGGCCGAGGTTCTCCTGTAACTTGAACTGCCAACTTGGCACTGCTGTCTGAAGAAACAGTTGTATCCTGCAGCCCAGTAACAATTACTGGTTTTGAGGCAATTTGTTCAGGAGATTTTGGTTCCGTTTTCTTAGTTTCTGTTGACTCAGCAGTTTTCTGAGTGGATTTCTTAGTTTCTGATACGCTTGCTACCTGCTGGTGGATACTCTTAAAAGCTTGTCCCATAAACTGGAAGTTAGTTTTGGAAGTTCCACCCTCACCAGAAATCTCACAAACATATTCTCCACAATCAGATTCAGTGAGGTTATGGATTTTGAGCTCATAGGTACCATCTGCTGAATAATGAAACTGGAAATGCCCATTTTCCTTCAGTTTCTTGCCATCTTTATACCAGGTGACCTCCTTTGCACTTAATACGCTGCTTTCGACTGCACAAGTCAGCTTTGCAATATCTTTAGCAGCCTCTGCTTTCAGGGACCGAGTTATCTTCGGTGGGCCGGAGAGTGGTAGCTGCTGAACCTTCTCTGTTGGTGTGGGTTTTGTCTCCGTGGGTGATACAGCTTTTGGGTGAGAAGTCACTGTTTCTGGAGATTTCACTCGTTTTGGAGACTTAACTCCTTCTGGGGATTTCACCCGAGGCTCTGGGGACTTGACTCTCGGTGGGGACGTCACAGCCTTTTCGGTAGCTCTGGCCTTATGGACGGTCAGATTAAACTGGGCTTCCTGTCTCCCTTCGCTGTTTTCTACCACCACGCTGTAGTTGCCCTCGTCGGAAGTTTGGACTGAAGAGATCTCAAAGGTTGATTTGTACTTCGTGGTGGTCACTTGGTGACGGGCAGAAGTGCTTATCACTTGTCCTCCACGCAGCCAGGTCACAGTTGGCACCGGCTCGCCATCTGTATCACAGGAAAACCTTGCAGACTCGCCTTCATAGACAGTCAGGGACCGTGGCTTTGTTAGAATTCTGGCTGTCAGTGTCGTCTTGATCTTTCTGGTCGTGGATTTTTCCTCCAGTGACTTTTCTTCCGAGGCAGTGCTTTTCATTTCTGCAGATGCATAGTGCTCATATGACGAGAGACTTTCCCTTGTCTCTGTCATCTGTGATTTCATTTCCCTAACAGAAGAAGCAGCTTCCATCTCTGATGTTCTCTTAAAAGACGAGACAGCATATTCCTCTGTTCTTGTCAGCTCAGGGAAAACAGATCTGGGGACCTCTTCATCTCTGCGCTGGGAAGCATAGGTGGTATAGTCCCCTCCTGTGACATCCAAGGTTGCATAGTCAGACGCTTCACCTTTGTAGTTGGTGCATACCGCACGGTAGGTTCCGCTGTCCTCGGTGTGACAGTCCAGAATTTCCAGGGTCAGGACCCCACTCATGTTGGTGTAGCGAATCTTACTGCTCTCTTGGAGTTCCACGCCATTGTGGTACCATTTAACCTCGGCAGTTGGCTTAGACTGAACGTTTAAGATAAAGCGTGTATTTTGGCCAGACGGTACCCTGTGCGAGCGCATTCTCAAAGTGATTCGAGGTGCATGGTCCAGCGTGAAAGGCTGCTGAGTCAAAACCTCATATTTCCTTTCTGATGTTGTCTGAGTCTTCAAAGCCGCTTTCATGGACTCATACCTGGAAAAGATATCAAATCTTGCAGACCTCTCAAATCTTGAGAGAGATCTCTCACTAGACACAGGGCTGGGAGAACGTGGGCGAGTTCTCTCCGGGGTAGGGGACCTTCTTTCTGTGTCATCTTCGTATTCCTCAGCTGGAAGTGGACGTGACCGGATCAACTCAGACACCGGCCTCATTAACTCGATGTAAGTTGGAGACAGGGAGCGCCGACGTCTCAGCAGTCTAGACATGGATGAGGAGGATTCTCTTTGAGCACGTTTTGAGATTTCATATTCTTCTTCAATTTCTGTTATTTCTGTCACTTCTCTCTGTCGTCTTGATTTCTTTTTAGATTTCTCCTCCTTGGACATGTGGTCAAGCTCACTTTTGTATTCTGAGAGACGCTGGATGGTGGTGACGGGACGCAACAGCTCCTCGTCCTCTCTCTCGGCCATTATTCTCTGCCGTTGTCGCGCCTGTCTGTATGCGGCCCGGGCGTGCCGTTCCCGCAGTTCTGCGTAAGTTGTACTGGTTTCCTCCTTGGTTGGGATGTGATAGGTTGAATATCTGAAGTCTTTTTTGGTTTCCTCTATCTTGACATGAGCTTGTGGTGAGGAGTAACGTAGACTAGAAAGCTCAAAACGTGGAGGGCTTCGGCTGGGAGGTGAGGCTGAAAAACCTAATTCGAGCTCTTCTTCAAGACGCAACCTCTCTTCCTCCGTCCTTTTCATTGCTAAATAGTCATCGATGGGGAGGAGTAATTCCTCATCGGAGATGTCACCGAGAGACCGTCTTCTGGGTCTGTAGTAAAAATCATAATCAGGAGAAGGTGTACGCCGGCGGGCTGGTCTCACCATTTCAAGATCATCTTGGGTCAGTTTGGGAAGACGCCATCGGGGTCTGTACTGATCCGTGATGCGCGGCAGAGGCGTCACATAGAACTGTTCCCATCTTGAAAGGCGGATCCGCTTGGGCCTCTTCTGTACAATTCTGTCAAGTTTCCCAGGCATCTCGAACTGATCACGTATTTTTTTATACCATTTCATGTCAGACATAGGCACAAACTGCTTAATGCGTTGGTCTTCTTGGATGGTAGTCTGTTTGTACTTGCGTGGCTCTGGGACTTCGTAAGGCATACGGAGTTTTCTCTCCTCCTTCTTTTCTTCTGTCTCAAGTCGATACTCTCCCTTCACGGTCTTGGTGCTGACAGCCGGTTTGTAGAGGATGGCAGCTTCTCTCAGAGCCTCTTGGGCCACTTGTGTCAGTGGGACACTTTCAGTTCCTGAAAGAATTTCAGCCATTCTTAGGGTTTTGTCGATTTGTTTTTGTACGTGTCGTTCGCGTTCCTCCTTACTCTTGAATTCCTGTTTCTTGTACCTCAAGCGTTCTACCTGTAGGTGCGCCTGGCAGCTGGTGGACCCAGCGGTGTTGGTGGCTGTGACTCTGTAATAACCTGTGTCTTCAGGCAGTGTATCCCTGATGTGCAAAGCATAATAATCCAGCCCTTCGTGGATAATTTCAACGTTGGTCCCAAGGGACAGTGGCTTGCCATCTTTCTCCCATTTTAATGTTGGCGGGGGAATTCCAGACACTCTGATCTCAAAGCAGACACTTTGGCCTTCTTGGCATTCTGCATTTGCCAGTAACCGTTTGAACATGGGTCTTAAGGTGGTGTCTGTGGGCGGTGGGTGTAGCGTGACAGTCAGCTTCGCTTTACAGCTGTCTTCCCCGTACTTGTTTCTTGCCACAACAGTGTATTCAGCATCATCGTCTGTAGTCACACTGTTGATCGTTAATTGGTACAAACCCTTGTCTGTCTCAAATGTGTATTTCTTATCATCATCAGTTGGCTTGATTTTCTGACCTGATTTATACCATGTTACACGAGGCTCTGGGTGGACCGTTATGGTTACTCCAAATCGGACATTTTCACCCACATAAGCAGTTTTATTATAGAGGGGCAGGGTAAATTCTGGCGGCCTTTCTAAGAGTCTCATTGTATCTGTTCTGCGTTTAATTTTCCTCATGGTTCTGCGGCAGTAATAGTCATAAACTTCTCTTACACTTTTAACAAACAGCTCTGCGTAAGAACTGTCTTCACCGTAGTCGTTGACTACTTTGCATCTGTAGGTACCGTCATCAAATTTGGTAATGTCTTTGACATAGAGGGTGGCCACTCCATCTTCGTAGGTGATTTCATATTTCTCACTGTTCTCCAGCTGTCTGACACCAAAGTACCAGGTCACTTGGGTAGACTGATCGTAATTCTCAATTTTGCAGACATATTTGACATATCCTCCTTCTTCACCAACTGCATGCATTATCTGCCCAGAAACTGGGCCAATTTCAATGGATGCTACTTTAACTTTAGCAACACTCACTCCCTTCTGAGATCGAATTGCACCACCACAGGAGATCCGGGCTGCTGATACAACCATGTTGAGGTCTTTCTTGATCAGGGTGTGGTAGTAACGACGGTGTTTTAATGTTCTGATAACTTTAGTGCTGACTCTTTCTATCTTCTGCTTCAGCCAGGGGTGTTGGAGTGCCTCTGATGCAGTCATGCGAGATTTCCTGTCTTTCACTAACAGGCGGTCAACAAAATCCATGGCTTCGAGGCTAATTTCTTTGAAAGCTTCTTCATCAAAAGTATATTCGGCATTCATGATATTCTCAATCATCTGTTGGTTAGTTTCAGCCAGGAATGGATTGATACCACTCAATAGCACATATACCAGTGTTCCGAGTGACCACATATCTGTGGCTGTGCTGACAACGTCATGCTGGTGGACTTCCGGTGCATAGTACTCTGGGGCAGTGAACACAAGTCTAAAGTTGTCCCCTGGCTTCAGCTGACGGGCTTGACCAAATTCAATGATTTTAATGGTAGAGCTCCTTCTTGTTTGGTAAATGATATTATCTGGTCTAATGTCAAAGTGTCCGATATTATGACTATGTAAGAATTCAAGGGCTTCACAGACCTGGCGGACGTAACTCACAATTTCTCTTTCATTAAGTTCAAAAGCACTTGTGTTAATGCGCTCAAATATGTCAAGTCCTGATAGAAACTCAAAGATCATAACTAATTCTTCCATGCTTTCAAATGATTCATGGAGATATAAGATGTTTCTATGCCTAGAAATGTTTAGGATAGAAATTTCCTTCTTTACCAAAACTTGATCAGTCCCTTTGACTTTAACAAATTTGGCCATGTATGTCTTCTTGGAGGATGTTTCAACACAACGGTGGACAATTCCAAACTCACCACGCCCAAGATCTTCAGCAATCATATATTTCTCATAGAGTTCTTTGGTTGAAGAGTGAGATGCTTTAGTCATGGAAACTTCCCTGGTTTCATCTACTTCTTCATCATAGTTCATAGCTCTGGTCTTATCTTCTTTGGTTATGGTTGGTTCTGAAGGCTCAGAAGGCTTGCTCAGGCCAAATTTATTTTCAGCTATTATCCGAAACTGGTAACTTGTTTTTCCAAATAAGTTGATCACGGTATAACGTGTTTCTCGAGCCTGTCCTACACGGATCCATCTTTCTGCAGTAGTTGCACATTTTTCAACAATGTAGTTGGTGATTTTGCTGCCACCGTCAGAAGCTGGCTCAGTCCATGTTAAGTTGACAGAATCTCTTGAGACATCACTAACTTTGACTCCTCTGGGTGGGTCAGGAACGTCAGCTACATCCAGTTCAACTGTCTTTTGGTCAATTCCAAATCTGTTTTTAGCACAGACCACATAGAAACCAGCATCCTTTCTCTCCACCCCATTGGGGAAAACGAGTGACGTGAAGGATCTTGTGACAATAACTTGGTAGTGGCCGTTATTGTCAATGAGATCTTGTCCTTTCTGCCAGGTGATCACAGGATCTGGTTTGCCACTGAAGGGGATCTTGATGCTCACCACTTCGCCTCGGAGAGCGTGAACTGCTCCCATGCCTTCAAGATTTTTAGGCAAGTGTATCTTAGCTGGAACTGTATCAGAAAAAAAAGGAGAAAGTATAAGTTAGCAACACCTAATAATATCTATGTAAGAGCAATATTTCTCCCCCAACTAATGATAGATCTTCTAGTCCCAAACTGATAATTACTGATTTGTTTTACCTTCCACTTCCAGGGAAGCAGTGCCAGACACGGATCCCCCTTGGTTGGTAGCTCGGACTTGGTAAACTGTGGCATCATCATCTGTGACACTCGCAATGATAAGCTGGTGGATGCCACCCTTAAATTCTTGAATCCTGTACTTTAATCCATCTGCAATGATTTCTTTGCCTTGTCTGTACCATTTCACAATGGGTTTCGGATGTCCAGTCACTTTGCAGACCAAAGTAGCATTGCTCTGGTACCTGACGTTTAGATTCCTCAGCTCCTCCTTAAAGTGTGGTGCCTGAATTGGAACGTCAGATCTGGGGGTGACAGGTTCTGATATTTCACTCCATTCACTCTCCCCACCCAGATTTTCACATTTCACACGGAACTCATATTCGAGACCTTCAATAAGGTTTTTCACAGAAAAGACAGTTTCTCGAATTTCTTCTGTTGTCACAGCAATCCATTTATTCTGTTTCTTCTCACGCTTCTCAAGGTAGTAAGTTCTAATCTTTGCACCTCCATCGCTGGCAGGTGGCTTCCAAGCCACAGCACAAGAATCTTTTGTGAGAGCGGTAACAGTTGGTTTTCCAGGAGCACTTGGCTTTTCTATTTAAAAGAAAAAAAAAAAGATTTGAGTCATGAGGTAAAACATATAGCTTTATTCAAAGCTTACTTAAAAAAAATAGAATGTTATGAACCCAAAGTTCCATTAAAAAATCACTGTTCCAGAAATATGAAATGATGCTTTATGCTAAGAAGCTTATTAAAAAATAATTTTGTTAGATAAGGACCCTCTTATATTTGTGTCCTACCCCCCAAAAGGTGAGCCCTATCCCTTGACCCCCCCATGCCCTCCCTCCTTCCCTTTCTCAGCTCTCAGTAACCTGCTTCTGTGTACCCTCAATGAATCCTCAACAATTTAAAAAAATTTTTTTGTTTTACAAAAGGGGATAGGGGATGTATTTCCTCTTTTAGATATGCAAACAAAGTGAAAGAAAAGGTGCTTGCATTTTTTTATATGAATCTTTGCTATTTCCATTCAGAATGTATTTCTGGTCATAAGAATTTTATGCAAAGATGGAATTTTATCATATGAAGAGAGAGAAATCAAATTGTACTCACGAAATGGACTCTTAATGATCACCACTGAGGGGACCTCTAGAGGCTCACTGATGCCAAACGTGTTCTGTGCAGAAACCCGGAAATAATAGCCAGCATTTTCTGTGAGGTTCACAATTCTACAGGTTGTCACCGAGATGGCTGAAGACACCAATTGCCATTCAGCCCCTTCCTTGGCCTCACATTTCTCCACCACATAATTGGTGATCCAGGAGCCCCCGTCATCTGCAGGTGGTTTCCAGCTGATCACCACAGAGTTCTTCAATAGAGCTTCAATCACAAGTGGTCCTGTAGGTTTGTCTGGTTTATCTGTTGGGGGAAAACAGAATTGTAGTGATTTTCATACTGGGTTTCTGAGATTTATTTTTTCTGAAAAAATAAAAAGCAGCGAAACTGAATCTAAAATACCTTGTATTTCCACATCAAGGATGGCATCAACTGTTCCAAAAACATTGCTGAGCTGAACTTTGTATTTCCCAACATGTGTCTTACGCTGGACATTCTTCATGACAAGATGAGTATAGTGCTCAGTGTTTTCAATAGTGATGTTTTCTGAGTTTTGCAAAAGTTTCTGGCCATGGAACCAAGTGATGGCGGGCACTGGACGACCAATGTACATAACATGAAGTCGAAGTGTGGAACCCACAGCTCCATAATATTTCTCTTTCAGTGGGTAACCGGGATGGAACTGCGGTGTTGCTTGCAGGAGAAGCTTACTACTGGTTTCTACTTCTCCAACCTCGTTGGTAGCTATGCAAGTATAAACACCTTCATCTTCCTGTTCCTCGGTCATGACTGTGAGAGTGTGTGTTCGTCCATCTGAAGACATTTTGTATTTCCGGCTTTGAATGAGCTCCTTACCGAATCTGTACCATTTAATATCAGGAAGAGGCCTTCCAACAATCTGGCATGAGAGTTGAGCAGGTTCACCCAATTTGGTGGTAACATCTTTCATTTCTTTGCGTACTCCTGGGGCCTCTCCAGCTGAAAAGTATGAAAGATGGTATTAAAATGCATTTTTACTACCGAATCTATTATCCTCTGCCCTTGTGTATCAGGAATGAATTTACCCGATTGAGTAATACTTTTTTTTTTTTTTTTTTGAGATGGAGCCTCAAGCTATCCCCCTGGGTAGAGTGCCATGGCATCACAGCTCATAGCAACCTCCAACTCCTGGGCTCAAGCGAGTCTCCTGCCTCAGCCTCCCAAGTAGCTGGGACTACAGGCACCCGCCCCAACGCCTGGCCATTTCTTGGTTGCAGCCATCATTGTTGTTTGGCGGGCTGGGCTGGGGATTCGAACCGCCACCTTAGGTGTATATGGCTGGCGCCTTAGCCGTTTGAGCCACAGGCGCCGAGCCGAGTAATACTTTATTAGATGCCATGATTTGAATTTGTGTCTAATTCTTTAAAACTCTTTGAAGTGATTTTCCTAGGGTCATAATGGAAAATAGGGATTTTAATGAGCATATCATAACATTATTATATGGAGTGGCTTTTCTTTTTGTGATTAGAAGGGCATTAACAATGTATAGGGTTTTGGGGAAATTCTCTCTATAAATCTGTAGTATCCTTGCCCTTACTTAGGTTCATTGAAATGTTAGGAAGTATAAAAACCCCATTGCATTAGAGGTAGAACTTGATCGAGGAATGTGCTTAGTTCACTGTATCTGTCCTCTGCTGAGGTTGCCTATTTTCAATGGCTTCATTAGAATATATGAGCTATTCCTTGTGTGTGCATATGTTAAAGTGATCACTTTCTTTCCAAACACTTGCTCTCTAACAAAACTTTCCAAGTTCTTAGCATAGAATAAGGGTTAGCCTTAGCTTGTTCAGTCTATAAAACATAAGCAGAGAACTAAAGGCTACTTACATGTTAGTTTTGTCTTTACAGACATAGCAGTTCTACGAGGTCTGCTAAGCCCAGTTTCATTCTCAGCAAAAACTCTGAATTCATATTCAGTAGCTTCCAGCAAACCCCCTACTGTGAATTGTTTGTCCTTGATACGATCCTTGTTGCTCTTCTTCCAGGTACTGTCTCCAGACTGTCTATATTCAACCCAGTATCCAAGGATTTCTTTGCCACCATCACATTCAGGTTTCTCCCACTGTAGAGTGACACTGTCTTTGGATATGGAGAGAATCTCAAGTTCTCCTGGTTGGCTTGGTTTATCTGAAATATTTAAAAGCAATTATTAATAAAGAGGGAATCAGTTTTACTGGTGAAAGAAAAGGACCTAAAAAAAAAAAAAGAAAGAAAGAAAAGGACCTAAGGTGGTCCTTTAATTTTAGCCACTTTAGAAACTTCTTACCAAATGGATCTTTGCAAACAACTGGTTCAGAAGCAGGACTGGTTTCACTTAGGCCAACATCATTTTGTGCGATGATGCGGAACTGATACTCTGCATCGGGAACAAGGCCGGTGACAGTATACATCGTGGTGGTGATCTGAGTCTTGTTGTGTCTCACCCACTTGTCGGTGGATGTCTCCTTGCGTTCAATATAGTAGCCTGTGACTCGAGAACCACCATCATCCTTGGGGCGGGACCAGGACAGGCTAACAGAACTCTTGGTCACATCAAGTACTTCTGGAGGATTGCTTGGAGGTTCTGGAGGATCTATAAATGTAAGTGGAAAACAGCCGGTGTGAGTGTATAGTTCCGCCTTATAAACTGATGGCTTTCATTTAAAAGCAGAAGAGTAATGAAATAATGTTTAAAATTTTGTGGTTGAAAGAGCACTTACTCAGTGGTGTTTTGGGTATGACTGGCTCCTCAGATTTCAAGGGTTTGCTTATGCCAAACTGGTTTTCTGCTGAAACACGGAAATGGTATTCCACGTTTTCTTTGAGACCTTTCACTACCAGAGATGTACCTCGGACTCTGGAATCAATGGTATACCAGGCGGCTTTTGGCACTTCTCGTCTCTCGAGAATGTAGCCCAAGATGTCGGCACCACCATCATCAGAGGGAGGTCTCCAGCAGACCCTCACAGAACGGGCTTGTATGTCATCATATTCAAGTGGCCCTTCTGGAGTGTTGGGACTTCCTATCACCTTGACTTTGATATAAACAGCCTTCTTGCCACATTTGTTTTCCAGAACCAGGTCGTAGGTGCCAGAATCATTCCTGTCAGCTTCTTTGATCACCAGTTCAGTGTGTGTTTCAGATGTTGCAATCATGGCACGCTTACTAATATCTTGGCCTTCCTTGGTCCATTTACATATTGGGAATGGTTTTCCTTTGATTGGTATGGTAAGTCTGATGACTCCACCTTGTCTCACAAGGATACCTTCCTGGTATCGTTCATCAAGTTCATAATCAGGATATTCTGGGAAAAAAGGTAATATTTCAGTTTAGCATTTTTGGGGGGGAGGAGGGAAGAGGAGTAGGCAATGTCCCAAGGCAATTGTAGCAGAAAGTGAATGATTGTATGTCTTACCAAGCATTTCGGTGACTTTGACTGTTCCTGGCACCTCAGCAGGCTCTCCAGGGCCACCAGCATTACAAGCTAGGACACGGAATCTGTATTCAGCACCCTGAGGTAAGTGTGTGAGAGTATACTCTCTAATCTTGGTTGGGGTAGTGTTACATTTGGTCCATTCAACTTGATCGACTTTTTGCATCTCAATCAAGTAGCCTGTGACTTTAGATCCTCCTTCATCTTCTGGAACACTCCAGGCCAGGGAGACTGAGGTCCTTGTTGTGTCAGTAACTCTTGGGTTTTGTGGCTTTCCTGGAGGAGCTGGGCATAAGAATAGGACAAGAACATACTTGTTACAGTTGCTGCAAAGTTGAAAATCAATTGGGCCACCTTACCAATTCAGGGCGTTGTTGAAATGGACTGTTAGCATTCATTTATCAGTTAAAAATACTGGGGTGGCACCTGTGGCTCAAAAAGGGTAGGGCACTGGCCCCATATGCCTGAGGCGGTGGGTTCAAACCCATCCCCAGCTAAAAAAAAAAAAAAAATAGCAAAAATACTGAAAGCTTCTGCTTTTTACTTTATCTTAACTGTGCTTTCTTTGTAATCACTAATATTATAGTATTTAATTTATCAGTATTTTTTTCAATGCTCTCAGAAACATTACCTTGTTTTAAAATCTTAGCTGTGATAGAAGATATGTATTATAAATCTCATTTTAAAGAGAAGAATATAGACTCAAGGGTAAAATAACCTAAAAATTATTTGCCAGAAGTTGCTAGAGGTTGGGGCAGGGAGGGGATTGATTGCAAAGGGACACAAGAGAATTTTTTGCAGTGATAAGAATATTCTGTATTTTGATTGTGGTGGTGATTGCAAAGCAGGACATTTTTCAAAAGTCATGGAACTACATAGAAGGGTGAATTTTACCACATATAAATTATATCTCAATAAACTTGACTGATACAAAATGTATTTACCAATTGGATCCATAGCAACAATGGGTTTGGAAGGACGACTTGGTTTTCCAGTCCCTCTTGCATTAATGGCTGTGACACGGTGTTCATATTCTAAGCCTTCAATAAGGCCCGTGGAGCGGTACCGTGTCATTGTCACAGGTACTTTATTTACACGGACCCACCGATCTGCTCTCACTTCTTTGCGTTCCACAATATATCCAGTCACTTGGGAGCCACCGTCATCCTCTGGTGGATACCAAGTAAGCGTCATGCCATCACGGGAGACATCAAATATCTGCAGTGTTTCTGGGGGTCCAGGAATATCTGCAACAAGACAGGCAAAGACATATGGCAATATGAATACATTAAAATAATGACTAATTTATGTGTGTGCATTAGCTTTCGGTTGGTATTTTCAAGGGACACTTGTGACTGTTTTTCCAGTGCTTTCATTTTCGTACTTTTCTTGCTATTCTTCATGTTATTGAATTCTATAAACATGTATTAAGCATGCATTCTGTATTTTTTCCCACTATAACATGGCCAGCCTTCCCTCCCTCCCACTCTGCCTTCATTCTTTACATTGCTCCTTTCCTAACTCCCTCTTCCTCTCTTTCATAAAAGTGATAACATTAAAAAAACAAAAAACCCAGAAAACTAACCATGTCGAAAACCTCCAAGAAAAGGAGCTGTAGAAGCCTGAGGCTATGGAGTTGATTTTGAGACCTATTTTTATGTACATCAGGCCATCTTAAAATGAAATTACTTTTCATTAGTATTTGGAATCAGAGGTGGGGAGGACCACTTACTGATGCTGCTGCGACATTCTATGACCTCAGACTGCAAGTAAGAGCCAATGCCGAAGCGGTTTGTTGCAGCCACACGGAACACATACTCATTTCCTTCAGTGAGTCTGGTAAACTTAAATGTTGATCTAGTCACTGATTCAGAAACCGGCAGCCATCCTGGACGGTGGGCATCACGTTGCTCCACCACATAGCCACTCAATGGAGCACCACCGTCCAACTCAGGTGCTTCCCAGGAAATGGTAACTGACGTAGCATCAATTTCATCAATCTTGATAGGTCCTGTTGGTGGACCAGGCTTGTCTGTGAAAGAAAAAGAAACCCGTGAAATTAATTTTCACTTCAAATAAAAATTGGGTGACTCAACATTGACCACTGGCTTGTATCTTTGTCACACTTCCTTACCAAGAATGATAACTTTAATGTTCTCAGAGGTAGTTCCAGTGACATTCTTCAATTCAAGTGTATATTCTCCAGTGTCTCTGATAGTGGTTTCACGGATGGTTAATTTAGCTACTTTAGCATGGGTTTCAACTGTGACTCGCTCTGATTCCTTCAGTTTAGAACCAGAAAAGAACCAGGAAGCAGCAGGAGGTGGGCGGCCGGCGATGGGTATCACCAGCTCTATTGGCCTGCCAGCTGGGACGTGGATGGTCTTATGAGGCATTGTAGAAAGATCAATTGTTGGCAACACTATGAGAGAGAAGTTAGATGTTTATTTGTATGCATTATTTCTAATGAGAAAGGGTTATGAATTCTGAATACTTTCATTTTACTTTACTATTTATTGTTATTTTTTTGGCTACTTGGTACATACCTCTGAGGTCTTGTACAGTCACAGCAGTGACGATCTCTCTTGGTTCTGATACACCTTTCTCATTTTGGGCTCTCACTCTAAATAAGTACTGTTCACCTTCATTTAAGGAAATGACAGTGTGCTCCAACACTGTGGGTTTCAAGGTGGCAACCTTCATCCATCTCTCTGTGCCAGCTCTGCAGGCTTCAAGGACATAGCCAGTGAGTCGGCTGCCACCATCGTACAGTGGTTTTTCCCAGGCGAGGGAAACAGTGGATTTGGTGACATCGACCACTTCTAGCTTTGTAGGCACCAGAGGTACTTCTGAGACCAGAACTGCATCAGATGTTTCACAAGGTTCTCCAATGCCATAAATATTTTCTGGCAGCACTCTGAAATAGTACATGGTTCCTTCTACAAGTCCAGAGATTCGGTAAAGCGTCTTGGTGCATTTGGTAGTTACTGTTTTGAATGCTCTCATAGCAGCTTCACGCTTCTCAACGATATAATTGTTGACTGGTGCTCCACCATCAATTGTGGGGATTTCCCAAGTTATAGTCACAGAATCTCTTGATACTTCCTTAACTTTCACTGAAGGACAGGGACCAGGAGTATCTGGAAAATAGAATGAAAGATCCATACTTCTATTTGCCTTACTGGTTGATAGATTTCCTTTTTGGGAGTGGATGAGAGTGGGAGAATGGAATTAACATAGCCTCTCTGTAGATGAGTGATCAATCATAGGTTTAAGTGTATCTTTTTGGAGAATCTGCTCATATCATAGTCAATTTTAAGAAAAATGCTTACCATATACTTTAACAAGCACTGTTGCTGACTTTTTGCCAGATTGATTTTCGGCTTCAATTGTGTATTTTCCAGCATCATACCGATTAACTTTGTCCACGATAAGTAATGAGTAGCTCTCAGTGTTGTCAATAATTGCCCGGTTTGCAAGGTTAATACCCTTCTTGCTCCACGTGATGACGGGAGGTGGTCTTCCAGATACAGACACCATCAGGCGCAAGGAGGCCCCAGCCCTGATGGTCACAGTCTTCCTCAGATCATCTGCAAGTTCAAGATCTGGAATTTCTGGAAAGTAAATGTCAAAATTTAATTAATTCATGGAAAGGTACAAGGAAGAAATAATTTGCCTACAAGCTTATAGTACAAATACCAATTCTTTCCACGGGTTCGATTCTGGCAGTTGATTCACTGTATTCACTCTTGCCCTTCACATTCACGGCAGCAACTCTGAAGGAATATTTCTGGCCCATTTTCAGTTCTGCTACAGTGAATTCATTATTTCGTAGAGTGGCATTGGTGTGCACTCGGTACCACTGATCGGTGTTCTCCTCTTGCATTTCAAGAACATATCCTATGATGTCACTGCCACCATCGTACGTGGGTTTGGTCCATGCCAAACTAATGCTGTGCTTAGTGGTATCCACAACTCTTGGGACAGAAGGTGGTCCAGGGGTGTCTGTGGATTGAAAAAGCACAATGCAGATATCATGCAAATAAGAAAACTTTGCAGTTTGTGTTTTTGGTTTTCAAAACTCATAAAGGCATTATTGCTCTTTGTCCACACCTATGAAGATAACCTTGGTAACTGGCATCTTCTGATATTATAGGGCAGCATGTATGCTGCATTGTCATTATTATCATCTCAAGGATTAAATTGCTTTGGGAAGGGAGATGTTCCTTTTCCACTACTTTGGATACCTTTCTGTGTTCTTCTCTGTTACGGAAGATCATCACTTAATGTTCCTGATCTCAGTACTTTTCTTTAGTTGCTCATCTTTTACTGGGTTAATATCCCTTGCCACTTCTATATTTCTAATGAATGTAGGAATCAGTTTGCTCAACTTCTGCTATTGAGACCCAGTGACTTACTGCATTTAGTTCTTGGGCTCTGACTCTGTAAAAGGATTTGACGCTTATTTTTGAAGCTCTTGTGATAATTACTTTGTTAGAAACTTACTAAAATGCTAAAAACTTTATGCTCCCACTAAGCATCTTCTTAAAAGGGATTTTGCCTTTCTTTCTTTTCAGTAGTTATCAGTACAATGCATTTTTCTTTATTCTTAAGAAGAGTTGTAAAATATATTGTTTATATCAGCAGTAGAATATTTCATTAATTAGAAAACACTGCAACAATTTTTAGCAGCGCTAATCGCTAACTTATCAACACATTTGGTAGTGAAAATATTCTCTGACTTAGGCCATATTTAAGATCATGCTACTGAGCCTATGCAAGGATATGCTTTTCTAGATCACTTGTAAATTCTTAGAAATGACATATTAGAAAATTATTTGTCATATGGTTTTGTTGGACAATGGATTTACTCATGATTCTTGAAACTCACATGATGGTTCTCTGCAAGAGATGAAGTTGGAAGCTTCGCTGGGATCACTGTTACCAGCAGCGTTCACTGCAGTCACCCGGAACTGGTAATCACACCCTTCCATCAGGCTGGTCACCTTCAGCCTGGTGTCATACACCACGTAGTCCTTGTTGACACGTGTCCAGCGAAGGCTCTTCTTCTCACGTTTGTCTACTAGGTAGTTGCTGATTTCATTGCCACCATCAGATTCTGGTTTTGTCCACTGAATGATGATATGCTCTTTGCTAGCGCCAACTTCCTCAGGTATTCCAGGTTGTGATGGAATAGCTGTTTATATTTTTATGAAAATAAGGGTGATCAGAATTGTATTGATATGACATGCTCATCTCCCTATACCCCTTGATCCCATCACATTTCAACCACCAAATTGTTTAAGTGTTCATACTCACTGAATGAATTTCTGGCTACAATTGGCTGTGATTCAACAGGCACACCAGGGCCATATTTGTTTACTGCCCTCACTCGGAATATGTATTCATTGTTCTTGATGAGTCTGGTAACTACGTAGGATAGGGTTGGGCATTCGCCTTCAACAATCACCCAGTTGAGCCTGCTAGTCTCACGTCTTTCCACGATGTAGTGAGTTATTTCTGCTCCTCCATCTTCCTGAGGAAGACTCCAGGCTAGCGTGCACTTCTCTTCTGTGACTCTGCTGACAGTGAGCTTTCCACATGGGCCAGGGGAATCTGAAACAGGCATAATGACAAGCCATGACGATGATTGTTCTTTCTGGGAACACTTGAAAATGCTGTACACATGTGAGGACATTTGTCATGCTTACCAAGCACTTTGACCATGACAGACACAGCCTTCGTCCCACTGGCATTCTTCACTGTTAAAGTGTATTTCCCGCTGTCAGTTCTGTCACAGAACTTGATCACAGCAGTTGCTCGTTTGCCAGTATACTGCAAAGAGACTTTTTCACAGAGATCTAGTTCCTTGTCTCCTTTGGTCCAGATAATTTTGGGTTCAGGTTTGCCACCAACTGCAGCATCCAGAACCAGATCAGAACCTGCTCTGATAGTAACAAGATCGCCCTGTAATCTGGCATCCAGTTCAGCTCTGGGTGGAGCTGTCAGGAGGAAAAATAGATGGAAATGAGTATCTGACAATTTATTTTCACATAAATTGTGATAATTTAAAAAGGAGAACATTGACTATTTCCTACCATATTCATCTCGGCAAGTGACAGGGCCTGTAGATTCAGACCCTTTGCTGATTACACCTGCTGCATTCTTGGCTAGCACACGGAACTCATAAGTGTCTCCTTCACTGAGAGCAGTCACGGTGAAGAAATTGTCAGATACAATGGTATAGTTGCACTTCAGCCAGCGACCATCTCCTATCTCACTGACTGGCTTACGCTCTATGATGTAGCCCACAACCTTGCTGCCTCCATCATATACTGGGGCAGACCAAACTAGGGATACTGTGGATCTTGTGACATCTGTTACCTCTGGTCTGCCTGGTGGATCTAGAAGGGATGCAAAATTAAGGTTAAAAATACATCTCTGAGTTCTACTAGTAGCACTGATAATATGCAAATGTCCCTTTAAATTTTGATACATACCAACTGGATTTTGAGCCATGACAGGTCTTGAAGCTTCACTGGCCTTGCTAACACCTGCAGCATTGAGTGCATAAGTTCTAAACTGATATTCCAGCCCTTCTACCAAACCGATCACTTTGTAGTTGCACTCTAAGCATGGCACTTTGTTTTCTTTCACCCAAAGAATGGTGTTACGTTCTTTCTTCTCAACCCAGTAGCCAATGATTTTACTGCCACCATCATGGTAGGGTTCTTCCCAGCGAATAGACATGGCATTGGCAGACACGTGGTATACCTCAGGTCTGGTAGGAGCACTTGGTGGGACTAAATAGAAGCAAAGGTATCAAATATGAATACAGTTTTAGAAAATTCAGGGTAAATATTTCATAGTATTATAATATGATTTTATTTTTATTTTTCTTACCAAATGGATGTTCGGCAATTATTGGTGCTGATTCTAGAGGCTTACTGACTCCAAATCTGTTCTCAGAGCTGACACGGAAAGAATATTCCATGTATTTTGTGAGATGAGTGACTTTAATCTGAGTGCGTTTGACACTGGAATTAACAAGCTGCCAAGCTGTTGTTCCCGATTCACGCTTTTCAACTATATAATTAGTAATTTCGGTGCCACCATCATCTTTTGGTTCAGCCCATGATAGGACACAGGATTCAGCTGAGACAGATGAGACCTCGATGGGGCCAGTTACTGGACCTGGCCTTCCGATGACCACAACCGTGACGGTAAATGTTTTAACACCAGCTGTATTTTCCAGGGTCAAGAAGTATCTGCCAGAATCACCTCTCATACTGTCCTTTACAGACAGGGTGGTTCTGTCTTTTGTCGTTGTGATGCTCACTCGATCTGTCTCCTTAAGTCTCATTTCTTCCAGTTTCCATGTAACTTTGGGGGCAGGGCGACCACTGATAGGTACGTCGATAGTAAATGTGCTTCCTGCTTTGCAAGTTATGAGCTGATTGGTAATTCCAGTGAGGTCAGCAGTGGGCTCAATTTGGGGCTCCTTAATGATGACAGAAGAGAAGGCTTCCCTGGGTTCACTGTAGCCAGCATCATTCTTGGCCTTTACACGGAATTCATACTCAGTGTTCTCAACAAGGCGCTCCACTGTGAAAGTCATCTGTTTGGTGTGACCAGCTTCAACCCAGAAGTCAGATCCCTTTTGTCTCATTTCAATCAGGTAGCCAGTGACCCGGCTGCCTCCATCGTGGTCAGGTTTAAGCCAAGCTAAGACTGCAGAGGATTTGCTAGTGTCAATGATATCAAGTCTTCTAGGTGGAGCAGGCTGTTCTGTGGCTACGACTGGTTCTGGCATTTCATAGGGTTCACCAATACCATACTCATTTTCTGCAGAAACACGGAAATAGTATGGGACACCTTCGGCTAGGTCACTGACTTTGAGGATCTGACGAGTACATTTTTCACTGACAACCTGCCAGCTACGGCGGCTTGCTTCACGTTTCTCTACCACATAGTGATGGATTCGGGCACCACCATCAAGGAGAGGGGCATCCCACATCAATGTAAGGGATCCCCGCGTCACATCCTTGAAGGTGATTGGGCCAGGTGGTCCTGGGGAGTCAAGCACCTTCACGGTGAAGGTGATTGACTTACTACCACTGTTGTTTTCCACAGTTAGGGTATATTTCCCTGCATCATTCCTGTTGCAGTTTTCCACGGTGAGGGTGCTGAAGGAGTCCGTCGTATGGATATCAGCCCGAACACTAAGGTTAGAGTCTGGTTTGCTCCACACAGCTGTTGGAGTAGGTCTACCTTGGTAGGCAATGAAGAGGCGGATACTGGCTCCAGCTCTAACAATGTGAGTCTGCTTGAAGTTTGCATCTATGTCTAACTCAGGAGCTGTTAATCGGTCAACTGCTTTAATTGTGCCGGTCACTTCACAGCTGTCTCCTTTACCAGCACCGTTGATGGCGCTAACTCGGAATTTGTATTCTTCACCTGCTTGTAGGTCAGTGACTGTATATCTTGTTTTCACACATGCCTCTGCATTCACCTTGTGCCAGTCTCCTAAGTCAGCTTTGCACATTTCAATAATATACCCAATTATTTCCATGCCACCATCAAACACTGGCTTGGACCATTCTAAGCTGACAGTTGTCTTTGATGTATCTGTCACTTTGACCACTGCGGGAGCACCTGGTGGGCTGACAGGCTCTCTGCATTTAATTAGTCTTGAGATACCACTTGCAGGTCCCACTCCGGCAGCATTTTCAGCCATGACGTGGAATTCATACTTGTTGCCTTCTGTCAGACCAGTGACTTTGAATCTTGTCTCAGAGATGGGTCGTTTGCTGATTACTTTTACCCATCGTGTGCTTTTCTTTTCTCTTCTTTCAAGGATATAATGTTGAATTTCATTGCCACCATCTGATTCTGGCCTTGCCCAAGTCAGGGTGATGCTATTGCTTGTTACATTAGTAGGTTCTGGAGTGCCAGGGGCATCAGGAACAGCTGTGAAGTGGAAACAAGAACAGGCCCAGAACCAATTAGGCATGTGTGCTTGGAAAGTTAATCTTATGACAGTTCTACTTAGTGAAAATGCCAACTTACTGTACTGTATTTGAGCAATCACTGGGTCAGACTCAAGTGGCCGGCCAACACCAAACTTGTTAACTGCAGAAACACGGAATTGATATTCATTGCCATTTATTAGTTTCATCGCGGTGTAACTGAGGGCTTCGCATTTATCCTCAATTAATGCCCAAGCGAGTCTGCTAGTTTCCCGTTTTTCGATGATGTAGTGGGTGATAGGAGCACAGCCATCGTTGAGTGGAGTATTCCACCACAGAGTCATCTTCTCACCAGTAATATTGGTGAATCTTATTGGCCCAACTACTTTTCCGGGTGTATCTATAAGAAAAATGATCCAAAGTTAGTTTTTTTCCCTTGTCCATTGAAATGCAGTCTGGCAGGTCTCTAATCCACGTCTCATAAATTATAATAGTTAAGAAACTATTTTAAAAATACCTTGGACTTTCACTGTAATTTCCGCTTTTGTGGAACCGGATACATTTTTGGCTTCCACTGTATATACACCACGATGGTCCCGAGTAGCATCTCTAACAAAGAGGCTGGTGGATCCAAGGACATCGGTTATTTCCATATTCATTCTCTTTTCAATCTCTACTCCATCTTTGAGCCAAGTTACTCGAGGTACTGGTCGTCCTTGTACGAAAGCTTTAATTCGAAGGCTTTCTCCAGCCTTAACAGTGACACCATCGAAGTACTCAGGGCCAAACTCTACTGTTGGTGGAACTATAAAAGAAATGGGCTATTCATTAGTTTGGCTTAATAAAGACATACATAAATATGTTTTTCATCAGCTCTATATCATAGAACCTGAAAAGGTAATGGCTTCTAACTGTGGTACCAAAGGCTATTTTGAAAGTAGGATTAGTAATTGAGAATTTAGAATATAGAGTTAAACATTTTTCTTTTATTAGGTTATTTTCTTTGTTATTTCTGTCATATTATTCATTATGTATTGCCCTATGAGAAAAGAGATGAAACATTTACTTAATGTTTGTGGTTTACTTAATATTACTGAGTATTCAAACAAGTTCCTGTGAGAGGCCGTTGGCTGTGATGATTGTGGTGTTGTATATATGTTGTACTTTAATGCCTTCAGTAAACATGGGCTGTTATTCTTGAGGGTCTTTTTATTTATTTATTATAAGTGGCTAAAATTGCAAGGCTAAAATCTCATTTGTACTTTCTGCAGGTTTTTTTTATAAGGGAATGGATTGAAATCATAGAGTAAAAAGAATTGATGCCAATTACTGTTTTCTTCTCTTCATCTGAAAGGTAGAAAGACCAAATTCATCTACATAGCAACCTTAAATCATCTGTGTGAAATAATGTTTCTGTTCCCATTTTACTGACCAGGAGTCAAAAGTATTTTTTAAAAATGTGAATGCCCTTTGTCACATTGGAAATCAATTATAAGTGCTTACCATTTTCATCTCTTGTCATAATAATGCCAGAAGACTGTGAGGGTGGGCTTATAGTTCCGACAGCATTTCTTGCAATTATTCTGAATTCATATCTGTCTCCGGGGCTGAGTCCTGTAACCGTGTACTGACATTCGCTGACATCAGTGAAGTTGCACCTGACCCAGCGATCGCTCCCTTGCCGTCTCTCAATGCTGTAGGCCACGATCTTACTGCCTCCATCACGCAATGGTGGGTTCCATTTAAGCGTGATGGTTTCCCGGGTGACATCGATGTAGTCAGGAGTGCCAGGTGGGTCTAAAAAATTATAAGGCAGTTAAATGCGTCATTAGGTCTGTAACCAGGTCTTCATCATCAATAGAAGAAAAATTGAATAAATCCCCTAAACTCATTTCATCATTAGTTTCAATTTTTTGGTTTATAGTCTTTAAAAAGAATATTAAGTTATTTTGTGAGATTAATTTAAAGTCATTCCCCTTGCTTTACATGATCAGTTCTTTAGTGACAAGAACATAGAAAAGAAAAGCAGTGTTAGATTTATTTGTTGCCAACATCTTCAACTGCTGAATTAAATATATTTGAATCACTTACCTACTGGGGAAACAGCTAAGGTAAATTTGCTTGGGTCGCTAGGTGCACTCAGGCCAGCAGAATTTTCAGCATACACACGGAATTGGTAATCCAGACCTTCCATTAGTCCGGTAGCTCTATATTCTCTTCCAGAGATTGGGGATGTATTAACTCTTTGCCAGAGGATGCTATTTCTTTCTTTCTTTTCAACATGGAATCCAGTAACTTCTGAACCACCATCATAAACTGGAGCATCCCAAGTTAGTGACATGCCATCAGAAGTCACATTGTATATAACCGGCTTTCCTGGGGGACCGGGAATCCTGAACTGGTGTTTTGCCACAATAATGCTTGAGACAAGTGGCTCGCTCACTCCATATCTGTTTTCGGCTCTAACTCTAAACTGGTACTCAGCATCTTTGACTAGATTAAGAACTTTGAAAGTTGTCCTGGCGACACTTGAACAGACCATCTTCCAATTAGTCTGTGAAGCTTCCCGCTTCTCAATGCTGTAACAGGTAATTTCTCCTCCTCCATCGTCTTCAGGCACATCCCATGACATGATGACACTGTCAGCCTTGATTTCCTCAAATCGAATAGGTCCTTTGGGTTTTGATGGTGGCCCGAGGGTGATGATCGTAATGGGGAATGAGTTTCTGCACACTGCGTTGTCGAGAATTATGGTGTATTTCCCTCCATGCTCTTTCTTGACATTCTTAATGCTCAAAGTGATTTTGTTTTCAGTTTTGCTGAAACGGACATTCTCACTTTCTTTCAGTGGCAAGTTATCTTTCAGCCAGCTGATTGATGGTTTGGGTTTTCCTTTATAAGGTAACTCAAGGTGCACATTGTGCCCGATTCTCACGCTTATTTGTGCCCCGGGGATTTCTGACAGGTCGACTTCAGGTGTAATGACAAGTTCTTTCACCGTAATTGGCCCAATAGTGACAGCATCACTCAGTCCTTTTTCATTTTTGGCAAACACTCTGAATTCCAGGACTGACTGTTCCTTCAGTTGGCCAACCTCAATCTCACATGCCTTGCTTGTGCCAGCATGCGACCATGTTTGTTCGCCTTTACCTTTCCTTTCCACAACGTAGTCTGTGATGATGCTACCACCGTCAAAGTCAGGTTTGGTCCAGCTGAGGGTAACAGATGTCTTTGTTGAATCTTTCATTGAGAGATCACGTATAGGAGCTGGAACTTCAGCAGCCTTCACTGGCTCTGTTGTTTCACAGGGTTCGCCAATTCCGATTTCATTCTCGGCAAGAACTCTGAAGAAGAATGGAGTTTTCTCTGACAAGTCTGTTACCTTAAAGGATGTGCTAGAACATTTGTGGGACACAACAGACCATGTTCTCTTTGTGGCATCTCTCTTTTCAACAACATAATTAATTATGGGAGAGCCTCCATCGATGAGAGGAGGATCCCAGAGCAGAGTGACGGTGCCTCGAGAAACGTGTTTAACCTGTAGATTCTGGCAGGCAGCTGGTGTATCAAGTACTTTCACGCTCACTGTTGAAGACTTTGGTTGGCCAACTCCATTTTCTATTGTGAGAATATATTTTCCTGTGTCATTGCGAGTGACTTGAGGAATAGTGAGTAATGAAGATGAATCTGTGTTTTGAATGTTGTATCTGGCATCACTGCTAAGATTCTTCTCATCTTTTCTCCATATGACAGTAGGTGGAGGTCTGCCTTTAAAGGGAATCAGGACTTGCACATCTTCACCAGCTTTTGCTATCACAGAGGTTCGGAGAGCCACATCGAGGTCGATCTCTGGTTCCTCTGTAGACATAAAATGGACATACACAGCAAATTTTAAAAGCAAGAAAATAAAGGATTTTTTGGAAGCACTCTAATAAACACATTAAAAACAATCACACATGTAAGCACATACCAAGTATATCTTTGGCTTGTGCAGGTTCAGTCATTTCTATGGGTTCTCCTTGTCCAGCACAATTTACAGCAGACACCCGGAAGTAGTAATTGACTGCAGGTTTCAGGTTAGAGACCACATATTCTGTAGTTCTGACTTCTCCTTTGGTGGAGACAACAATCCATTCCTCTTCTTCTCCTTGTCTCATCTCAACAACGTAACCAGTAACAGCACTGCCCCCATCATAGACAGGTTTACTCCAGCCAAGAGTGATGGATGATTTAGTTGAATCTGCAATTCTTATCTTAGCAGGTGGCCCTGGAGGATCTGAAATGACCATTGACAGTACAGTGTTTACACAATCATGTACAACTGAGTCACACAGAAGAAAATATAGGCAAAGATGCTTCATGGATGAGCACTTACCAATAGGATCAGCAGCTTTGTAGAAGTCAGATGGTTCGGAGAATGGACCCTGTCCAGCAGCATTTACAGCACAAACTCGGTATTGATAGTCACTGTTTTCTATGAGTCCTGTCACCTTCTGTCTGGTGTCACGGATGGTCTCTTTTAGTACTTTAAACCACCCCAGACTCTTCTTATCTCGTTTTTCAAGGTAATAGCCGCTTACTTCACTACCACCATCTACAACTGGCCTGTTCCAGACAACAGTCATTGAATTCTTGGTAATCTTTGTCACTTCTGGTATGCTTGGTGGCCCAGGTGTAACTGTTTAGAAAGGGAAAGGAAAATAATTTATAAGGATCAGCATTACTGACAGATTCTTTCTATATTCAAATCCTACCTGAGAATATTAGTTTCATTCATTAGAAACCTTGTGAAAAGAATGGTAATGAGATAAGATGTGATACAAAGGAAAATTACTTATGTCATGTTCACAGTCTAATAGTATAGTTTATATTTAAAACAATTTTATGGGTGTTAGTTCTCTAATGAAATTATGACTTACCAAATGCATTCTTGGCTACAACTGAATCAGATTCTAGTGGCTCTCCAATTCCGTATTTGTTTACGGCTCGGACCCGGAAGATGTATTCATTTCCTTTGATAATTTTGGTGGTTGTAATTATGCACTCTTCCAGGTTTTCAGATACCATAGACCACACAACACGGCTTGTCTCACGCTTTTCTACAATATAGTGAGTGATTTTTGCACCACCATCATCAGCTGGAGGCCGCCAGAGAAGGGTGATCTTTTCAGCAGTGACAGTCTTAAATTCAATGGGCCCACCTGGAGGTCCTGGTTTGTCTGCCAATGAAAGAACAAAATGTCTTAATATTTCTTAAAAGCCTACTAATTTAAAATTATGATACTGTAGGCAAACAAAATATGACATTGGTTTGTATTCAGCACTTACCAAGGATCTGCACTCTGATGGTGGCTGAGGCTGAACCCATGGCATTCCTTAGTTTTAATTCATAGCTTCCACTATTAAGGCGATTGGCATCTTTAATGAGTATAGATGCGAGGTCAGTGGTATTTTCAACACACAGCAGTGCATTGGTTTGTAATTCTTTATCATCTTTATACCATTCAATTGTAGGTTCAGGTTTGCCAGAAATGCCAGCTCTGAGCTTCACAGATGTACCTGCTCTGTATTTGACAACTTCTGTATATTCTAGAGGTAAATCAATTACTGGACCACCTGTAAGAAAAACAGATGAGAAATATTTAAAATATCATAAAGATAAAAAATAGTTGCAACAATCTCAAAATAAGGTCATTGGCCTTTATTAAATGTTATATATATACTACATATATAAAGTTCTAATCTTATTCACTTAATATCTTTTTTTTTTTTTTTTTGAGACAGAGTGTCACTTGGTCACCCTGGGTAGACTGCAGTGCTGTTACAGCTCACAGCAACCTCCAACTCCTGGGCTCAAGCGAGTCTCTTGCCTCCGCCTCCCAAGTAGCTGGGACCACAGGCGCCCGCCACAACGCCCAGCTATTTTTTGGTTGCAGCCGTCATTGTTGTTTGGCGGGTCCGGGCTGGGGATTCGAACCCGCCACCTTAGGTGTATGTGGCTGGCGCCTTAGCCGGTTGAGCTATAGGAGCCGAGCCACTTAATATCTTAAAAAGTTAATTTTTTCATTAACTCATAGCTGTGTACATCAATGCAATCACAGGGTACAATATGCTGGTTTTAGATACAATTTGAAATATTTTCATCAAACTGGTTGACATAGCCTTCATGGCATTTTCTTAGTTATTGTGTTAAGACATTTATATCCCACATTTAGTAAATTTCACATGTTCCCTTGTAAGGGATGCACTGTAGGTGTGGTCCCACCTAAAAATTTAAATTTTATAGGCCACTCTTCCCAGATGGGGAATAAAGACTGTAAGCAAGCTCTGTATCCCAATAATACTGCATTAATTGCACAGGGATCTAAGTGCCTTTTGAATGTATTTCTTTTTTTTGAGACAAAGTCTCACTATGTCCTCTTGGTAGAGCACCATGGCATCATAGCTCATAGCAACTTCTAACTCTTGGGCTTAAGCAATTCTCTTGACTCAATCTCCCAAGTAACTGGCACCACAGGCACCTGTAACAATGCCCAGCTATTTTTGTTGTTGTTGTTGTAGTTGTCATTGTTGTTTGGCAAGCCTACGCTGGATTTGAACCTGCCAGCCCTGGTGCATGTGGTCGGCGCCCTAGCCTCTGAGTTATAAATTGTGTTGTACATTTTCTTTTATTCTAGCTCCTCACTCCTCTTCCTCTGACCACCTCCATTCTTTTTACTTCTGACTAATATTCAAGTGTGGACAGTTCACATTACTGCCCTGAAGTCTGAATTCTCTATTCACAGGCCTACATACTATGGCATAGATTTTCTGTCAGACTACTAAGAACTACTGAGAAACAACTCAATTTGACTTGCATCATAGTCTCACCAGTACTGATTCAGTGGCCACAAAGCCCGATGCATTAGAGCAGCCCTAGGATTCTTAGCATGAGGATGGGAGTGGATGACACTGTCAGACCAGACACTAGAGTGCTCAGTGTCCTCTTTAAAAATGGAAAACTTTTAGTAAAAGTGTCTACCTGACTCTCATTACATTTTAATTTTCAAACCATTGTTGAGTTGAATGTACCACTTATTTTCCACAATAATCAAGTATATCTATTTTGGACTAACAGTGATATAGAGAGGGCTCTGAAGTCTGTTTTAATCCTCACTGCATCCCTTAGTCCATTGCTGATGAGCTGGTTGACCTTGGGAAAGTTCTATAAGCACTCTTAATTTCTTTTATACAATGGGCTAATCTTTGTGATATTAGAACTAAGGCAGAGAATTCCTGAAAATTACCCAATAAATGGTAGCTGCTGCTAATGCTATCACCATTGAAGTCTCTGTTAAGTCTGTCACCTATTTAAGAGCAGTATTCTCTGGGAACTGAACCATGGTTTCAATTATTGATTCTGACAATTTAAAATAGACTGAAAGCACCAACTCATACAGAGAATTATAAAAGGTTGAAGTTGGAAGGGCCCTTAGGTGTCCTGAGGTCCAACTCTCATTTTATAGTTAAGTTAAGCAGCCTGGAAAGGTTAAGGAATTTTCCTAAGACTACCAGATAGTTCATACTTTCTTCCAAAAATATAATTAATATAATATAACTATAACCTTGTAATAGTTATCTTACAGATTAGAACTAGGAAAAGGAAAAATATTAAATGGGCAATGGGATTCAGAGGGCTAAAAAATGCTTACCATAAGAATCAATGCATGTAACAGGGCCTACAATCTCAGATGGATTGCTAATGGAACCAACAGCATTCCTAGCAAAGACACGGAATTCATACTGGGAATTCTGAGTTAAGCCAGAGACAGTGAATTGAGTCTCAATAACATTGGTGAAGCTGGCCTTGGTCCATCTGCCATCTGGAAGGTCACGTCTCTCAACGATATAGCCTGTAACTTTGCTTCCTCCATCAAAAGCTGGCTGTTGCCATGAAAGGCTAACAAAGTTCTTTGAAATATCAGTGACACGAACATTTCTTGGGGGTTCTGTGGTAATAAGAGAAAGCAGATTAGTGATACTTATGCCAGTATTGTTTTGCTTTGTAGAAATAAGATTTGCATTTTGAAGTTGTCAGAACTGTTCTTCTCATGACAAATACGTACCACAAGCATCAATGGCCAAGACTGGTTCAGAAGGATGGCTGGGTTTTCCAACACCAGCAGCATTTTCTGCATATACCCTGAATTCATAAATAAGCCCAGCGCTGATTGTTGTGACTTTGAAGTGAGTTGTGCGGACGACCATTTTATTGGCTTTTTGCCATAAAATACTATTTCTGTCCTTCATTTCCAGATGATAGCCTATGACTGCACTGCCTCCATTGGACACTGGTTCATTCCAGCTTACAGTGATGCTTTCTCGAGTGACATTTGTGACCCATGGTGTAGATGGTGGTCCAGGTGTTGCTACAGAAGAGAAATCCCAAAGATTAATACAGACATTTAAAACATGTACTACACATGGTAATGAACCTGGGATCTTTGAAAAGTTTGACAACTTACTGTATGGCAGTTTGACAATAACACAAGCTGAATCTATGTGATCACTGATGCCAAAGCGGTTTTCTGCCTTGATGCGGAATTGGTATTCTTCTCCTGTGGTCAGTTTCATGACCTTCATTGTGGTTCTTGCAACGGTTGCGGATACTTCAGTCCATGTTGCTGTACTTGTTTCTCTCTTGAGTACAATGTAATTGGTAACTTGACTTCCACCATCATATTTAGGTGGCTCCCATTTGAGAATCACACTTTCTTCAGTTATGTCACTAACAACAACAGGGCCGGTCGGAGGGCCAGGCCTGTCTAGCACGATGATGTTAATGAAAGCTTTGGTTGTTCCGCTGGAGTTGGAGGCAGTGATCTCATATCTTCCAGCATCACCAGCAACACTTTCTTTGAGATTGATGGTCAGGTTCTCTGCAGTAATTTCAGTATTAAATCTCATGGTTGCCTTCAGGGGTACACCATCTCTTGATAAGGTCACTTTGGGCAGTGGTTTTCCAGAAATTGGAATGTCAACTTTGAGGTTTGAACCAGCTCTAACATAGACAGTGTGACTTGGGAAATTCTTCATATCAATTTCAGGTGGTTCTGAAAAATAAGAGTATGGAAAGTGAAGGTGAAAAAGAGTTTCTAAAAATCAACTTAAATCAACACAAGCAATTTCAAATTTTGCCTCTCTATAAAAGTAGGAATACCTAGGTGCTCCTTAACAAGAACAGGAAGCAGAAGCTCTCTCGGGTCACTCAGGCCAGCTTGATTCTCAGCAAACACCCGGAAAAAGTATTCCGAATTCTCCTTCAGACCAGAAACGACGTGATGGGTTGATTTCACCACTGCACATTTGACCCAGTTTTTCTGTCCTTTTTCTAGTGCTTCAACAATATAGTGTACAATTCTGCTGCCACTGTCATGCTCGGGCTTCAACCAGGTCAGAGAAACGCTGTCTTTTGATGTACTTGTTACTCCAAGTTTTTCAGGTGGACTTGGTTTTTCTAAGAAAACACATCATCAAAAGAAAGAGAAGAATTATTACAACATTCTTTCCCCATGTGCATTCATCATGCATTTTCAGGTGAAAACTGTTCAATGAAGGTCATGTTTTTACTTTGATTTGAGTCTTCCTTCCTTTTTTATATAACCAGTTTGGCTTCTGAGACAACCGAATCTCCCTCAAGCCATGTCCTTACATGTTATAGCATTCAAATTCAAATTAGGTATTAAATAACTAGATTACATAATGGAATTTACCCCAAATTCCATTAGAGAATTCATGAGAATATAAAGGTGGGACAAAATGAACCATCTTGTAAGAAACTTGTCATATAGTTTCTGCACACACATATTCTCTCTCCATAATATATATACAGGGTGGGCATAAAGTTCATGTGCAATTTAAAATAGTATGTGATTATTATGCACACACACATATCTGCAGTTAGATTCAATTATACTTAAATTCAACATATGTATATTATCCAAGTCTAGCTATGTAAATTTCTAGTTTTTTTAAATCAATGAAAACTCTGTATTATAGATTTCATTTTGGGTGGTAGTATAAATATTTTGGGGTATGAACCAACAACATTGGAGATTAAATGATGACTAATTAGAATATTTATACTATTCTAGCAAAATAAACCTTAGGTATGTAGAATTTCCTTGTTTTAAAAACGTACCTGTTATTTTCACTCCTTCCTTCATTTCAGCTGGTATGCCAACACCAAACTCGTTTTCTCCGGCCACTCTGAAGTAGTAAATAGCTCCTTCTTGTAAGTTGGTAACTTTGTAGGACAGGCGGTTACAGTTATTGGTCACGGAGACCCATGCTTTCTTGCTGGCCTCGCGTTTTTCTATGTGGTAATTCTTCACTGGTGCTCCACCATCATTTTCAGGGACGTCCCAAGACAATACTGCAGACTCTTTGGTTACATCGTGTACAGTAATATTGGCTGGAGGACCTGGGGAATCTAAAACTTTGACAACTAAGGTCAGAGTAGCAGCACTCAAAACGTTCTGAATTGTTAATGTGTATTTTCCAGAATCACTTCTGTTGGCATTTTCAATAGTGAGTGATGTACGAGAGTCCGTGGAATCAATATAAGCTCTAGTGCGGAGGTCAGTGTCTGGCTTACTCCACGAGACACTGGGTACTGGTCTTCCTCGGAAAGGCACAGTCATGGTAAATGAGGTGCCTGCCTTGACAATCAAGGTCTTCCTCATTTCACTGTCAATATCAAATACAGGCTCTTCTTCTCTTTCTTTTGCTACCTGAAGGTCAGAGCTTTCACTGGGATCACTAGCACCGACCTTATTGACAGATCTCACTCTAAAAACATATTCAGCTCCTGTTGTGAGTCCACTTACTGTATATTCTGTACCTCTTAAGTTCTGAATGGCAGTTTTCCAGTCAGTTTCATCAGAAGTTTTATATTCTACAGTGTATCCAGTTATTGGGGCCCCACCATCAAACAAGGGCTTAACCCAGCTAATAGTAATAGTTGTCTTGCTTGAGTCCACAATTTTGGGTTTGGATGGAGGAGATGGTAAGAACACTGGATCTTCTGCCCGAATTAAGGGAGAGGGTTCACTTGGAAGGCTTAGGCCAGCAGCATTTTCTGCATAAACCCGATACTCATATTCACACCCTTCCCTAAGTCCAGTTGATTTCACTCTCAGATCATAAACTGGTTTTTTGTTTACACGCACCCATAGTAGGCTGTTTTTCTCTCGCCTTTCAATGATATATCCAGAGATTTCACTGCCTCCATCACTCTCAGGTCTTGCCCAACATAGTGTCATGAACTCTTTGGTCACAGATGTAATCTCCAAAGATGTGGGTGGACTTGGAACTGTAAATGGATCTAGTGCCTTTACAGCCACACTCTCTAGGGACTCACCAACACCATATTTATTAACACCAGTGACTCTAAATATATATTCATTGCCTTTGAGTAACTTGGTTACTTTGCAGAATGTCGTCCGCAACTCTGCTTCACATATTGTCCATGCAAGGCGGCTTGTTTCACGCTTTTCTACAATGTAATAGTCGATATCTGCACCGCCATCTTCTTGGGGACGTCCCCAGGAAAGAGAGCATTTCTCAGAAGTGAGGCCACTTATTTCAAGTGGTCCTGCTGGTGGGCCAGGCTTATCAAGTATCTTGCAATTAACTGCCACAGATCGAGTTCCTGCAACATTCTTCAGTGTTAGTGTATATTGCCCAGTGTCTCGTCTTACACAATCTTTAACTGTTAATGAAGTATTAGAGTCTGTTGAGACAATTTCTGTTCTTGCTCTTTCTTCAATTTCTACACCATCCTTGGCCCAGGAGATTACTGGCAGAGGTCGCCCTGCAATGTCTGCATTTATCTTAAGGATCTCTCCAGCTTTGACAACAACTACATCTCGGAACTTGACATCCATCATAATTCTTGGAGCCTCAACATCATCTTTGACTGTAATAGGTCCAGTGGATTCAGATGGTTCGCTAATGGAGTCAGCAGCATTCCTTGCAAAAACCCGGAATTCATAACGCTGATCTTCAGTAAGTTCAGTTACTTCAAAGTATGTTTCTTGTACGTTAGTATAATTGCACTTCAGCCACCGGCCATCTGGGAGTTCTCTACGTTCAACAATGTATCCTGTGATCTTAGCTCCACCATCATAATGTGGTTTAGACCATTTAAGTGACACTGATTTTCTTGTGATATTTGTGACTTCAGGTTGTCCAGGAGGATCACAAGGATCTCTTGCAGGGACTGGTTCACAAGACTTACTGCATTTGCCAATTCCAGCAATATTCTCAGCATATACACGATACTCATACATCAGACCCTCATCAAGGCCAGAGACTTTCATTTGAGTATCAGCAATGAGGACTTTATTTGCTTTTGACCAAAGAATGCTGCTTCTTTCTTTATACTCAAGGTGATAGCCGATTACTTGACTTCCTCCATCATTAACTGGAACTTGCCAGCTTACAATCATGGTAGATTTGGTGGCATGCACAACTTTTGGAGTACCAGGAGGACCTGGGGGACTGAATGGGTACTCCACAACAATAGCTGAAGATTCACTGTAGGTACTCTTTCCATAACGGTTTTCTGCACAGACACGGAACTGATACTCACTTCCTGTTATCAGACGAACTATTTTAATAGATGTTCTTGCAACTGCTTGGGAGACTACATGCCAAGTTGTAGAAGTGGTTTCTTTCTTTTCAACAATGTAATTGCTAATTTGGCAGCCACCATCATATTCTGGAGGAGTCCAAGAAATAGTTACATTGTCGCAACTAACCTCATCGATATGTATGGGACCTGGAGGTCCTGGTCTGTCAAGGACAATTACGGTAATAGGAACTGTTACAGATCCAGCACTATTTGAAACACATAATTCATAAGTTCCAACATCTTCCCTTGAAGCTTCCTTAATAGATAGTGATGTTACAGTCTTTGAAGAAGAAACGTTGACTCTAGTTGTCTCTTTAAGTGTCTGACCATCTTTTTTCCAGGTCACAGTAGCTTGAGGTCTTCCTTTGAATGGTACATCAATCTTAAGTTGGTCTCTAGCCTTTACATTGTAAGTATGGAAAGGTAGCTCAACTGAAGGCTTTATTTCAATATCTCTTGCAATTACTGGCACTCCCAGTTGTCTTGGATCACTTCTTCCTTTTTCATTAACTGCAGCTACCCGGAAGGCATACTCTTCACCTGCAGTTAGGCCAGATACGGTTGCTTCTAAAGTCTTAACTTGTGTACAAGTGCTCCATTTTTCACTCCCTTTAGTCTGCATTTCAACTACATAACCAGTGATTTTGCTTCCACCATCACTTTCTGGTTTCTCCCACTTAAGTGTAGCTGTATTACGGGTCACATCAACAAGAGTTACTCTTCCAGGTGGGAGGGGTGGTTCAGCTGCTTTAACGGGTTCAGTTGTTTCAGCTGGTAAACCAATCCCATATTCATTGGAAGCTAAGACTCGGAAGTAGTAAGAACATCCTTCTTGTAGATTTTCGATTTTGAAAGTATTTTTAGTGCAATTGTTTGTAATAGTAGCATAGGCTTTTCTTGTCGTTTCTCGTTTTTCAACAATGTAGTTTGTAATCTTAGCTCCGCCATCAATAAGTGGTGGTTCCCAGGACAGTATCACTGAGTCCTTCTTTACTTCTTTTACAGTCAGATTCACAGGAGCACTTGGTGAGTCAAGAACTCTGACATTAACAAAAGCTGTTTTGGAGCCACTGTTATTTTCTAATGTCAGATTGTACCGACCACTGTCAAATCTGGTCACGTTGTCAATCACCAACATTGTAAAGGAGCTGGTCACCTCAATCTGGGCCCTGTCAGTGAGAATGCCATCAGCCTTTTCCCACTTCACTTCAGGTTCTGGTCGACCTTTGATAGTGACGAATAAGCGTAACGTAGCGCTTGCACGCAGAATGACAACCTTTCTGAGATCAGCATCAAGTTCTATTTCTGGTGGCTCTGCCCTCTCCTGAGCAGCAACTGAGCCAGGGATAGTTGCAGGTTCACCTACGCCTTCAGAATTGATGGCACAAATTCGGAAGTTATATTCAGTATTTTCTTTAAGTTTGGTCACTGTAAACTGTTTTCCTTGTAGTCCGGTTGGTGGAGTGCAAGTTGTCCATTCATCAGCAGAGGCTTCTTTGACCTCAACCACATAGCCTTTAACAGGTGCACCACCATCATAAATTGGCTTACTCCATGCCAGTGATACAGAAGATCTGGAAGTGTCTGTCACTTTTGGATTGCTTGGTGGACCTGGTGGATATAAGGCATCACATGCACGGTAGAAAACAGATGGCTCACTGGGTTCACCCACACCAGCTGCGTTTTCAGCAGAAACTCTGAATTCATAGGAATGGCCTTCAGTAAGACCAGTTACCCGGAACCGGAGATCTGTTAGTGTCTTCTTATTGCACTTGGTCCATCTAATGCCTTCTTTATCTCGTTTCTCGAGAATGTAGCCCTCAATTTCAGCACCTCCATCATCTACTGGCCGAGCCCATGTTACTACCATAGAGTCTTTGGTGATTGTTGAGACTTCAGGTGTTGAAGGTGGGCCTGGTGGCTTATAAGGATTACGGGCTATAACAGGCTCAGATTCCAGTGGCTCTCCAATTCCATATTTATTCACAGCCATGACACGGAAAATGTACTCATTACCAGGAAGAAGTTTAGTTACTTTATAGTTAAGGGCTGGTACCTCAGTTGAAACCTGGGTCCAGGAAAGTCGGCTTGTCTCTCTCTTTTCAATGATGTAATGAGAAATACTGGCACCACCATCTTGCAAAGGTGGGTTCCATGCCAGGTAACATTTTTCTTCGGTAACTCCGGTAACTTTCAGCGGCCCTTCAGGAGGCCCTGGCCTGTCAAGGACCTTTACAGTGATTGGTATAGACTTTGTACCACCAACATTGCTGAGTTTCAGAACATATTGTCCTCCATCAGCCCGTATACAGTCTTTGACAACAAGAGATGTTTTCTGAAGAGTAGATTTAATTTCCATTCTAGCAGCTGTTTCTTCAAGCTCTTTTCCATCTTTTGACCAAACAATATCAGGTATGGGTTTGCCGCGGATATCAGCTTCAAGAACAAAAGTCTCTCCTGCATGAACAACGATGACATCTTTATATTTTGGATCCAAAGAGGCATCTGGTGCATCAATTTCATCTCTTGCAGTAATGGCACCACTGCTCTCAGATGGTTCGCTAAAGTTGCCAGCTGCATTTCTTGCAATTACTCTAAATTCATATCTTTGGTTTTCTACAAGTCCGCTCACTGTAAATTCAGTATCTAATACATTGGTAAAGCTGGCTTTCATCCAGCGGCCATCAGGTAGATCTTTCTTTTCTACAATATAACCTGTTATTTTGCTGCCACCATCATAGGCAGGTTTCTTCCACTTCAGGGTGACACTGTTTCTTGTAATGACAATGGCTTCAGGGCGACCAGGTGGGTCACATGGATCACGAGCAACAAAGCATTCTGAGACTTTGCTAGGCTTGCCGATGCCAACAACATTTTCAGCAGAGACTTTAAACTCATACTCAAGGCCTTCATCAAGCCCAGTTGTTTTGAATTTGGTATCTTGAATGGGAGTCTTATTTACCTTGACCCATAAAATGCTGTTCTTTTCTTTCTGTTCAAGGTGGTAGCCAATAACTTTGCTGCCTCCATCATTAACTGGCTCATGCCATTGCACGAGCATTTGATCTTTTGAGATTGATGTCACAAAAGGAGTTCCAGGTGGTCCGGGTTCTTTGAATGGATATTGTACAACAACTGGTTTAGAATCCAGGGAGGTACTTTTGCCATATCTGTTTTCAGCAAAAATCCTAAACTGGTACTCAGTGCCTGTTTTCAGTTTTGTTATTTTAATTGTTGTTCTTGCAACTGTGGCAGATACCATGTGCCAAGTGGTGGTGGTTGTATCTCGTTTCTCTACAATGTAGTTGCTTATTTGGCAACCACCAGTATAGGCTGGAGGTTCCCAAGATATGACCACAAAGTCTGCACTAACTTCATCAAACCGAACTGGTCCAACCGGAGGCCCAGGCTTTTCTAAAACGATAATGCTGAGGTTTTCTGTGGCTGTGCCTGCACTATTTGTGGCTGTTATGGTGTACTTCCCGAAGTCATCTTTGTTACATTCCTTTATGTGCAAAATAGTTGAGGTAGCTGTTTCTTCAACATTTGCTCTTGTTGTTTGTTTAAGAGGCTCACCATCTTTGACCCAGTCAATTTTAGGTCTTGGTCGGCCTATAACTGGAATTTCTATTTTAAGATCTTCTCCTGCTTGGACACTGTATGTGTTAAATGGTAACTTTAAACTAGGCTGTATAGTCAAGTCCTTGGCTATGACAGGAACACCAAGTGCCCTTGGATCACTTTTTCCTTTCTCGTTGTAAGCTTTGACACGGAATTGATATTCTTGTCCAGAACTCAAACTGGTGACAACTGCATTACAGACTTTCGACTCAGCCACAGTACTCCATTTTTCAGTTCCTTTGGGCTGCATTTCAACAACATACCCCAGGATTCTGCTACCACCATCATGTTCAGGTTTCTCCCACATAAGTGATGCACTGGTCTGGGACACATCAGTGAGTGTAACTTTTCCTGGTGGTGAAGGAGGTTCAGCAGCTTTCACAGCATCCACAGTCTCCACTGGAACACCAACTCCAAATTCATTTTCAGCCATTACTCTAAAGTAGTAAGTGGCTCCTTCTGTAAGATTCTCAACTTTAAAACTTGTTTTGCTGCACTTACTGCTCACATTAGCATATGCTTTTCTTGTTGACTCACGTTTGTCAATGACATAGTTCTTGACTTTTGCGCCCCCATCGATAATGGGTGGTTCCCATACCAGAAGGACAGAATCCTTTCTCACTTCTTTGACTGTCAAATTCTGTGGTGGTCCTGGGGTGTCAAGAACTTTCACAGTTACAAAAGCAGACTTAGATCCACTGCTGTTTTCCAGCTTGAGAATGTATTTTCCAGCATCATTTCTGTCACAGTTATCTATTGATAGTTGGGTATAATTTACTCCCTTTTCAATTTGCACCTTATCTGTGAATTCACCTTCCTCTCGAGACCAAGTGATCTCAGGTGTTGGACGACCTTTGAATGGAATATGAATTCTGGCAGATCCACCAGCTCTTACAACAATTCCTTTCCTTAATTCAGAGTCAAGGTCAAGTTCAGGAGCTTCAAGTTTATCTTCTGGTTTCACAGTACCAGGAACTGATGCAGCCTCTCCTAAACCAACTTTGTTGAGGGCACACACTCGTATTTTATATTCTTGGTGTTCAATGAGTTTTGAAATTTCAAATCGAGTGACTCTCAGACCAGTCTGTGGAGTAACTATCTGCCATTCTTCTTCATCTGCTTTACAGATCTCTACTACATATCCTAGGATCTCGCTGCCACCATCATAGATGGGTTTACCCCAGGCAAGTGTAATTGAGTTTTTAGTGGTATCTACAGTGTGCACATTGGTGGGTGGGCCAGGCTTAAACACAGGATCACAAGCTTTATAATAAACTGTAGCTGGACTTGGTTCTCCAATTCCAGCAGCATTTTCTGCAGAAACTCTGAACTCATACTCATGATCTTCTGTCAATCCTGTTACTCGTAGTCGCAAATCTGTAATGCGGCGTTTATTACATTTTATCCATCGAATGCCACTTCTGTCTCTTTTCTCTACAATGTAGCCAATAATCTCACTTCCTCCATCACTATCTGGGCGGTTCCAGCAGACAGTCATGGAGTCTTTGGCAATGTTTGTAACTTCCAGGCTTTTTGGTGGTCCAGGAAGCACAAATGGATTTTTCATCAGGACTGGTGCAGATTCCAAAGGCTCTCCAACACCATACTTGTTGACAGCCATTATACGGAAAATATATTCATTCCCTTCTAAGAGTTTGGTAACTTTCAGAGAATTGGTCACAACTTCTGAAGAAACAACAGTCCAAGCAAGCCGACTGGTTTCTCGCTTTTCAACAACATAGTGAGAAATGTCACTGCCACCATCTTGAAGTGGTGGGGACCATGTTAAATTGCATTTTTCAGAAGTGACTCCAGTAACCTGGACTGGCCCTTCTGGAGGTCCTGGTCTGTCTAATACTTTCACATTTACTGGGAATGACTTAGAACCTGCAACATTGGATGCTCTTAAAATATACTGTCCGCCATCAATTCTAATGGCATCCTTTACTATAAGTAAAGCCTTGAAATCTGTATTCTTTATTTCACATCTAGCAGATTCTTCAACTTCTTTATCTCCTCTTAACCACTCGATGGTAGGCAAGGGCTTCCCATAGACATCAGCCTCAAGCCTGAATGTTTCTCCAGCATTTACCACAATTGTATCTCTGTATTTTGGATCCATTGAAATTCTCGGGAGTTCGACCTCATCCTTGGCAGTTATTGGTCCGGTACTGTCAGAGGGTTTACTTATTGTACCAGCTGCGTTCTTTGCAATGACTCTGAATTCATATCTTTGATCTTCAGTAAGACCTGACACAGTGAATTGAGTTTCAATGACATTTGTGAAGCTAGCTTTCATCCATCGACCATCAGGCAAATCACGTTTCTCCACAATGTAGCCTGTGATCATACTTCCACCATCATACACAGGTTTGGTCCACTGTAGAGTGATTTCATTTCTTTTAATTATTATTGCTTCTGGGGTTCCTGGTGGGTCACAGGGATCTCTGGCTACATAGCATTCAGAATTCTTGCTTGCTTTGCCTACACCAACAATATTTTCAGCATAAACTCTGAATTCATATTCAATGCCTTCTTCGAGATTCTGTGCTTTAAACTGGGTATCATGAATAATAGTTTTGTTGACTTTTGTCCACATAATACTATTTCTTTCCTTTTTCTCAAGGTGGTAACCTATGACTGGGCTTCCACCATTATTGATTGGTTCATGCCACTGCATAACCATGGAGTCTTTGGAAATGGCTGTGGCAAATGGTGTGCCTGGAGGGCCTGGCTCTTTGTAGGGATATTGAGCTACAATTGGATCAGACTCTAAGGCAAAGCTTTGTCCATATCTGTTTTCAGCAAAAATTCTGAACTGGTATTCTGTGCCAGTTTTCAGTTTGGTTACTTTGAGTGTAGTTCTAGCAACAGTAGCAGAAACAACATCCCACACTGTGGTGGTTGTATCTCTCTTCTGAACAATGTAGTTGGTGATTTGGCAGCCTCCTGTATATAATGGAGGATTCCAAGATATTGTAATACTTTCAGCACTGACTTCATCAAATTTAACAGGTCCTTTCGGAGGATCAGGCTTATCTAGAGTTATAATTTCGATGGATGCTGCTTTCTGACCAACAACATTGGCAACTGTGATTCCATATTGTCCACCATCATCCTTATGAGTTTCTTTAATACTGAGTGTGGTGAGATCAAGTGAATCAGTAACATTGACTCTTGTTGTCTGCTTCAGTGGAAGACTATCTTTAGTCCAGGTAATGGTTGGCTTAGGACGTCCAGAAATTGGTACTTCAATTTTCAAATCTTGGCCAACCTGTACACTGTAACTGCTGAATGCAGGTCTCACATCTGGTTCAATGACCAGATCTTTGGCAACTATTGGAACAGCGAGGGACCTTGGGTCACTTCTCCCCTTTTCATTTACAGCAACAACTCTGAAAAGATATTCTTCTCCCTGAGTTAGATTGGTAATTACTGCATCAAGAGACTTTACTCGAGCACACTCTGACCATTTCTCACTGCGTTTAGCTTGCATTTCCACAATATATTGAATGATTTTACTGCCACCATCGTGTTCAGGCTTTGTCCAACTCAGAGAGACACTGTTTCTGGTGACATCATCCACAGTTATTTTTCCTGGAGGTTGTGGGACTTCTGCAACCTTAATTGGATCAGCAGTGTGGGCAGGAAGGCCAATACCATACTCATTCTCTGCTGTGACTCTAAAGTAGTAACTGCAGCCTTCTTGGAGTTGTTCAATTTTCCAAGAATTCTTATGACAATTAGTTACAACAGCAGCATATGATTTTCTTGTGGCTTCACGTTTCTCAACAATGTAATTTTTTATTTTGGACCCCCCATCCAACAAAGGAGGTTCCCATGTAATTGATACTGAGTCTTTGGTGATATCTGTGACTTTTAAGTTAACAGGTGGACTTGGTGTGTCCAGGACTCTCACAGTAACAAAGGCAGACTTTGTTCCACTGCTGTTTTCTAAAGTGAGAGTGTATTTTCCACTGTCGTATCGGTTAACGTTGTCAAGAACAAGAGAGGTGAAACTGCTAGTGATGTCAATTATAGCTGCATCTCGTATTTCACCATCCACCTTCCCCCATTTAACTTCTGGTGTAGGACGACCTCTTATGGGAACAAATAACCTTAAGGAGCCCCCTGCTCTTATATTTATAATTTTCCTTAATTCTAGGTCAAGATCAATGTCAGGTGCTTCTAGTTTTTCTTCAACTATAACAGGTCCAGGGACATCTGCATGTTCTCCAACTCCAGCTTTATTAATAGCACAGATACGGAAGTTGTATTCATGCTTTTCCAAGAGCTTCTCAACTTCTATATTTGTTTTATTGATTCCAGTTGGTGGAGTGCACATTGTCCAATCACCAACACTCACATCACATTTTTCAACAATATATCCTTGGATTTCACAGCCACCATCATATATTGGTTTGCTCCAAGACAGGAAAACTGAAGACCTGGTAACATCTATGACTTTTGGGTTGTTTGGAGGTCCTGGCTTATAAATGGGATCACAAGCCTTTTGGTAAGCAGAAGGAAGGCTTGGTTCACTAAGTCCGGCAGCATTCTCAGCTGAGACTCTGAACTCATAATTGTGATTTTCTATGAGTCCAGTTACTCTCAAACGCAACTCCCCAACCAGACGCTTATGGCATCTTGTCCATCTAATGCCCTCTTTATCTCGTTTTTCAAGAACATAACCAAGAATTTCACTGCCACCATCAGATGCTGGCCTTTCCCATACAACAATCATTGAGTCTTTGGTCACTGTTGTAACTTCTGGAGCTTTTGGTGCATCTGGCACTACAAATGGATTCTTGGCAATGACTGGCTCAGATTCAAGAGGTTCACCAACACCATATTTGTTTACAGCCATTATACGGAAAATATATTCATTGCCTTCAAGAAGCTTAGTAACTTTGCAGCTGAGAGTTTGCACATTGGCATCAACCACAGTCCAAACTAAGCGGCTGGTTTCTCTCCTTTCCACAATATAATTTATGATATCACTCCCACCATCCTGAAGTGGGGGTTTCCAAGCAAGTGAGCATTTTTCTGCTGTAACTCCTGAGATGACAACAGGTCCTTCAGGTGGACCTGGCCTATCAAGAACTTTGACATTCACAGTCACTGATCGTTCTCCTGCAACATTTTTGGCCTTTAGTATATAATTTCCACTGTCAACACGAACTGCATCCTTTATGCTGAGACTGGTGGCAAAGTCAGTGCTCTTTATTTCTAATCGAGCTGTGCTTGAAAGCTCCTGATCGCCTTTAATCCACTGAATGGTTGGTATTGGTTTGCCGTAAACGTCTGCATCGACCCTGAATGACTCACCAGCATGCACCGTGACTGTGTCTTTGAATTTTGGATCCACACTGATTCGTGGTGGCTCAATTTCATCCCTTGCAGTGATCGCTCCTGTGCTCTCTGAAGGCTCACTGAACACTCCTGCAGCATTTCGAGCAATAACCCGGAACTCATATCTGTGGTCTTCAACAAGGCCAGTTACTTCAAACTGGGTGTCAATGATATTTGTAAAACTGGCTTTCATCCAGCGGCCCTCGGGTAATTCTTTCTTCTCAACGACATAACCAGTGATCTTGCTTCCACCATCATAGGCAGGTTTCTTCCACTGAAGTGTCACAGAATTCCTTGTGACAATGATTGCTTCTGGTCGTCCTGGTGGATCACAGGGGTCACGAGCTACATAGCACTCTGACACTTTACTTGGCTTGCCAATGCCCACAATGTTCTCTGCAGAGACTCTAAATTCATATTCAATGCCTTCTTCAAGGCCAGTTGCTTTAAACTTGGTTTGAGGAATGGGTGTTTTATTCAGCTTAACCCAGAGGATGCTATTTCTTTCCTTGCGTTCTAGATGATAGCCAATGACTCTGCTTCCTCCATCGCTGACTGGCTCGTTCCACTGTACTTCCATGCTGTCCTTGGAGGAGAGAGTGACAATAGGAGTGCCGGGAGGACCAGGAACTTTGAATGGATACTGGGCCACAATAGGCTCTGAATTGAGGTAGGTACTCTTTCCATATCGGTTTTCAGCTGCAATTCTAAACTGATATTCACATCCAGTCTTTAATCTGCAAGCCTTTATTGTTGTCCTTGCAACCGTGGCTGACACAATTTGCCAGGTGGTTGTGGAAGTGTCCCGTTTCTCAACAATGTAGTTATTGATAGAACTTCCCCCATCATACTTAGGTGGGCCCCAGGAAAGAGTAATACTGTCAGCAGTTACTTCATCCATTTTAACTGGTCCACTTGGAGGCCCTGGTTTGTCAAGGACAATAACATTAAGGGTTTCAGTAGCTTCACCAGCACAGTTAGTTAGTTTCACTACATAATGGCCAACATCTTCTCGGCAAGCTTCCTTTATTGTCAGCAGTGAGTTATTTTCTGTGCTCTCTGCATTGACTCGGGTTGTCTGCTTCAGTGGCACATCGTCTTTATGCCAGGTTACAGCTGGTGTAGGGCGGCCAATGAATGGAACATCAACTTTCAGGTCTTCACCTGCCAAGACGGTGAAAGTATTGAATGGGAGTTTGAAGGCTGGTGGAATGACAAGATCTTTGGCAATCACTGGCACGCTCAGTTGTCTAGGATCACTGATGCCTTTTTCATTCTGAGCTGAAACACGGAAGGAGTATTCCTCACCCTGAATTAACCCAGTTATAGTGGCTTCGGTGACCTTGACTGTGGCACATGTGGCCCATTTATCACTGCCTTTGCTCTGCATCTCCACAATGTAGCCTAGAATTCGGCTGCCTCCATCATGCTCTGGTTTCTCCCATGAGAGTGACACACTGTTTCTTGTGACATCCACCAAGGTTATTTTTCCTGGAGGAAGAGGTCGTTCTGATGCTTTCACAGATTCTGCAGTTTCAGCGGGCAGCCCAATGCCATATTCATTTTCAGCGAGAACCCTGAAATAGTAGCTACAGCCTTCTTGAAGCTGCTCTACTTTCCAGGAAGTCTTGTGGCAGTTCGTGGCAACTGTTGAATATGCTTTTCTTGTTGATTCCCGCTTTTCAACAATATAGTTCTTTATTTTTGAACCTCCGTCCAGGAGAGGAGGCTCCCATGTCAGGGTGACAGATGTCTTGGTGACCTCCTTTACCTTCAGGTTCTGTGGAGGGCCTGGGGTATCTAGTACTCTAACATTGACAAATGCGGACTTGCTGCCTGAGCTGTTTTCTACAGTTAGTATGTATTTGCCACTGTCGAATCGGTTTACATTTCCAACAATAAGCAGGGTATAAGAGCTTGTGGATTCAATGCTGGCTTTCTCTAAAGATTCTCCATGTTCTCGGGTCCACTTCACCTCAGGTGCAGGCCTTCCTTTGATTGGAACAAAAAGTCTCAGGGTACAACAGGCTCTTATAGTAACAACTTTGCGCAGGTCAGCATCCAGTTCAATCTCTGGAGGCAGCAATCTGTCTTCAGCCTTTGGAGTTCCAGGAACAAGGGCAGGTTCCCCAAGTCCTTCAGAATTCATGGCATAGATGCGAATTTTATATTCTTGATTCTCCATGAGGTTGGTGATGGTATAAGAAGTTGCCTTGAGCCCAGCTGGTGGAGTGACGACCTGCCACTCATCTTCCTCTGGCAGGGCAATCTCAACCATATACCCAGTGATTTCTGAACCACCATCATAGATAGGTTTATTCCAAGCGATTGAAATGGATGATCTGCTTGTATCTAGAACTCGTGGGTTACCTGGTGGGCCAGGTTTAAATACAGCATCACAAGCCTTATAAAATGGACTTGTAGCACTTGGTGCACTAATTCCAGCAGCATTTTCAGCCATAATCCTGAACTCATATTCATGTCCTTCTGTCAGTCCAGAAACTTTATATCTTAAATCAGTAAGAGTCTTTTTGTTGCATTTCACCCAGCGTTGCCCGGCTTTATCACGCCGTTCCACAATATAATTGATGATTTCACTTCCTCCATCAGAGTCAGGATGTCCCCAGCAGACAACCATCGAATCTTTAGTAATTGTTGTAACTTCAGGATTTTTGGGTGGATCAGGGGGTCCATAAGGATTCACTGCAAGCACAGGCTCTGATTCTAGTGGCTCTCCAACTCCATATTTATTTACAGCCATGACACGGAATATGTATTCATTGCCTTTCAGAAGTTTAGTGACCTTTAGTTTTGTTACTTGGACTTCTGAGGCTACATTTGTCCAGGCCAACCTGCTGGTTTCACGTTTCTGTATTATGTAGTGATCGATTTTGGCACCTCCATCATCTAGTGGAGGCAACCATGATAACACACACTTTTCTGATGTCACTTCAGATACATCTAAAGGTCCTTCAGGTGGGCCTGGTCTATCAAGGACTTTGACATTGAAAATATGTTTGGCAAAGCCACCAGGATTAGTCGCTGTGAGTGTATAGGCACCACTGTCCGTTCTCGATGAATCCTTGTTTACCAGATTAGTAGAGAAATCTGCAATTTTTATTTCTAATTTTGCTGTGTTTTCTAGCTCCTTTCCATCTTTGGTCCACTCCATTGTTGGGGGTGGGCGACCCGAAACATCAGCTTCCAGCTTGAACGCTTCACCAGCTTTTAATATAACTGTGTCCTTAAATCTGACATCTACCATGATCCTTGGTGCTTCAATGTCGTCCCTGCACGTGATAGCATCGGATGGCTCAGATGGTGGACTGATGGCACCAGCAGCATTTTTGGCAATCACACGGAATTCATATGCAGCGTCTTCTGTTAGGCCACTGACTGTAAATTCATTCTCCAAAATGTTGCTGAAGTTAGCCTTTAGCCACCGGCCATTAGGAAGGTCTCTCTTTTCAACTATATAACTAGTAATTTTAAAGCCTCCAGTATATTCAGGCTTGGCCCATTTAAGTGTCACAGTATGTCTAGTAATATTTAAAGGTACAGGTTTCCCAGGTGGGTCGATGGGATCCAAAGCTAACATAGGTTCAGACGGCTTGCTTGGCTTGCTTTTGCCTGCCATGTTTTCTGCAATCACTCGGAATTCATAAGCAATACCATCTGTAAGTCCAGTTGATTTGAAAATGTTGCCTGGTACTAATGCTTTGCTCACAGTCTGCCAGAGAATACCATTTCGTTCTTTTCTTTCAATGTGATATCCTAAAATGGGGCTTCCCCCATCAGAAAGAGGCTCGTGCCAGCTAATTGTCATTGAATCTTTGGTAACTGCTGTTACCTGGGGGGTACCAGGAGGCCCAGGAACCTTAAATGGATAGTTGGCAACGACAGATGCTGATGTGATGCCTGGTCCAACTCCATATCTGTTTTGAGCTTTTACACGGAATTGATACTCTACACCAGTAGTAAGGCGGGTGGCTTTATAGGTTGTGCGTATAACAGTGGTTGCTAATTCGACCCAGGTGGTGCTGTCAGTCTGCCGCATTTCTACCACGTAGTTGCTTATTGGAACACCTCCATCATTTTCAGGGGGGTCCCAAGAAAAGGTTACAAAATCAGATGAAACTTCATCAAATTTGATTGGTCCAGTAGGTGGCCCTGGGATATCATGAACTTGAATGGTGATGACATCACCGACCTCTCCTACAATGTTCCTTGCTGTTAATGGATAGGGCCCGCTATCACTTCGGACACACTCGTTGATATTTAAGATGGTTGAAGTTGCTGTGTTTTCAAAATTAACTCTCTGTGTCTGTTTAAGAATTTGGTCTCCTTTCTTCCATGTCACTGTGGGCTGTGGTCGGCCAAGCACTGGAATTTCTACTTTGATGTTGTCCCCAGCTCTGGCAATGACCAATTTCTGATAGATGCCACGAAGATCCAACTCTGGAAGCATTGTCTGCTCCTTGACAATGACGGGTCTGCTCTCTCGAGGGGCACTTCTCCCGGCACTGTTCACTGCCATCACTTGGAAGGTGTATTCCTCCCCCTCGGTTAGATTCCTCACAACACATTCTAAGCCTTTCACAGTTGTGATGTGGGTCCACTGGTCAGCACCTTTTCTTTGGGCTTCAATCACATAGCCAGTGATCTTGCTGCCACCATCGTGCTTGGGTTTAGGCCATGCCAGGCTGACAGTGCTCCTAGTTATGTCCATGATGTTAAGGCTGTCTGGTGGTGACGGTGCTTCAGAGGCTCTCACAGGTTCTGTAGTTTCTGTTGGCTCACCAATTCCATATTCATTCTCTGCCATCACTCTGAAGAAGTATTCACATCCTTCAGTCAAGCCAGTAACTTTATACGTACATTTATGGCACTTTGTAGTGGCTGTGGCATAAGATTTCCGCGTTGCTTCACGTTTCTCTATAATATAGTTTGTTATACGTGAGCCTCCATCTATCAGAGGGAGGTCCCAATGCAGGGTGACACTGTCCTTTGTGATGTCTGTAGGTCGTAGGTTGAGGACAGGGCCTGGCGTGTCCAAGACTCTGACATTAACAAAGCCACTTTTCTTTCCAGCAGGGTTTTCAATGGTCATCACAAATTTACCGGTGTCATATCTGTTACATTCTGGGATAATCAGGAGAGTAAATGACTCTGTGTTTTCAATGTTGGCTCGGGTTTTCAGGTTGACATCATCTTTGGTCCACGTCACTTCAGGTGCAGGACGACCTTTAATTGGCACAAATATTCTAATACTGAGTCCTGCTCTAACAACAAGTGTTCTTCGAAGCTCAGCATCTAGTTCAAAATCAGGAGCCACTTCCCGTTCTACAATTTCAACATCTGGAATCAGTGCTGGCTCCCCGACACCTGCATCATTAATGGCACTGATTCTAAAGTTGTATTTTTCTTTAGTATGAAGATCAGGGACAACAAACTCAGTGATTCTGAGAGCAGTTCCTGTTGTGTCTTTTATCCAGGCCTCTTCTCCTACTTTTTGATGCTCTACAATATAGCCCGTGATTTCAAGTCCACCATCATAATGAGGCTTGCCCCATGCTAGGGAAGCAGATTTCTTGGTGGTATCAGTGACACGTGCATTTGCAGGTGGCCCTGGAGGATCTGGAAAAGAAACAAAGTGTATATTCAGAGTTTGGCTTTTGGATAATTTATATAAAATATTGGCACTCCCGAATGAACAGTGTTGAGAAGGATAAATACTAACATGCAGCATCTTTCATTAGAACGGAATTTGAAGCAGCACTAGGTGGACCAATTCCTGCTCTGTTTTCTGCACTGACACGGAATTCATAGGTGCTTCCTTCTTGCAATCCTGTTACTTTGCATCTGAGATCGGAAACGGGTGTCTTTGTTGCCCTCACCCATCGCAAGCTTTTCTTTTCTCTCCTTTCTATATGATATCCTGTGATTTCACTGCCACCATCATCCACTGGTCTCTTCCAGCTGACAGTTGCAGTGTTCTTAGTGACATTTGATACCTCTGGTTTTTCAGGAGGGCCAGGAGGACCTGAAAAAGAAACAAATTTATGAGAAATGCCTGATTTCCCTAACTGTGCTGCGAATGTTTCCATATTAATTCCCTCACATGCTCTACATACCAAATCTGTCTACCATTTTGACAGGCTCAGACTGTACGGGTTCTCCTTGGCCATAATGGTTTACAGCTGAAACCCGGAAGATGTACTCATTTCCTTGGATAAGTTTGGTTGCCACATGCCTGCAAGACTGGATATCTTCAGAAACCACCGTCCATAAAAGTCTACTGGTTTCTCTCTTTTCAAGAACGTAGGACTTAATCGGTGAGCCACCATCTTCCAAGGGAGGTGTCCAGGTAAGTGTTGCTTTTTCAGCAGAAACATTACTGATTTCAATAGGACCCGGAGGACCAGGTACATCAAGGACTGTTACCTTCACATGTTCCTCCTTTGTGCCAAAAGCATTGGTAGCAGTGATGGTGTATTCACCAGCATCTTTTCTTGTGGAATACTTGATAGCAAGCATGGAAGATGTCGGGGTCGTAGTTATCTGAGCGATATCTGATGGTCTAATATCTTTTCCTGCCTTGGACCAACTTGACTTTGGCAGGGGTTTGCCGAGAATGCTAATGGCACTCAAAACAATGGTTTCCCCTGCTTTCACTGTTAGCCCATCTTTTATTGTTGGATCAAGGACAATGGTTGGTGCCTCTGCAAAGGCAAAAAAATTCATTTAAATCAGAAAATTAAGGAGGCTTAATTTCCAATTTTTACAAAGCACATAAAAAATAAAATGGACTTACCATATTCATCCTTGCAAATAATGGTTCCTGTACTTTCTGATGGAGCACTGATAGCACCTGCTGTATTCTTTGCTCTAACTCTGAATTCATACTTTCCACCCTCAACAAGGTCAGTTACAGTAAAGGCACAGTCAGGTACATTAACGTGATTGGCTTTCATCCAAGTCTTAGAAGGGAGATCCCGTTTCTCCACTATATATCCGGTTAACTTATGACCACCATCATATTTGGGTTCAGTCCAAATAAGAGTCACTGAATTCCTTGTTACATTAATAACCTCAGGTTTTCCAGGAGGATCTAAAAATATAAAACCAAAATAAGTCGAACAAATGTCAATCTTTTCTTCATACAGAAAAAGCACCTGAGTTTTTCTTCCTGTAATGACTTACCAATTGGGTCAAGTGCCACGACTGGCTCTGATGGCAGGCTTGGCTTGCCTACACCTGCTAAATTGATTGCCATAACTCGGAATTCATACTCAAGACCTTCAGTTAGTCCTGTCACTTTGAAGTCTTTCATTCTGATAGGAGTCTTGTTAGCTCTCTTCCACAAAAGGCTGTTTCTTTCTTTGAACTCAATATGATACCCTGTGAAAGACCCAGGGGTGTGTCAATTCACACAGAAAGTAAAAATATAGCCTAATTTTACAATATAAATATTTTTGCCCAAATCATTTATATTTGAACAGATAATCACTATTGCTAGTATCCACACATTTATTACCCAGAAATAGAGCCATTTATTTTTTCTCTTGGAATGTATATAGTTATTGTCCCCTCTGTTGAATATTTTAATTTATAAAAATAGACATTATCACTATGAAAGATTATTTTTACTAATTATTACATTATGAGGTTTTCAATGAAATTAACACTAGCCATATGTAGTAAAAGAAAAATGCAGATAGTGCTATTAATAAGTGAAAATGTTGAACAGGGAAATATTTGGAAGGAAACTTGATGTGAAAGTTGTAGAATAAGAGCAAACCAAATACCTGTAATTGGAGAGCCACCAGTTTTCTTGGGATCAGTCCAAGTTAGAGAAACTGAGTCGTGTCTGACATCCACAATCTTGGGAGGTGGGGGAGCATCAGGTACATCTAGAAAGAGTAGATAATGCAAGATTTATAATAAGGAACTTCCTCAAAACCATGTTTTGCTTTATGTTTTCTGACTTTGAGACACTTACCAAATGGATGTTTTGCAACAATTGGTTCTGATTTGAGGCCTTCACCTACACCATATTTATTTTCAGCACTGACCCTAAAGGTATATTCCATGCCCTCATGCAGTCTGGTTACTCTGAAGGTGGTTTTCTGGACAGCAGAGGCACATGTCACCCACTTGTTGTTCACAGAATCTCTCTTCTCCAGGATATAGTTGGTGATCTCAGAACCTCCGTCATCCTTTGGAGGATGCCACTTTAAGGTCATGGCGTCTGCTGTGACTTCATCAAATTTGATTGGCCCAGTGGGGATGCCAGGCTTGCCAACAACCTTTATGGAGATAGTTCCTTCCTTGGTGCCAGCAACATTCTTAAGTGTGATTGTATATTTTCCAGCATCAGATTTTTGGCAATCATATACTATAAGAGTTGTGTTAACTGCAGATGATTCAACGCTGACTCTTGTGTCAGTTGGGAGAGGATCTTCTCCTTTCTTCCAGGTTACTGATGGAGCTGGCTTGCCTTTTATGGGGATCTTAAGACGGAAGTTGCTGTTTTCTTTAGCCAAGTAGCACAAATCAGGTAGATCTTTTAAGTCAAGATCAGGAGCCACTGTAAAACAGCAGAGATAAATTGTTGTTATTTTTAAGGGTGGGCAATTAACTTTTTCAGAGATTTATAGTTTTTGGGAGACTTTTAGATAAGCCAGTGAGTAGAGCTCAAAAGTGCACTTTTGATGACAATAAAGGAAAACGAAACTGTAGAGGTAGAGGCTTACCAACATCATCCTTTGCCACGACGGAGATTTCACTGGGAGTTCCTTCTCCATTTTCATTCTCAGCACTCACTCTGAAGGTGTATTCCTTCCCTTCATGAAGATCTCTTGCGGAGTACTGTAGGCTTAAAGACTTCATAACTCGTTGCCACTTATTGTCTTCAGTCAGGAAATCGACTACATATCCGGTAATTCGACTTCCACCATCACTGCGAGGCTTTTTCCAGCCAATGGTACAAGATGACTTAGATACAGACATGACTTTCAGGTCCACAACTGGTCCAGGGGTTTCTGAAGTAAAGGAGATATGATAAGTCTAAGCCCCAGATAGCCAACCAAGGTAGGACATCACTGAAAATGATGGCGTGGAAGCTCATTTGCTCACCGGAAGCTTTGGCGGCGTCACGTGTTTCACCAGGATCACCGATGCCATACTCATTTTCAGCAAACACCCTGAAGAAGTAGGATTTCCCCTCCTCCAAGTTAGGTACTCTGAAGCTTGTTTTTGAGCACTCAGTTGTCACTGTAGACCAGGATTTTCTCTCTGCATCACGTTTTTCTACCACATAGTTTATGATGGGGCTTCCACCATCAATGATAGGAGGCTCCCAGGTGACATAAGCAGAGTCTTTGGATATTTCCTTAACAGTCACATTGATGGGGGGCCCAGGAGTATCTGGATAAATAGTGGTAAGTAAGGAATGAACATGTAAAAAATATCTAAACTGTATTTTTAAACATATGTGATTCTTTTTGTCAAGTAGACTTACCAAGCACTTTTACCACAATGGTGTATTCCTTTTTGCCACAGCTATTCTCCAGGGTCAAGATATATTTCCCTGCATCATATTTATTCACATTTTCACAACGCAAGAAAGTGTCAAAGTCAGTTGACTTTATGTCCAGTCCAATCCTTTCTCTTAGATTGACATTTGGTTTAGACCACGTAATCTTTGGTGGTGGACGTCCTTTTACTGGTACATACAGTCTCATAGTAACTCCAGCACGTAATATCAGTGTTTTCCTTAGATCTGCATCAAGTTCTCCCTCAGGTGGAACTGTTTAATTTGGGGATAAAGAAAGCAAAAGTAATACAAAACTCAAGGGTCAAGTGTATTTCCAAGGATTGGCATTATCACTCCTAAAATATGTCTTTTTTCTAGAATGTATGCACATCAGTCTAAAAAAATCAACACATTGTACCCCACATATGCATAAATGTATTCATGATCTATGTGTATATGACTTAATAAAAAAAAGGAAAACAAAAACAAAAAAAATTCTTATCCTCAAAACTATTTTAATACTCTGTACAATTTATTTTTCTTTTGAGACAAGAGTCTCACTATGTTACCCTTGGTAGAGTGCCATGGCGTCACAGCTCACAGCAACCTCAAGCTTCTAGGCTTAAGCAATCCTCTTGCCTCAGCTTTTGAAGTAGCTGGGACTACAGGCACCCGCCAGAATGCCTGGCTATTTTCTGTTGCAGTTGTCATTGTTATTCAGCTGGCCCGGGCTGGGTTCAAACTCCTCCACCCTCAGTGCATGTGGCTGGCGCTGTAACCACTACGCTGTGAGTGCTGAGCCCTCTGTACAAATATTTGATTTTTCCATTTTCCAATGGACTTCAGGCTTAACTGAATTCTCCCTGCAGGATCTTCACCTCATCTTTTCATGAAATCTGATATACTCTCAAACTCTATGTATGTTAAAATAAAGTAGATGATTGGTCCTTGGTTCTTTTCCATTCTTATATTTTTTTCTTTTCTATATTTAGCAAAGGTACTCTGCCATATACCCTGGCTCTCTTTATTATTTCAATACAGGAAAAAAATTACAGAGAGGATGAAATATAATACCAAGTATTTTAAATAAAGGGGAAAATTGTTATGGAAAATAAATGAATAGAAGAAAGTGACATATTTATGGAGAGGATGTACTGGAAGAGGAGAAAAACCCCATAAGAATGATAAGTAGCTCACTGATTAATTAAAAAGACTTACTTAGTCTCAAAATAAACCCCCTACATTTCACATTCTTTGGAAGATGTGAAATTCTCATATATATATGAAAAGCTTTCCAAAACCACTAATCACCTTGCATTCCATGTGCCCCATCTCACAATACTATGAAGTACCAACCTCACTCTTGTAGAATGTACTATGGGAGTTATAAAATCTAAACCTTTAAATTAAACATATCTCTATCAGGAAGTTCTCTTCTCCCTCTTAGAATAAGATTGCTAGGAAAAGCCTTATATATTTCTCTTTGTATATGTGTTTCTCTTTGTAATACTTACTTAAGATGTCCTTGGGGCAGTGTTTATCTGGCACATCACTGGGGTCACTGTATCCAATCTTATTAACAGCATACACGCGGAATTGATATTCTGTGTTTTCCATCAAGCCAGTAACCTCAAAACGGGTTTTCTGTAGCTTCTCTGGTAAATTGCACCTCACCCAGTTATCGGATTCAGCTCGTTTTGCTTCCACAAGATAACCGATGATAGGGCTACCGCCATCATAGGCTGGCTTGCCCCAAGACAGACTCACAGAACTACGGGTTGTATCATACACTTTTGGGAAAGCCGGTGGGCCAGGAGGATCTGAGGATAAATAGTAATAGAGTATTTTTATTAAAATCTCATTGCTGGTTGTTTAATGCTGATTTTAACCCAGGGTATGGAACTCTTTCGTGAACACTTACACAGAGGGTCCCGAGCATAAACGGCCTTGGATGCATCACTGGGTTTGCCTGGTCCAGCTTTGTTTATAGCTGTAACTCGGAACTCATATTCGGTACCTTCTTGGAGACCTGTTGCTTTTATTGTTCTTTCTATCACAGGCTTTCTATTGACTTTAGTCCAGTTAAGTGTCTGGGTTTCCCGCTTTTCAAGCAAATAGCCAGTGATGGGTGAGCCACCGTCATCTGCTGGTGGTTTCCAGCTGACTGTCATGTGATCTTTGGTTATATTGCTAATAACAGGAGGATCACAGCGTCCAGGTGGATCTGCAGAGATTGAGGGAAAGGTTAATTTCCCAGACTAAAAGGTAATGTTTAAAAAGTAAAATGAACAACCACAGGAATATATTCCTACCGTATGGGTTTTTAGCAATTGCTGGTTCAGTGAAGATTGGATCACCCACTCCATATTTGTTTTCAGCACAAATGCGGAACTGATACTCATGGCCCTCTATAAGCTTCTCCACACTGCAGCTGGTGATGGGCACAGTAGCAGAGACTTGAGCCCAGTTGGGCCTGCTTGTTTCACGTTTGTCAATAATGTAGTTGGTGATTTCTGAGCCTCCATCATCGAGAGGAGGTTCCCAAGAAAGCATTGCACGATCTGAATACATTTTGTTGATTTTAACAGACGCTGGAGGGCCTGGTTTATCTGAAAGAATGAAAAACAAAAGTGAAGGCTTTCACTAAAATATGTGAACTGGGGAAGGAGTATAGCGTGAGGTCTGGAAACCTTTGTAATCTTTCTACAGTCAATTTCCTGCATGTCCTTGAAAGTTACTTAAAATTTTTTAGAATCTTAGTTTCTTCATATGGAAAATTAGATAACTGGAGTATGTGATCTTTGATGCTGTTTTTAGCTCTAAAACAATGTTGTTCTGTGGTAAGAACAATTCTGTGTTTAGGAAATATACTACATTAGGATATGTATCTTTTTCAGGATTGTATAAATCCTGTTCACACCCCATTAAGCAAAGTAAAACCCATAGTCTGAATAAGTGCTTTGGTTACCTAACACTTTAAGCTTAATGGTGGCTGATTTGGAACCACTTGAATTTTCAGCAGTAATGGTATAGTCTCCGGAGTCCTTTCTGTTCACGCTGAACAGCTCCAAAGTACACAGGTTCCGCTTCATGGCAATCTTGATGCCTTCTGCTGGTTTTAGCTGTGTGCCATCATCTTTCTTCCAAGAAACTGTTGGCATTGGTTTACCAAAAACAGTAGCATCCAAGCAAACATTGGTTCCAGCTTTCACAGTAAGCAAAGATCTCATAGCCACACCCAGCTCTATCCTGGGAGGAACTGCAAAGAAATAAGTTGAAAAAATTCAATATCTGCAAAGCTATATTACATGACCCTTGTAAGAATAGTAAAAAAATTGTATGCAGTTCTTTCAAAAATGGGGGTTTTTATTTTACCTTTTAATTTTTTGATATACAAATAATTATACATATTTGGAAGCATGATGCGTTTTGATATATGCATACATTGAAGAATGATTAAATTGAGCTAATAACATAGCTATCATGTTATCTACTTATTGGATTTTTATTTGAATGAGAACATTTAAAATCTACTTCTTTAGCAATTTTGAGGTGTACAGGACATTATTATTAACTATGGTCACCATGTGGTGCACTACATCATTAAACCTATGCCTCCTGTCTAACTGAAACTCTGTGCTAACATCTTTTCCCCACCCCTTACCTCTCCCAGCTCAGGTAATATAGCCACCAAGTAATATATTTATTATAAAAGAAATACAAGTTTAAAATAGAAATTTGATAATGCCACAAGTACGAAGAAAAAGTAAAGATCACCCATAATTTCAACAGCCCTAAATCTTCACTGTTACCATTTTGGTCCATCTCTCACTTGTCTTTTTGTGCATGTGTACTGTTGAAATTATGCAGTCTTCACAGTTATCTGTCTTGCCTTTAGTTTAGCGTGTTCTTAAGATTCTTTATAATTATAGTTTTTGGTGTCTGTATACAGAGCACATATTGTTTCAGTTTTCCTTTTCTTCTACAGGTGTAGATTTAGCTTTTTATTAGGAGAAATGGGTATCATGAATGCTGTACATCTTTGCCTACATTATTCAACAGAATCTCACCATTTTCTGCGAGGATAGTCACTGGATCAGAAGGCTCAGAAGGCTGGCTGATGTTTACTGCAGTCTTGGCAATTGCTCTAAATTGATACTGAGCGTTCTCTTCTAAGCCAGTAGCTGTATACTCTTCCTGGGGAATCTGGAGAGGTGTAGTATTACACCGGACCCACTTATCACCTGGAAGTTTGCAAGCCTCTACAAAGTAGCCAATAATTTTACTGCCTCCATCATGCTTCGGACGGGCCCAGATAAGGGATACAGTGCTCTTGGTGACATCAATAACTTCAGGTTTCCCAGGAGGATCTAAAACCAAAAAAGGCATTCTCAGCATTTTTCTTACTAGCAGAAGTTTAAACTTTCACATTTCACATTATCATCCCTGATGCTAAGGAACAAGCTCAAAAGAATGACAGCTATCCCATTTTAATAATCCTTCAACCTGTATGTACTTTTCAGTCTTTAGTGTGCACTTTTAAGAGAATTATATGAAGTACATCTTCATAGTTAGACATAAAGAGAACATATTCCTCTTGAGAAACAGTAATCATCTGCTACTCCAAGACTTAAATGGGCCTGCATTCCATAATACTAAAAAGAAAACTGCTTACCAACTGGCATTCTTGCGGTTACATATTCTGTGGGTTTGCTGGGTGGGCTGGATCCAGCTTTGTTCAGGGCGTATATTCTGAATGAATACTCAAGACCTTCCACGAGGCCAGCACAAGGATATTCAGTCGACCGGACAAGAGTATCATTAGCTTTTACCCAGAGCAAACTGTTTCTTTCCTTGCGTTCAATCAGGTAACCAGTAATGGGGCTCCCTCCATCACTGTCTGGTCTGTCCCATGCAACAAAAATGCAGTCTTTGTTGACTTTGGTGACTCGTGCATTCTTTGGCTCACTAGGAACGCCTGGAAGTCATGGGTGAAGACAAGGAAAATGTCAGTTTCTATGTTAAGTAATAGACTAGAAAGAGAACATCACGTTTTTTTCTCCCTGAAAAAAACAAAACATACCGAATGGGAACTTAGCAAGCATCTTTGGAGACACGAGAGGCTCTGAAATGCCAAATCGATTTTCAGCACGGACCCGGAACACGTACTCCTGGCCTGGGATCAGTTTTCCGACCCTGCAGGAAGTTTTTGTGACTGAAGCTAGAGCTGTGACCCAATCACCACGGCTTACGTCACACTTCTCCACGATGTAATTGGTGATGTTGCTGCCTCCATCCTCCAGAGGGATGTGCCATGCCAGGGAGCACGCATCGGCATCTATGTCAGAGATGTCGAATGGAGGCTGGGGGGGCCCAGGGGCATCTGCGTGACCAGAAAGAGGGAAGAAATGTAAGAACAGGGATCTGACAGAGAAACGTGTTTCTGACGTCTATATTTAGATGACCATTTGTCTAACACTTAACCTACCCATGACTGTAACTTTGATTTTCTGAGTGTCTGTCCCACTGCTGTTCTCTGCTGTGAGGCTGTAGTAACCACTGTCTTTCCTGGTAACATCTTTTATAATCAGAACTGAAGAGCTGTCTGCTTTATGCACTGCCAGGTGGCTGGATGTGACGACTTCATCTTCTCCTTTTTTCCATTTACATATGGGATGAGGCTTTCCATATACATGGGCTTCAATTCGGAGTTTCTTCCCAGCTTTAATAGTAATTTGCTCTGGCATAAGGATCTTTGGTGGTACTAAGAGTAAAATGAAAAGACATTGGTTTGGAGGGTGTTCAATTTCTTCTTTTGGAGACCTACAGTGGTGTTTTTGAAGTTGTGAGCTATAATCCATTCATGGATTCAAATTAATGTTTTTATTGATCCATTTAAAAATAGATTAGAATAGAAAATATCAGCAGGCAGCACACATTATGCTAGGTATTTTTTTCAAGAAACTTTTTTTTTAGTTATATATGTGTGCATGCTGGGTGATGACTTAACATTGATTTACTATGTGTTGTGGACACAAATGTTTGAAAACCTGCTGTTCTCTACTGTTTTTCCAAGTATTTCCGAGGCAAGATTCCTCAGGAAGAAATGTCAACATGTAAAAAATCTAAATCCAATCAGCTGTTATCACATAATGTAAATGAAGCAATGTCTACTCACTCAGCTGTTCTTTGGCTTCATATACTCCTTCAGCTTCTCTTGGTAAACTGACTCCAACAGCATTTCTGGCTGCTACTCTAAATTTGTATTTCTTTCCTTCCTTCAGGCCATGGACTACCAGGCTGAGATCTTTTACTACTGAGTACTCTGTCCAGCGATCTGCAGGCTGCTCTTCTTCTCTGTAACTTATGATATAGCCATCGATTTTGGCCCCTCCATCACGCAGTGGAGGTAACCAGGCTAAGGTCGCACTGTTCTTTGTCATTTCAGTCACTTCTAATTTCCTGGGAGGATCTGGCTCACCTAGAAGAAAAACACAACTTAGAAAGTTATCTAGGTAACCTAATCAAATCCTCGTTAGTGTACATAAGAGTTTTAGTGTGCCATGTGCTTCAAAGTACAGTAGAACCTCTGTAAGTTGACCATCCAAGGAACTGTAACAAAGTGGTCAACATATGGAGGTGGTTAACATAAGGGACTAGGCCTGCTTACTGATATGTACCATGTGGTGCTTGTTTGGTCTATGAAAATTAGGTCAATTTAAGGAGGTGGCCAATGTACGGAGGTAGTCAACTATGGAGGTTCTACTATATATAGATACCATGGTTCAGGATGTTGAAAGTAAAAAGTACAAAGTGAGGCAGATCAAAAAGTCTTTCATGAGTGAATTAGACATTCATTGTACTGTTCAGGTTTCCACAAACGAAATCCCTTTCAGTAGTGGATTAAAAGGGGATTGGTATCATGACCTTGCTAAAATAGGGAACTGGAGTTAAAAGGAAGAAGAAAGGACATTACTTACTCAGAGGATCTGAGGCAAGTACTGGTTTGGGGACGTCTGCTGGGACACCAGGGCCATACTCATTGACAGCAGTTACTCTGAAGTAATACTCATTCCCAGGGACAAGATTGGTTACATGGAAGCTCGTTTTCTTAACTTCTGGGGTAACAGTTGACCATGTCTTTCTCTCAGCCTCACGTTTCTCCACAATGTAATGTGTTACTTGGCTCCCACCATCGTTTTCAGGAGGTGCCCAGGACACATGGCATGATGTTTTTGTGACATCCGAAACTTTCAAATCAGATACAGGTCCAGGAGTGTCTGTAAAGAACCATAAAATCATATATATATGTCCCCTTAGCATCTTTATTAACTAATTCATTTTTGAAGAGGGAGAGAGAAATATTTTAATACCTACCTAATACTCTGACATTTACGAAGACAGCCTTTTCTCCTGCCGGGTTCACAAGCTTTAAGGAATATTTTCCTGAGTCATCACGAGTAGAATTGGGGATGACCAGGAAGGCCATAGTATCAACCAGATCAACCTGTCCTCTTCTGGCCACATTATCAATACCTACTTTTCGCCAAGTGACTCTAGGGGATGGTCGCCCTCTCACTATAGCAAATAGTCGAATAGGGCATCCCGCTCTCACTGTGACCAGTTTTCTCATGCTTGCATCCAAATCAATCTCTGGAGGTTCTGCACATGACATTAAGGTTATTAGTTGACTTTTCAGAACATAGGGAAATCATAGAAGAAATGAAGCATGAATGAATTGAGTGACAAAAGGAGGGTCTTACCTAGTATTTCTTTAGGTTTGATAGCTTCCTTTAGTTCTGCAGGGCGCCCAATGCCAACTTGGTTTTGGGCACACACCCTGAACTCATATTCCTGGTTTTCATCCAAGCTGGTAGCAGTGAATTCCATGCGAACAAGTTGTGCTGCGGCACTGCACCTTTTCCAGCCTTCATCAGGTGATGCATCTGCTATTTTTGGTCTCATTTCCATAACATATCCAATTATTGGCGCACCACCATCGTAGACTGGTTTTCCCCATGAAAGAGTTATGGAATTTTTGGTTGTATCAACCACTTTGAAATTGGTTGGTGGACCAGGAGGCTCTGAAAATAAATATAGGAATAATTGTACACATGGTTAATCACTACCAGTGATACTTTGATATGTAGTTTTGTATAGCCAATCTTGGTAACCAAAGATAGGATATTCAACTTTGCAATTACTAAGTCCTCTTTATTTTCTCTCATAAAAATTAGAATTCTACCACTATGCATTAAAGGTAATTTGATAAAAGGTCTATTTGGAAAAATATTTGCTAAAATTTAGTTTTGATGGTATGGATTTAACTTATTTATCTAATTTTAATACCTCTGTGCTTGAGATTAAAAGTGATGTCAGTATGAGAAAAAACAAGAACATCTTACCTATGGGGTCTTTTGCCACCACTGGTCTTGATGGCAGGCTTGGTTCTCCAATTCCAATTTCATTTTCTGCTTTGACACGGAACTGATACTCATGATCTGGGAGGAGATTCTGTACTTTCATACGTCTCTCAGAGATTGCGCTCTTGTTAACAGGAACCCATCGTACTGAATGTTTTTCTTTTTTCTCCAAATAGTATCCTGTGATAGACTTCCCACCATCATATTCAGGAGGATTCCAAACCACAGTCATCTCTTCTTTGCTTACTTTAGTGACTTCTGGGGGATCAGGGCGACCAGGTCTATCATATTTGGTTTTTGCTATGACTGGCTTACTTTCTGTTGGAGGCCCTGTGCCTATTTTATTTTCTGCACGGACTCTGAAAATATATTCATTTCCTTCTATGAGACGTGTTACTGTAGCACCAGGTGTCAAGATGTTAGCAGAATAGGTAGACCAAACCATTCTCTTGGTCTCACATTTTTCTAGAATATAATTTTGGATTTCACAGCCACCATCATCTTCTGGTGGATCCCAGCGAAGAGTACACCTGTCACTGGTCACATCAACAACTTTCAGATTTCTTACAGGCCCAGGCTTATCTAAAACGTTGACAGTGGCATAGGCCACAAAACTGCCAGCTGTGTTAGTTGCAGTAATTACATATTTCCCACCATCACTTCGCTTTGCTTTAGTAAGAGAAAATTTAGATGAATCAGCACTGGTATCAATCTTGACCCTTGGTGATCTTGTTAAGTCTGTAGCATCTCTGTCCTTGGTCCATACAACTTCTGGGAATGGTTTGCCTCTAACCCCTGCCTCAAGTCGAATGGTTTCCCCTGCTTTGACAGTGAGTACACCACTTAATTTCAGGTCAAGCACTGGTTTCTGTAAGTCTTCCTTCACAACGACTTCCTCTGTCTTCACCCAGTCACTTTCCCCACCTTCATTCTTTGTTTGCACTCTGAACTCATAAATCTGGTTTTCAACGCATTTGTCAACCATGTACTGGGTTTCCTTAATGCTTCCTTTGTGCACTCTCTCCCAGTCATCAGAGCCCTTCAGCCTCCTTTCAACATGATAGGATAGATTTGGGCTGCCACCATCATAATCAGGCCGCCGCCACTTGAGATAGACAAATGTCTTTCCTTTATCTGCAATGTGCAGGTTTTCAGGCTCACCTGGTCTGTCAATGGGGTTAATAGCCAGAATGGGAGTTTTTGTTTCAATAGTTGGCCCAACACCTACTTTATTCTCTGCACAAACACGGAAGTAGTATTCATTGTTGGCTAAAAGGTTGGCCTTGATTAATCGCTTAGTGACATCTGAAGCAACAATTGACCAGCCTTTCTGATTTGGTTTGCGATATTCTACTATGAAATTTGTTATTTCTGAGCCTCCATTATCTATTGGGTTTTCCCAAGAAATTGTACAGTTTTCTTTGGTTACATTGCTGACCTTCAAATTCTGGCAAGGTCCAGGTCTGTCGAGGACATTAACAATGGCTGAACCTTGGGCATGTCCACTGCTGTTCTTAGCTGAGATGATGTACTTGCCATGATCTGCTCTAACAGCTTCTTTAATGTGTAACTCAACCCTAGGTAGATCGTGAATTAGGTCAACTCGCTTCTCTCGGACCAACACTTTGCCTTCCTTTGACCATGTTATGTCTGGTTCAGGTCTGCCTTTGACTCGAGCAAGAATGCGGATAGTTTGGCCCACTCTGACAGTAATAACGTCACGACAGGTAACATCAAGTTCTACTTCTGGAGGGTGCAGGATGTCTTTTGCAATCACAGATTCTGCTAGCTCTCTTGGTTCTCCCTCTCCTACTATATTAGCTGCTTTTATACGGAATCTGTACTCATTTCCTTCAATTAGTCCAGGTACCCTAAAGGCACATTGCCTGATGAGTGCATCTTTATTAATCCTGTCCCATTGTGTCGTGCCAGGTTTCTGACATTCCACTACATATCCTAGAATGGGGCTGCCACCATCACTGAGAGGCTTTGTCCACACAAGGTCAGCTGTTTCTCTGCTCTTGTCTATCAGTTTGGGATTAATAGGCGGTCCAGGTGGTTTGATGGGCCGGCAAGCCTTTATTGGGTCAGAACTCGGGGATGGATTGCTTAGTCCTGCAAGATTTTCAGCAAAAACTCTAAACTCATATGTGTTTCCCTCATAGAGTCCAGTCACTCTAAACTTCAGATCAGCTATAGGTGTTTTGTTGACCCTCACCCATTTGCCAGTTATTTCTCGACGTTCTACATAGTAGCCAGTTATTGGACTGCCACCATCAGATTTTGGCAGCGTCCAAGACACTGTTGCTGCATTTTCAGTAATGTCAGTAACCACCGGTTTACCAGGAGGAGATGGAGGACTAAACTTATGTTTAGCAACTGTAGGTATGGAGTCCAGGGGAGGACCAACACCTATCTTATTCTCGGCTCTAACTCTGAAAACATATTCACAGCCCTTCTGCAAATGGGGGATTTTCAGCCTTGTCTTACTGCTTCCTGAAGAAACAACACCCCATGTGTCTTTCTTTGTTTCTTTTTTCTCAACAATGTAATTGATCACAGGGCTTCCTCCATCATCCTTAGGTGGCAGCCACGAGATAGTCATGTGTTCAGGGGTAACATCCAGAATATTAATGGGACCTGTTGGTGGACCTGGAACATCAAGAACGGTAAGGTGCACAGGTACTGTTTTGCTACCAGCTGCATTGGAAACTGTGATTTGATATTCCCCAGTGTCTTTCCTTAAGCAGTTCTTAATGGTAAGTACTGAGGAGAAGCTGTCAGTTTCCACTGTGTAGTGCTCATCTGTTTTAATCTCAACCCCGTCGGATGTCCACTTTGCAGTAGGCACAGGCACACCTCTTATAATAGCAGGGAATCTGACTGTAGTTCCAGCCTTTACCACAAGGCCTTCAATTAATTTCACATCTAGCTCCACAGATGGAGGCACTGGAAAGTAAACATAAACATGAAGACATTAATTTTGATTTTCACAATATGAGTAGTTTAAAGAAGAAATAAAATAACAATGCCAATCCCCAAATTACCTAGTTTTTCTTGACATTCTATTGGGATAGTTGTGTCAGGGAGACCAAGACCCACGATATTTTCAGCTTTTACACGGAATCTATAGGTCTTTCCTTGTTGTAGTCCAGTAACAACACACGCTAGTTCTGTCACGGTCTTGAACTTAACCCAGTCCTCAGTGCCTTCTTCTTTATATTCCACCAAATAGCCAGTGATTGGAGAACCACCATCACGATCTGGCTTATTCCACACGAGGGAGACTTCAGTCTTGTCAACGTCCACATGGTGTAGGTTTTTGGGTGGCCCAGGGGGATCTTTGCAAAATATAAATTTATGATGAATAAGTAATATTCCTAAAGACAGTCAAACAATACTTTTATATCCCAAGAAAGCAACTTACGAAGAGGATCCAGAGCTTTGATGGGTTTAGGTGTCTCAACAAAAGGACCACGTCCATACTGGTTCTCAGCAGCTACTCGGAAGAGATACTGATTGCCCTCATTAAGATGTTTAGCCAAGTGACTCTTTTTCTTTGATGTAGTTGAAATAGGTGTCCATTGGGCAGTGGCAACATCTCTCCTCTCAACTACATAGTTTGTAATAACAGACCCACCATCATCTAGTGGCTCATTCCAAGTTAGGTAACAAGAATCTTTTCTAATTTCACTCACTTCCAAATCTCTAGGTGGCCCAGGTTTGTCTGAAAAGTGTTAAATAGTAGTTAAATAAGCAATTTAATAAGAAAGGAGCTCAAAATGTATCAAAATTTATTTTTAATGGCACAAGTATTAAAATTCTTACCTAATACAAGTACTTTTACTGAGACAGTTTTTGAACCAGCTGGATTCTCCACTGTTAAGGAATAGATTCCACCATCCTCATGGGCAGCATTGCGAATTTCAAGCTTGCTACCAACTGGAGTGATGTCAATTCTTGCTTTAGTTGGAGCTTCCCTGTCTTCTTTTTTCCAAGTTACTTTTGGGAATGGCACTCCTTTAATGACAGCACTAAGTCTTAGAGTATCACCAACCTTAATGTATTGTTCTCTTGCCATGTTGGCATCAAGAATCAACTCAGGGGGTTCTAGAATAAAGAGAACGTACATTCAGATTTGATTCACAAACACATATTACAATTAAGTGTATACAATCAGATCCCTATTTTCCCTGCAAATGTAGGTGAGAACATTTTACTCACCAAGTCTGTCTTTTACTAGGACTGGCTCTGGAACATAAGCTGGCTCTGATTCTCCAGCCTCATTGACTGCTCGCACTCTGAACTTATAGCTTTGACCATCTCGGAGACCAGTAACTTTGTATTTAGTCTCAGGACATGACTCAGGAGTATGATTGGCTCTTTTCCAGTCTTCATCTCCAACTTTCTGGTATTCAACAATATAACCCAGAATCTTGCTGCCACCATCATGACGTGGTGGCTGCCAAGTTAGATCAACTGAGTTACATGTTGTATCTATTGCTTCAGGATTAATAGGTGGACTTGGTTTAGCTGCATAATAAAAGAAAAAATAGGAATTAGAATATAAGCTGAAAAACAAGTTGAATAATGTGAAAACTGACTGAATGTGTCAATATTATACCAATTGGATCTTTAGCAAAGACTGGTTTCGATGGTGGACTTGGATCTCCAATCCCAATTTCATTTTCTGCAGAAACTCGGAATTCATACTGACATCCTTCTAGAAGATCAGGAACCCTAAATTTAGTGTATGGATGGATAGGGTCTTTAGTAACTCTAGCCCATCGTTTAGACATAGTTTCCCTCTTTTCTAGAATGTAATTAGTGATGGGCTTTCCTCCATCATGTGGCTTGTTCCAGGTCACTAATGCAGAGTCTTTGGTAACTTCCGTAACAATTGGTTGATCAGGTGCATCAGGAACCCCTACGACAAATGTCAGTAAAATGTGTGAGAAATTTAATTCTTCCTGTTAACTACACCAAACGTTAAATCATTAAAAAAGAACATAATGCATACTGAAACGATCTTTGGCTTTCATTGAATCAGACACCAGGGGATCACTTATTCCATACAGATTTTCAGCGTGTATCCGGAAAATATAATCTTTTCCTTCAAGCAGTTTAGGAACTTTGCACGTTGTCTTAGCACTTGCAGATGTCACAGGCATCCAAATGTCTTTACCCAACTCCTTCTTCTCTATAATGTAATTGGTAATTTCACTGCCTCCATCATCCAGAGGGGGCTTCCAGGAGATAACCATGTACTCTTTGGTCACCTCATCAAAAATAACTGGTCCTACTGGCGGTCCAGGACGGTCTGCAGAAAAATATATCATGGCACAAAATGTTATTTCCACTTCTGCTTTTGAAAGAACAGAAGGTATATTCTTCTTGCTAAATAATACTTACCAACGACATTAACTTGACATAAACCTTTCCTAGAGCCTGTACTATTCTCCACAACCACACAGTATTTGCCAGAATCTGAACGTTTGGCCTTGATCTTCTCTAGAGCAAGTGTTGTCGGAGTAGTCTTTATGTGAGTGCGATCATCTTCTAGTATATCAGCTTCGTCTTTGAACCAGGAAACCTTAGGCTTTGGTTTGCCTGAGTAACGGCCAGTGAGAGCAAAAGCTTCACCAACTCGAACTGTGAGCTTATCTCTGAAGTCCAAGTCAAGTGTTGGGGGAGCTAAAATGTATAATTATAAAGGCAAATCAGTTTTACTGACGTTTTAGAACAAATAGACAAGTTTTCAAAGTATAAACTGTAGTAGACACATACCTAGCTCATCCTTGCAAGTGATTGGCTTGGTGCAAAATGACGGTTTGCCTTGTCCAACAATGTTGACAGCACTGACACGGTATTCATACGTATCACCTTCTTTTAAGCCTTTAACAGTGTATTTTCTGCTAAGCAAGTTGTCCTTTGTAACTTTGTGGAACTTTTCAGTTCCAATAAGCCGGCTTTCTAGGACATAGTTAATAATTTCGGATCCGCCATCATACTTAGGAGGATTCCAAGTCAAAGATACAGAATCTTTAGTCACTTCCTTGACTTCCAGGTCTTCAGGACGCTCTGGTACAGCTGTAAATATAGAATTATAGTGACAAAAGTGTCACGGTAAGCATACAGCCTGTAGTAAATTCTCCTTTCTTTGGATTACATTTAAACATTACATTAATCACAGAATTATTAGATTGCATTATTGGATTGTATTTAAACATTATATTAATCATAGAATTATTTGACTTATAAAGGACCCAACACAATTTAATTTCTTCATTTGACAGATGAGGAAAGAAAATTTCATTGAGGCTAAATAATTTAGGAGTGGTCTCTAGAGCTAGTAGTTTTAGAGGTAGGAAAATAAATAAGTTTCTATATAGATGGGAAATTTAAAAAATCAGCATAGCATGTGGGGAAGGAATTTGGTGAATCACATGTATTCTTAAAATCTCTTTCACAATCACTATTCAAACTCTATGAAATCATATATGCAGTAATTATCTATACTACTTGTCCAATGAATGAAATGTATGGCATATATGCACATATTTTGTCACAATAGTCTTTTATTAAATGAGTGAAGAAGTGATTAAGCATAAAATTATTTCAAATTATACTTACTTATCGGATCTCTGATAACAAGTGCTTCTGATGTCTCAGTAAATGGGCCCATGCCGATACTGTTTTCAGCTGCAATTCGGAAAAAGTAGGCTTTTCCTTCAATGAGACCCTGGACAGTAGCATTTTGTCGAGTAACTGTGTATGTTACTGGGGTCCATGCTCTGCGGTCAGATTCCCGCTTTTCAATAACATAGTTGGTGATTGGAGAGCCTCCATCATCTTCTGGAGAAAACCATGTTAGTTTGCAGGAGTCATTGGTTAGGTTGTGAGCTAGGAATGGTACTCCAACAGGACCTGGCACATCTGGAAATAAGGGGACAAGATTTTAAGTTGTTTGTCTTCGATGAATTATAGTGTTCAACATTTTTTACCCTTTGTTTTTTAAAGAGAGACAAAAATGTTGTTATAAATAAAACCAGGTTCTGTGTCTATTAGTTGAGCCCTCCCACTATGTATGTTCAACTATATATATATATATTTTTTTTTTTTTTTTGAGACAGAGCCTCAAGCTGTCCCCCTGGGTAGAGTGCCGTGGCATTACAGCTCACAGCAACCTCCAACTCCTGGGCTCAAGCGAGTCTCCTGCCTCCGCCTCCCAAGTAGCTGGGACCACAGGCGCCCGCCACAACGCCCGGCTATTTTTTGGTTGCAGCCGTCATTGTTGTTTGGCGGGTCCGGGCTGGGGATTCGAACCCGCCACCTTAGGTGTACGTGGCTGGCGCCTTAGCCGGTTGAGCCATAGGCGCTGAGCCTTCAACTATATTTTTAAGTGACATAGGTTTGTAACAGTTATTGGTTGCCATGGTTATAGTAGGAGCTGAAAGGAGAATAAAATGCTGTTAAAAAATGATTTCTGAGTTGGATAAGAGGTTGCTGCTGGGAGGTGAAAACATAGAGGGAGACAGGAGGTGGGTGAGGGAGGCATGGTCGCTTCTTGTGTCCACTTTCCTCCCCAAGGGGAAATGAGGGAGAAAGACTATTTTTCCAATATGACCAATCAATGAGCAGCACATGAGACCTCACATTGCAAATGACTTTGAGGGGGTTGGAAATTGAATATGGAAATGCACTAGTTCTCAGCCTAAAGTAATAGCTGTTAGGTAAAAGTGTGTTTAGACGCTTGTGACTAACCTAACTTTATGGGACTATTGCTCAATGAAATATTTTTTCTTATGCCATTCTTACATTAGTTATGTTCAATGGACAATTGACTATTTTCACATAAAAACTGTGGCTAGAGTGTCTTTGTGTCTAGACATGTGCTTAGAGAGAGTGCTGCCTAGGAGGGTTTCATTTTCTGAGCAAATCCCTGGTCCACAGCAGCCAAAAAGAGGCATGAAAGAGCCTTGTAGAGTTCAACTCTATATTCAGTGATGAGAAATGCATTATTGACAGCCAAATATAACTCTTTTCTTCAAGGATAATACTGAAGGCCTTCAAAGGGGCTTTTGAATGAATGTAATAATTAGCAACAGGGATAGAGTCTCATGATGTAAAAGTTGCCAAGACTGGCAAATTGTTAGACATTTCATGTGCATTTGCAGGGAAGTTGCTTTTATGAAGACTGTATGTATAATAACATAATAGATGTTTAAGGGGCAGGTTTTATACGAAAGCAGCATACAAAACTTTATAGCAAGACTACAACCATCTAGAGTGTGCACAGGATAAAAAAGCAAAAAGGAAATTAAAATAATTCTAACAATGGTCAAAGGGATTGTGGGTGATTTTTCTTATTTTCTAAAACATTTGTAATGTAGTTTCATTACAATTATTAATAGAACAGCCTTGTTGTAAATGTAATAAAAATGCTGGTTTAAAAAGTTGCATGGACAAATTGAATATATTTACCTAAGACATCGACGATGATTGTCTTCTTTCTTTCTCCCCCTGCATTTTTGGCAAGAAGAGAGTAGACACCTTGATGGCTCCTCTGGCAGTTCTTGATGACCATGGACGAGCTGATGGCTGTCTCCTCAATGGTGGCTTCTTGAGGTAAGGCTCTTTCATTCATGTTCCAGGTGACTGTTGGAGGAGGCTTTCCAGATACATAGGCAATGATTCGGATCACTCCTCCAGCATGGACCACAATTCTGTCTCTGACGCTGGCATCTAACTGAAGGTCAGGGGACACTGGGAAATAATTAAAAATTATAAATGTGATTTTCATTTCCAATGTGAAAGAGAAAAACCGGTTAATAATTACCAGAAGTATTAATAATTACCAATTCTGTCCTTCATTTCAATGACATCCGTGACTTCTCCAGGTTCTCCAATGCCTGCAATGTTGACCGCTCTAACTCTAAATTTGTAGAAAGCCCCTTCTTTTAATCCCGTCACAACAAGTTTTGTTCCTCTCACTTCTTTATCTTTACCCTGGGTAAAAATTAGAAACATTTTATAATTAGGATGGTTCCTTATAGCTTCTTGCTTTAATGGATTTTTAAAGCATAACCAGCAGCCTATTTAACTATTTGCCTTAGGAAATGTATTGCCAGTTTAGATGTCAGGGATCAGATAATACTGGCCACACTGAATGGAATAATTTGCCAAGAATTGTGCTTTAAAAAATTATCATCAAATGATTTAGGAAACTGTATTGTTCATTTATTCTACTTTTTCAGGGTTTATAACTAACACGTAAGTTAGTTAACTAAAAGATAAATTAAGATGAGTTAACTTTTGATTAGATTTTTAACACTAACAATTATCAATTATGATTATTTCATTTTTCTTATTTCACAATCCAAAAAGTACAGATAGAAGTTGATGGGATTGAGAATAACTACTACATTTTTAGTTGATTCATAATGCATTCCTTAATGCCAAGTTTTAGCTACCTTTTCCCATTCATCTTTTCCTTCTTCTTTATATTCAACGATGTATCCAGTTACTTTGGATCCACCATCTTTTAGTGGGGGAGACCACTCTAGATCTACAGATGATTTAGTCCAATCCGTAACTTTGGGGAAGGGAGGACCAGGAGGTGCTAGAAAGAATCAGTATACATTAGTATTCTTGACTTTCCTATAGGAATTTTTGATAATAAGATGAAAGAAAAAGGAGTCATTTCAAGGCTTACCAATTGGATCTCTAGCAGTCACTGGGTCTGATGGCAGACTTGCTGGACCCACACCAGCAGCATTGATTGCATATACACGGAATTGATAGTCAGAACCTTCGATAAGGCCAGTCACTTTATAAGAAACACCCAAAGTCATAGCTTTAATAGGATCTCGGTTAACCCTCTTCCATCTCTTGGAAGTGGTGTCTTTCATTTCTAGCCAGTATCCTGTCACAGGAGAGCCTCCATCATATTCTGGCTCTTCCCAGTTGACGGTCATGGAGTTACGAGTCACACTGCTAACTGTTGGTTTATCTGGTGCTCCAGGGACAGCTGTAAACAGAGTCACATTGATTTATCAGAAATTAAGAACAAAACAGGTAAGAATGGCTTTGTAGGTGAAAATGTTCTACTTACAGAACAGGTTCCTTGCTGTTTCAGGTTCACTGTCAAGAGGCTCTCCGATGCCATATTTATTCTGGGCCATGATTCGGAATACATATTCATGGCCTTCTAGCAATTTAGGAATTGTATACGTGCACTCTTTAGGTTCACTGGAGACACGTACCCATGTCTTCCTGTTAGCTTCTCTTTTCTCAATTACATAGTTTGTAATCTTAGACCCACCGTCATCTTTAGGTGGAAGCCAAGATAATGTCATTTGATCTGATGAAACAGATTCAAACTTTATGGGTCCTATTGGAGGGCCAGGACGACCTAAAATGGTTTGAAGAAGGAACACTTTGTTATCTGGATGATTTTAAAGCCAAATATTCTTTATAGAAAAAAAGTAGCATGTAGTTTCAACCAAACCATGCAATCTTTACCAAGGACATTCAGTCTCATCTCCTTTGATGCTGTTCCCAGATTATTTACAGCTGTGATGCTGTATAAGGCAGTGTCACTCCTGCGAGACTGTGGAATAACTAAAGTGCAAGTATCATCCACCACCAGTTTGTTGACATGGGTGTCATAGACAATAGGTTCTTTGTTATCAGGCTTCCTTGGAGGAGCTTTAAACCAGGTTAATGTTGGGAATGGCACACCTTTAATTTTGGCCACAATGTTAACATCAGTTCCTTCTTCAACCTCCATGAATTCTTTTAGTTCGATTGATGGTGGGCCTAGATTTTTAAAAACAAAAGTTGTCATTAGGAGCCAGAAGCACTACCGGACAGAACAGTGACTATAAAGCTAGTTAGTTGTATGACAGCCACAACCCAATATAAATAATGAGTCTGTCTGTAAAATGATCACATTAGTTTGGTGAGCTGGCACATGTGGTCACCATCCGTTTTAGTGGATCTACCTGTGGCTGTGTACCAACTATTGCCTCTCTCTTATCAGGTACATATTCTGACAAAGGGGCACAGAGAAATAAAGACTGTTGTAGGTTAGACTTGAGAGTTGTTGGTATTCCCTTTAATATTTATGCAGAGTTATTAAGGGACCCACAACGTTCACTCTGAGGTGAACTCCCCTTTTAAGATATAAAACTATTAGTAGAGGCAGAGCAATTTTCCATTTCCCACTATTTTTTTCTGAGACTTATGCAAAGAAGGTGGTGACTACATCCCTCTTCAATGAAAAGGAAATAACTGAACAAATGCACAGAAGTAGAAGTATACTGCAATCAGAGGAAGAATTATTACTGTGCTTGTACTTTATCTATGCCAATGAATATATCATTTTCTCACATAGAGAAGAAGAAACTCGATTGTGAAGACAAATGGGTATAGCAGTCACTAAGCAAATGACTAGTTACTTTCTGCCCCCTTTGGAGGAGCCTGCAGAGGATTGCTTTAACTTCTGATAAATAAAACAGCCTGCTGTGGAGAAAATTACAGTAATGATATGAAGCACAAACATTATCTCTCCTTTAATGGAAAAAAGGAATTTGTAAGAAAATATGATAATTTGGTGGACACCAGGGGAATGAATAATTGAGTGATGTCCACTCAACCCATGGTAGCTTCCCTATGCACAGCTATATTTCTTTTAATTTTGGACTATTATTAAATATCTAGGAAGGCAGCTATAAAGAAGACGTTCTTATCAGCAGGTTGGTACATACATGTCTGGTCTTTGACAGTCACAGGGCCCACAGTGGCTGAAGGTTTGCTGACTCCTGCAGCATTGACAGCTTTGACTCTGAATTCATACTCTCCACCCTCTACGAGGTCTTCCACGGTGAACTGAAGATCCTCCACGTCACGCTTATTGCACTGTTTCCACGCTTCCTTCTTTTTCCCAGTAGGATCCCATGCAAGGCACTCAACGATATAGTGGGTGACAGGGGAGCCCCCATCATTCTTTGGGGGTTTCCATGACAGGTGTACTGTGTCCTTTGTTATGAGGCCAATCTTGAGTTTAATAGGAGGATCAGGAGGAACTTTAAAAACAGTTAAAGAAAGTGTTAAGCATTGCTTAGAACAGCATAGGTCAATTTTGAGAAGGTGTTTTAAATTCAGATTTTAAAACTCACATATTGGATCTCTGGCAGTGGTCCTCTGAATGGTTTCCACAGGTGGCCCGATACCAAAACGGTTTTCTGCTCGCACGCGGAAGAAGTACTGTTGTTCGGAGATGAGATCAGGCACTACAAATGTGGTGCTTCCACAGTTTGGATTGACTTTAGTCCAGGCTTTCCCATCAATAGTCTTCTTCTCGATAACATAGCCTTTGATCCTGTCTCCTCCATCATCATCTGGCATCTTCCAGGAAAGTCTGCAACTACCCCTTGTGATATCACTGACCTTCAGATCTTTAGGTGGACCTGGTACATCTGTTGGATACAAATTACAATATCAACAGTGTTCCTTAAATGTTTAAAAATAATTTGTTCTTATTCTGTAGCAAGTTTTAAAGTCTTTCTCACCCATCACTTTAACTCTGCAATTTGCAGTCTTTTGTCCTGCTTTATTCTTGGCTGTGATGCTGTATTTGCCTGAATGAGATCGTTTACACTCTGGAATTATAATTACTGAGGAGTTTTCAGCAGCTTCCACCTACAGAAAGAAAACAATAGTCATATATTGAGTGAAATTGAAGTATGGAATGTGAAAGAGTTGCAGGATTGAAGTTAACCACATTCTGAATTATTTCATTTGTTTTTTACCTTTGCTTCTTCAGGTATATCATGAACTCCATCCTATTAGAAAAGAAGATAGTCAGTTGTTGTCTAATTACTCCTTATAGTGATTCAATGGGAGACAGAGAAGAATTATAATTTTCTTACCTTCATGACCTTCTTTGCCTTTCCATCAAATTCCCAAGATGATTTTGGTGTTGGGCGTCCCTTGATGATAGCAGGAATCCTAATCTCTGACCCAGCTTTACAAACCAGACAGTCTTGTGCTCCAATGTCAATGAAAACTTCTGGTTCCTCTGTAATACCATGAATAACATAACAGAATTTAGCTCACATTTGTCAAAAAAAGTAATCCATGTATCTTCAGTAAATCCATCAATTTCATAATAAGATCAAAAGACAAAGCTGCAAATTGATTAGTACCTTGAATATCAGTGGCAGGGATCTCCCCAGTAGTATCACTTGGTTCAGATTCTCCAGCTTCATTGACAGCTTTCACCCTGAATCTGTACTTCCTGAGTTCTTTAAGATTAGGCACCACACACTCACAGGTAGTTATAAGTTTGTCTGGTTCGTTGACTCTTTTCCAGTCACTGCTGCCTTCCTCTTGCATCTCTACAATGTATCCTTTGATTGGACTGCCACCATCTTTGGCTGGAGGTTTCCATCCTAGTGAGATGCTTGACTTGGTTTTATCTTTAACTTCTGGGCAAGAAGGTGGCCCAGGTGGATCTAACAGGAAGAAAAAGAAACATCAGATTTTCAAGGTTAAAGTGATGGAATGTTAGATTTATATACCATAAGAACTTTTCACTATATATGATCATATATCATTTTTAAGCTATTAAAATATTAAAATGGGAATGTTAAAAGGAAATAAATTACCTTCTAGAGAAGACAATGAAGGTAATGGTCTATTTTCCTTCAGTATTAGTGGAAAAAACAGAGAAAGCAAACACTTAACTGGGAATAGAAAGACTACTTCTGTCTCTAGCTAGATTTGCATTCTATTTATACATGATTAGTGAAAAGCTATTTTACTATGGACATCCCTTTGAAGCAATTTTACTATATTCGTTTTCCTTCTTTATTATTATTATTATTTTTTAGAGATAGAGTCTCACTTCATTGCCCTGGGTAGAGTGCTGTTGCATCACAGCTTGCAGCAACCTCTAACTCCTGGGCTTAGGTGATTCTCTTGCCTCAGTCTCCCAAGTAGTTGGGACTACAGGAGCCCCCTACAATGCCCAGCTATTTTTTTTTTTTTTTGTTGTTGTTGTTGCAGTTTGGTTGGGGCCAAGTTCAAACCCGCCACTCTCGGTATATGGGGCCAGCGCCCTACCCACTGAGCCACAGGTGCTGCCCACAATTCTACTATATTTTTTCCTGGAAATATAATTTACCATCATATGAAAATTTGAAAGCTTGTTAACCTTTGAACACAAACTAATCTTAATGCTTTTTAGGGGCAGGATCAATGTCTATAATAACCACATAATAATCCTTTATAATTATAAAGAGAATGCTTTATAATTCTTTTACTTTATTTGTCTTTTTAATCTTAACTCTTCCCCCTCCAGTTTTAGTATAGAACCTTGTCTATATCACATGTTCAGTACTAGTTTGCAAATGAATGACTATCTAATTTTATATCTATAAATATACAAATATATAATATGTATATATATGGTCCATATAGTGATTAAGTGTATTTTCTTTTAAATGAATATTTGAACTTTTCTTCTGCAGAGAAGGTTGTATTATATAGAAAATAGAATTGTTAAAGCCACAGTATTTTAAGTTTTGAACTGATCTGCTCATCTTTCAGAATAATTTTCCTCTTGTTTTGACCTTGTTGACTATTCCTGGGAATCTTATATTTTTGTTCAATAATATTATTGAGGGGTACAAGTGAATCTTTCTAAGAGTAGAATGTGAACGTTTTAAAACAATGACTGAGAAAATGACATGAAGGCTGTGTTGACCAGTTTGATGAAAGTATTTCAGATTGCATGTGAAAACCCCACACTGTACCCCAGAAGCGCATTAATGTACATAGTTACCATTCAATAAAAAAAAAATAAAAAAATATTATTGAAAAGCTAACAATATTTTGTTTTTCATGGAATTCCTTACTGGAGGGTCTGACTGTTTAGTGGGAGAGAAAATTTACACAGTGTCTAATGAAATAGAAATTTATTTAAAGTATCAGAGCAGAGAGGAGTTTATGTAGTTCAGGTCTTTATAAATGTGATTCCTCATATTAAAATACTAGGTTTAATTCAAGAGTTTAAGAAATGTAAGATTTTATGTATGGATTTATGTATATGTATATATGTACACACATATATACTTCTGATACTCTATGTGAATATGAGCCTTTTTACTTTAATAAATAAAATAATTGGCACAGAAACATATCAGAAATTTAAGAGCAGAATTGCCCATTTAATGACTTGGCCCTCTAGAAATGAGTCCCAGAAATGGAAGCATACTTACATATGGGATCTCCTGCAATAGCTGGATCTGATGGTTCACTGGGAGGACCAATTCCTGCAGCATTTATTGCCATGGCTCTGAACTGGTATTTAACACCTTCAATCAAACGAGGAACATTAAATTCCACAGCTTTCAGTCCCACTTTGGTTATTGGTGCTCGGCTAACACGTGACCAGTAGGCACCTCCCTCTTCTCTTTTCTCCAACCAGTAGCCAGTAATTGGAGCACCACCATTGTCCAAAGGAGGAGTCCAGCTCACTAGCATTGATCCTTTGGTGCGTTCCAAAACTTTTGGTTTTCCTGGAGGTCCAGGAAGGCGATAAGGATCTTGAATGACCACTTTGTCTGATTTGCAGTCATCACTGATTCCATATTTATTCACTGCCCTGACTCGGAACTCATATTGACCATTGGGGATAAGTTTCCAGATCTAGAAATTAGATGGAAAGAAATTTCTTAAAAAGGAATATACTTAGGTTAATTTTCATTCATTTAAAAACTCAACTTATTTTGGGAGGGATAACTATAAGAAGAAATAAATATATAGTCTCAAAACAGGGGAAGACAGAGTAAAGGAGAAAGCCATTTAAAAATAAGAATATGTAGGCTCGGCACCTATAGCTCAACCGGCTAAGGCGCCAGCCATGTACACCTAAGGTGGCGGGTTCGAATCCCCAGCCCGGACCCGCCAAACAACAATGACGGCTGCAACCAAAAAATAGCCGGGCGTTGTGGCGGGCGCCTGTAGTCCCAGCTACTTGGGAGGCGGAGGCAGGAGACTCGCTTGAGCCCAGGAGTTGGAGGTTGCTGTGAGCTGTAATGCCACGGCACTCTGCCCAGGGGGACAGCTTGGGGCTCTGTCTCAAAAAAAAAAAAAAAAAATAAGAATATGTAAATTTATTAAAACTAAAGCAGATTAGTTATATATCAAATAGTATAGTATAGAGATTATCCACATATCAAATAGTATTTAATAGGTGGCCTGATGGGGCTGGTGCTAAACACTACAATAACAAAATAACAGTTATGTGCATGTGCTTTTAAGTCTAATTATTAAATTCCAAAGTTACACTGAAATGATGTCAGGTCAGAACTATGTCCTTTTAATGTGATACGAAAATATTTTTAGAAGAGTTTACCCCATATCTTCTCTCTACAGCAGTGTTGGTGACTTCCTCCCATTCACTCTTTTTCCTACTTGCATCACGTTTGTCAATGACATAATGAGTGATTTCACTGCCACCATTATCGAGGGGGGCATCCCATGTCAAGTAGCAAGATTCAGCTTTAATGTCAGTAACAGCAAGATTTCTTGGTGGGGATGGGCGGTCTAGAAAGGAACCAAGATTGGAGACTGAGAAGACAATTCTTAAACAGACAATGGGTGTCTTTGTGATATAAGAAAGCAAGTCATTTACCATATACTTCAACGTGAACATTTCGGAACACTGAGCCCAGGCGATTGGAAGCAGTAACTGTGTAAGTGCCTTTGTCCTCCCGCACTGTTTTGGGAATGCTGAGCTCAGTCTTTGCCTCACTTCGGGATACTTCTTCCTTGGTTATCTTAAGTGCATCTGTGGGTTTTTCGATCACAGTGTCATTCTTGGACCACTCAATCTTAGGCATTGGAAGGCCTGTCACATCTGCCGGGATGTTGACTGGCTCTCCTGCCTTGACTTTGATAGTGTCTCCCCGAACAGTCAGACGTAACTTGATAGTAGGAGGCACTGCAAAGGAAAAGGAAAGAGAAAAAAGTAGCAAAGTCATAAGGCTATTTTTCTGACCTTATGGGATAAGGGCAGCACTGTAAAGTACATGAAAATTATTATAATCAGATTTCACACCTTCATCATCTTGTATGACGACATTAAGAGGCAGGGATGGTTCACTTTCACCAATTGCATTGACAGCTTTGACCCGGAATTCATACATTTGGTGTTCATCAAGATTTTCAACCAGAAAAGATGTGGTGGGACAGAGTCTCGTGTTAACTCTTTCAAAGTCAGGTTTGTCATGACGCCGTTTTTCAATGATGTATCCTTGGATGGGGCTGCCACCATCATTGCGGGGCTCTTTCCAGTCTAAAGTGATGGTGGACTTTGTCCTTTCTGTATATGTGAGCCTCTCGGGAGATGTTGGGGGACCTTTAAACAGAGACAAGTTAAAATCATGAGCATGAGATAAATATTTGTATAATAAATAGTATCTTACTTCAACCTAATTATGTAAAATAAGACTTCTGTTTGGCTTAACCTTATATACGTCTTTAAAATCCTTCCTAAAAGGTGTGAGTTATGAGAATCATAGGCATTCATGTAAACAGAATTTTTCTTTGCAATTTTTTAATCAAGATTGCTAATTAAAAATAAATCAAGAGACACATTAGCATTTTAGACTCTGTCATTGGGAAAACTAATTTTAATGACTAGGGCAGTAGGTCTGTGAAGGTTGCCTTGAATGACCCACTGAAAGCAAAGTTCTTTTCTTAACAGATGGTGGGTGTGTCTACTGAACACAGTTTGAGTCATATTGCCTGGCGTGGGTTTAAAATATGGTGGAAAGGGTCATTATGTAATGCTGCTGCTCTTTTGTGTCCCAGAGGACAACATGAAGAAAGTAAGCTTCGAGTGGTGAAACTAGACCCAGTCTAATCTAGGGGGCTGTTACTGCAGCTGCAAGCAGTGGAAACCCAGCTCTGTCCTGAGGCCTCTGGCACAGTTGGAGGTATAGTGGCCATTCTGAGATGAGCTATAACAGTGGTGTAGCAAGTAACTTTTTTTAATCCTTTCTTGAGAAAGAGTCTCACTGTGTTGCCCTGGGTAGAGTGCTGTGGCATCATAGATCACAACAACCTCCAGCTCTGGGCTTCTGTGATCCTCTTTCCTCAGCCTGCTGAGTAGGTGGGACTATAGGTGCCTGCCACAACGCCTGATTAGTTTTTCTGTTTTTAGTAGAGATAGAGTCTCCCTCTTGCTCAGGCTGGTCTCAAACTCTTGAGGTCAACCAATTCACCCATGTCAGCCTCCCAGAGGGGGAGGATTATAGGCATGAGCCACCATGCCTGGTCCGGAAGTAATTTCTTTTTATTTTTCAGGGGTAGTAAAGGAATAACTTCTGTCTCTTCAGGGCTGGGTCTTACTCAAAGTTCTTGTTTCATAATTAGTTTTGAGAGATTTTCTCTGGGTGCTCTTCTGTTCTTTGGTGTCTCCTTCTGGTTTGAGGTCTTGCTATCCTTCCAGTGCGGGGATTTTTTGAGGGCAGAGGGAGACTAAGGTATTTATCCTAAAGCTATTATCTGTCTTGTAATCTTTTGGCAAAATAGGGAGCTCTCTTTAACTCAAAAATTGTTAAATTTTTTAAAAAACCTACTCCAGTGTATTCCATTAGAAAGACTGAATACTTCTAAACTACTTCTGGGTTATTATCAAGCCCAGTAGATCCAAGTTTTTCAGGACACAAAAGCATGCATGATTTATATAGAACCAAAAGTTACATGGAAGTTACGGCAAATGTGGGGTCTTTAAAGTTGCTATTTGATTTATTTTTTTATTACTCTAGAGCTATAGATCTTGAGACTTTTAGGAGTTTCAAGCCATAAAGCTCAGTAAAGAAATGATATACTCAAAAGCAAAACAGTTATTCATTTTATAAACACAGTGAAAACCTCCTCTTTTACCTAGTGGATCAACGGCAAGAATTGGTCCTATTTCAACAGGAGGGCCACAGCCAAACTTGTTCTTGGCAATAACTCGGAACATATATTCTTGTCCCTCAATAAGACCTGTGATGTCACATTTAGATCTGTCAGTCTCTATTGGTTGTCTCCAAGTATGCATCTTGGCATCTTTTCTCTCAATAATAAAGCCTGTGATTTCACTTCCACCATCATCTTCTGGATCAGACCAGTTAAGCAGACACATCTTTCTGTTTGTTACAACAGGTTTTAAGTCAAGAACTGGACCAGGGACATCTGAAAAATAAAACAAAGGCAAAAAAAAAAAAGTCCCTTAATGAAGTAAGATAGTATCATTTGGGGAAATACTATGAAAATCCATTCCACCTTCCTTACCAAAAACTTCTACCCTGGCTGCTGCAAATTTGGAACCACAGCTATTAGTAGCTGTGATCACGTATCTGCCATGATCTTTTCTCAGTGCATCCTTGATAATTAGTTCAGATTTGGTTCCAACATTCTCTATTACAACACGTTCTTTATCCAGCTCCCGATCTTCGATGGTCCATACTCTTGTGGGCACAGGACGACCAGTCACCACTGCTGGAATTCTAAGAGTCTTCCCAGCCATTATTTGTATTCCAGCCTTGACAGAAACATCCAGTTCCACAGTTGGAGGTTCTATTGTAAGAGAATGGTCATACGTTAGCACAAGAAAGGTGAAAACACAGTCCCATACTGAGAAAATAACCATAATTGTATTCAAATAACTTTGAAGTACCTTGTGGTTCAGCCACAGTGACAGGTCCAGTTTCTCCAGGGGGTCCTTCACCTGCAGCATTGACAGCACTCACCCGGAGTTTGTAATCGGCACCCTCTCGGATTTCTTTGACCGTGTACTGACGGACCTTGATCATCTTCTCTGTGCAGCGTGACCATTCATTTGTGCCAACCAACTGCTTATCGACAAAGTAGCCAATAATTTCCCCACCACCATTGAAAGCTGGGGGTTCCCATTCTAGGTCAATAGTTGTGGAGCTTGTGTCAGCGACTCTTGGGATAGGTGGCCCCGGTGGAGCTAAAGTGAATGCAGATATACAAATTAAACTCACTGATGGCTTTTAAAATGTACAGGAGCTTACTCTATTCCACTGTCTCCTTAAAGAATTACTTACAGATTGGATCACGTGCTGTTTTGGGATCTGAAGGTGGGCTGAACTTGCCGGGTCCAGCTGCATTTTCAGCACATACTCTGAAGACATAGGTGAGTCCTTCTAACAGGCCATCCACCTTGGTTTTCAAAGCATTCAGGAGGCTTTTGTTGACACGAGACCAATGTGTACTATTAACCTCACGTTTCTCAAGCCAGTAACCCAGGATGGGGCTTCCGTTATCTTTTGGTTCATTCCATGTCACTAGCATACTGTTGCTGGTAACATCCTCCACAATTGGCTTATCAGGTGCATCAGGTGGTTCTGATAAAAAGAGTAAAATATTTGAATTAATTCCCTGATACGCAATAAAAATTCAATTTTACAAGTTGTGATGATGTATGTAACAAAGTATATGGCAAAAAGGGGAAGATTGAGATGCCAAAGGAAACTTACCAAATGGGTCTTTAGCTATCAATGGCTTGGAAACACATGGTGGTCCAGGCCCAAACCTATTTTCAGCTCTTACACGGAAGAGGTACTCTTTTCCTTCAATCAGTTTCGTTACTGAATATTTGCAATGTCTAAGTGTTGAAGTGACAACAATCCATTCTGAGTCAGGTTTTGTCTTGTCTTTCTTTTCCAAAGTGTAGTTTATGATTTCACTGCCACCATCATCAAGGGGTGGTTCCCATTTACAGAGGACTGAGGTCTTTCTAATATCTTCAAATACAAAGTTGACTGGCGGTCCTGGTGTATCTAATATTTCAAAAGAGAACAATGATTAAAAATCTGTTTGGAAATGTTTGCTATGGAAAATGTTAATGTGAGTTACTCCTTTGATGTGATTTCTGTTTTTTTCTACCTGACTATCATTGTGATGCATCAGCTAATAAGTAGCAAGCCCAGCTGATTTCTTCTTATTTTATCAGGAGAAAAAATGTGACTGAAGACTATTTCCTGAAGCTATTTCCCACTTCTTTCAACATTTCCCCAAACTCTATATTTTTATGTTTTTCTAAGACTCTTATATAGACTTTTTTCCATTGGAAAGTGTAGTTTTAATTATTTACCTAATACGCTGACAGTACAAGGAGCTTTTGCAACACCATGGTCATTTTCAGCTTTGATCATATAGAGGCCATGGTCAGGTCGGAGGGAATCTCGGACACGGAGCTGAGATTCTCCTTGTTTACTGTTGTTGATACTCAAACGCTGTGTCAGAGGCAGGACAAATGGTTCTTCTTCTTCAACTTCACCCTTCTTCCTTCTCACCATGGGTGCTGCTCGCTTCTTAATTTCCTCTGGTGTAATAACGTTTTCATCCTTTATCCATGTGATAGTTGGATAGGGTGATCCAGAAATAGTGGCATCAAGTGCTATCTCGTCACCTCGTTTCACTTCTAGGCTTGTTCTCAGAATGACTTTTGGGGCATCTGCAATGATCCCAAACAATAATTGTTTTCAATTCTAATGAAAACATCTGACAAAACCAGTAGTTTCATTTGTGTTACACAGGGAAAGTGGCAACCCCACCGAACAAGACTTACCAATAGGATCTAGAGCTTTGGTTGGAGGAGTGGCCCGGGAAGGGTCACTAATCCCAGCAGCATTCTCAGCTCGCACCCGGAATTGGTACTCCTTTCCCTCTTCCAGTCCTTTTGCTGTATAGGTCAGAATTGGTACCAGGTGCTCATTGCATCTCTTCCATGTATCTTCACCCTTAGCAATCTTTTCTATGATGTAACCCATTATCTTGCTCCCTCCATCATACAAAGGTGGCTTCCATGTAATTGTCATTGCCTTAGCTGTAGGATTATGGACCTCAACATCCACAGGTGGATCAGGGGGTTCTGAAGAACAACAACAAAAAATTTTATTAATGTCAGGAAAACCATCTTCTTAAAACAGAAATGTTGCATATTAATCCCTGGCCATGGTATATTCATGCCCAAACTTACGCTTTGGATCTTGAGCAATGACTGGATTTTTTAGTTCAATATATTCGCCTCCACCAACTTTGTTGACTGCTTTAACACGGAAGAAGTATTCACCATTTGGTATGAGGTCTTTCACAGTCCAAGACAGTTTGTTCTCACCAGACATGACTGGTATATATGTCCTCCTCCCAGCTTCTCTGCGTTCCAGGACATAATGAAGAATTGGGGTTCCACCATCAAATTCTGGAGGTTCCCAGGTTAATTTACAAGAACTCTTGGTCACATCACTTGCTTTAATATCTTTGCATGGTCCAGGTAAGCCTAGTACAAATAAAATTGTTTATTATTTTTTAATCCTGAAAACCAGTGTTTTAATAATTTCTAAGTGGGACTATTTGCAATTTTGGGTAGGATAATCTTTCCTGTGCAGAAGTGTCCCTCATCCAGCAGAGCATTTAGCACTCTTGTCCCCCAACTACTAACTGTTAGCAGCACCTCTCTATCCCAGTCTTTGTTCCAAGCAAAATGGCTTCATAAATTTCTAGACATCATTTAGGGGTAGGGCAGAAAATGCTACTAACCCTGGTTGAGAACATTATGTATGAATGTGAATATATACAATTAAGAAATGAATATTGGTTATTTCAACATTATTTGGAAATGCTAAATCTCTTATTTAAATTAGCATTTCACATGCAAATAATTAAAACCGATGTAAATTAGTCTAATCAGAGTTTAGAACTGTTTTACTTCTCATATGGAGAAAAGTAATTTGAAAGGTCATTTAATTTACAAATGGTCAATTCATTAAGCCATTTTTACTAGCGCTGTAAAATTAACTAAGTATGATTACCTATGACTTTGACATTGATTGAGGCAGTTGCTGAGCCAAGCCTATTCTCCAGTGTAATGGTGTAAACTCCAGCATCTGCATGGACACTCTTAGGAACTTCAAGGTGTGCAGAGATGTGATCATTCTTCATTGTTAATCTATCACTTGCTTTGATATCTTTGCCATCTTTATGCCAAGTAACAGTTGGGACTGGGACAGCTCTGAAGGGAACAGGAATGCTTAACTTTTCACCTTCAATAACAATGATATCATGAGTCTCCAAGTCAATGGTTGGTTTGCCTGTAAGATATCATCCAAAAGAGAAAAAAAAGAGTATGTCAAAATATTGTATATGAATCAGGCCTATTTTATTAATTGTAAAAGACATTGTGTTCTTACAGTCTGGGTCTTTGGCTACCACATTTTCAGAGATTTCAGATGGCTCACTGACACCGACAGCATTGACAGCTCTCACTCTCAGAACATACTCTTTGTCAGGAACAACACCTTCTTCAACCTTGAATTTCAAGTCTTTTATTGGGCGAGAATTAACTCGCATCCATTTCTCAGTGCCTACTGGACACATTTCAACATGATATCCTATAATTGGACTTCCGCCATCTTTCTCTGGAGGTTTCCAAGCAATGGCGATGTGCTTTCTCCCAGCATCAGTCACATGTAGGTCAAGGGGAGGTGATGGAGGACCTGAGGAAAGAGAGAAGCATTCACATCAGCAGTCCCATCATCAAGTTCTAGACAACACCCTTTGTACAACCAGCACTACTTACCTCTTGGATCTTCAATTGCTAGGATCTCTGTGGGTTCACTTGGGTGACCAACTCCAGCTTCATTTTCTGCCCTAACCTGAAACTGGACCTCTGTTCCTTCAATAACATCAGTTACTCTGAAGTTACAGTCAGGTCCTGAAGTCTTTCCTGCTTTCACCCAACGAGTACCTAACTTTTCTTTCTTCTCAATGATGTATCTATTGAAATAACAAACCATTTCATTAGCATTAATGAAAAAAGTTAAGAATTTGCAGGGAGTATAAGTTATTCTTTATGAATTAATTCAAATTCTACCTCTGTATTGGTCTTCCACCATCATTTTTGGGTGGCTCCCACTTTAGGTCCACATGTCGTTTTGTCACATCAACCACTGCGAGAGCATAGGGTGGTCCAGGGGTAGCTGAAAGAAAAATAATCAATGATTAGAAAAATCAGAGGAAAAGTTATAACCTATGACAACTGTTGTCACAAAGGTTAAGTTAGAGAGCATACTAAAGGTGTCCTTGGCCAGGACGGAGTCCTCTATTTCAGTGTAGTCACTTTGTCCTACAGCATTTTCTGCAGCAACTCGGAATACATATAAAGAGCCTTCGGTCAGCGGGGTGACTGTGCACTTGGTGTCCTTGACAGTGGTGTCCACTGTTTGCCAGCCTTTTCGCCTCACATCTCTTTTTTCCACAATGTAGTTGGTGATGGGTGACCCTCCATCTTTCTCAGGAACTGTCCACTTTAGGTCTGCTGTATTTTTTGTGATATTAATAACTTCGAGCCAGCGAGGTGGTGATGGAGGATCTGAACAAGAAGGAAAGAAAAACAATTCAATTTCTTTTATCATCCACAATAGTCAATCTTTACTGAATATTCTGGTAGCCACCAGTAAATACTATAGTGAGGAGGAAATAATAATTTTTTTATATTCTCTCATGTTAGAGTTCTCAGACATGAGAAGAATTTATATACCTCAGATATCAAGAGTAACTTACATAGCTTCTCCCGGCAAAGCACGGGGTCGCTGGGTTCACTGGGTTCACTTTCCCCAGCCTTGTTCACAGCTCTAACTCGGAATGAGTATTCTTGCCCTTCCATGAGCCCAGTGAGCAAGTGCTGGGTGGTGGGAACTCCTTCAGCCACTCTGACCCAGTCTTCTGTTCCGGTCTTTAGCATTTCAATGACATAAGACTCAACCTTTGCCCCTCCATCATGTTCTGGCTTTGTCCAATTCAACATTAATGATGTTTTGCCCACATCTTTCACAGTTGGTTTTCCAGGGGGCCATGGAGGATCTGCAAGGCAAGGAAACCATTATTTAGGTTTGTCAAAAAGGAGTTAAGGAGTTAATTTAAGCCTCAAAATAACCACAGAAAATTATATAAATAATACCTATAGGATCTTTTATCAAGATTGGTTCAGTTGATTTGCTTGGTTTTCCAGGTCCAGCAAGATTTTCAGCCAATACACGGAATCTGTACTTTTTCTTATTGGTGAGACCTTTCACTCTGAATTAAGAACAAAATGCATGCATAACATCAACACTGAAGGAAAAACATATGTTTTTTACATGGAAGAGACTAATTTACTTAAATTGTGAAAAACTGATTTGGAAATCTAATTAAAATATTTCAATATAAATTTAGAATTGCTTTTTAATCATCATACACTTTAGATTTGTCCAAATGTACTAATCTAAATATAATATCTATCACAGTAATCTTTTTTTTTTAGAGACAGAGTCTCACTTTGTTACCCTCGGTAGAGTGCTGTGCTGTCATAGCTCACAGCAACCTCCAGATCTTGGGCTTAGGCAATTCTCTTGCCTCAGCCTCCTGAGTAGCTGGGACTACAGGCACCCACCACAATACCTGGCTATTTTTTGTTACAGTTTGGCCAGGGCCGGGTTCGAACCTGCCACCCTTCGTAATGGGTGGCGCCCTACTCACTGAGCCACAGGTGCTGCTCTATCACAGTAATCATTATTATAATATGTTGGAGGGTCAAATACTTTAAAATTTCCAGAAAGTTAATATTTTATAATAAACTAAGAAACACATCCTTAAATAGAATTTATTTTGTTTTTGAAATTGTATGGTAATAGAAAGTATAAATAAAAATAATTTAAAAATATTTATGGTAATGTGTAATCATTTGTCATTTGATACAAATGATTAAAGAGTGACAATTTGAACATATTGCTGTTTTAATAGTTTGCTGAGGATTTTGGGCATACCTGAATGTTGTGTCCTTTATTGGCATCTTATTGCATTTAACCCATTTATCAGTATCGGGATCTAATCTTTCAACCCAGTATCCAGTGATTGGGCTGCCGCCATCATCATCTGGCTCACACCATGTGAGAGTCACTGCATCTTTAGTGATATCAGAAGGTTCTAGGCGAGTTGGAGGTCCAGGTGGATCTAGGGATAAGATAATGATATAAAAATGGTATGTATCTTACATATAAATATGACATCTAAATGCAAATTTGACATAAGCATCATTTTTTATTTTTTTTTTGTCAGTTGACTGAGAACTTACCAAATGGATATTTGGCTATTATTGGAGTGGCCTGAACTGGCTCACCAACACCATACATGTTTTCTGCAGCAACTCGGAAGATGTATTCCTTATTGGGTATTAATTTGGTTGCCTTGAAGTTTGTATCCTTGACAGTTGATGAGAGCTTGTGCCACACTTCACTATCAGTTGCTCTTCTCTCCACAACATAGTTTGTGATCTTAGATCCACCATCATCTCGTGGTGGGTTCCATGTTAGGAGACATGACTCGTTGGTTACATCTGTGATGTCAAAAGCAGCTGGTGGTCCTGGTTTATCTGTGGATGGTATTACAGAGGCATAAGAAAAGATTTTTTTAAAACCATGTTTTTTCAAGAAAGTAGTTGGAGCGAGCTTGTCTCCGCTTTTAAAATGAAAGACCTCCTTACCTAAGACATTTACTTCCGCCACAGCAGTGGCCCGGCCACAGATGTTCACAGCCTCAATGATGTACCTGCCTGTGTCACTTCTCTTGCTGTCAGTGATAGTCACTGTGGATTTTTTAGGAACATTTTCAATGGTGATTCTTTTGTCTGGCTTCAGAATCGTATCAGCCTTCGTCCAAGTTATTGTAGGGGCAGGTCTTCCAGTTACAGTGGCAGGAAGTTCTATCTTAGTTCCGGCTTTTACAGTGAGACCAGCAAGGAGCTTCACATCGAGGAAAATTTCTGGGGCCTCTGAAGTGGAAAAGAGTATTTATGATGTTAGCGAAGTTCAAGCAGAATTGAGGTCAGGGGCCTGATTGATAAGACAAAGATCAAAAGTAAATACCCTGTGTGTCCACAGCCTGGATTTCCTCTGTGGGTCTGCTTGGCTTGCTAGCACCTATCCTGTTCAAGGCCTTCACACGGTAGGCATACCATTGGCCTTCCTCCAGACCCGTCACTTCCATTCTATCAGGAAACAAAAGAGGATATTTTACTGTCATGTATATAATGTGTTCCACTGTGTAGTATTCATAATCTTTCCAAAATTCATGCCTCTGGTACAATACTAGTCTTTTAAAATTTAGGTTATTATTTTAATTAAATTTTTTTTTATTATGGGTTAAGATGAGGGTTCATACAATTAGGTTACATTGTTTGTGTTTGTAAGGTGAAGTCCGAAGTCTGAGCTGTAGTTGAGCTCTTCATTGTACACCCCTACATTGCCCCAGATAGGTGGGAACTAATCGAGGCCCTACCCCCTTCCTTTGTTTTGTTTTGTGTTTTTCTCTCATGCAGGCCTGTAGCTGCTGATCTATTATTTTCAGATTAGTATACTAAATCTGGATTGCTCACACTGTGTAACTAATGTAAACCTTAAGCAGGAGTAGGTTCAACAGCACTTTTAAGAACAGGCATACCAGGAGAATTCCAAATGAAAAAGACTAACATTCAAATTTTCCCATTTTAGTGAGTAAGAGTACACATATACTCTTGTACCAAATAATCAGAAAACCTACTTTGTGTCTGGAATGGGTTCTCCACAGGCAACCCATTTATCAGAACCACGTGGACATTTTTCAACTATATATCCTTTGATGCGTGAACCACCGTCATGCTTAGGTGGATCCCATGTTAAGAAGATGCTCTTGGCTGTCCGGTCTCTCCATTTGACGTTCTCTGGGGGTTCTGGAACAGCTATAACATTTGAAAGACAAAGTCTGTCTTAGACCTCCTATGAAGTTGTCTCCATATTGTTAGCCCCTGTCTAGCCCCATAACTTCAACTCCCGGTCTAAAACTAAAAACAGGTAGCACAAGGTTAGGTAAGAAACCATCAAAAATATACTTACTTGCAGGAGCTGACATATTTACAGGCTCATCAATGTATGCAGGCTCTCCAGGGCCACACTTGTTACGAGCACAGACTTTAAATAAATATTCTTTTCCTTGAACAAGATCAGGAACTGTGAACTCTAGATCAGTCACAAAGTCTATTACCTGGTATAAAAAACCCCCAGTTAATTAGTTATTGCCCCCAAACCCGTTTTCCATGTCAAAAGAATTTTACCATGAGCAGGGATACAAATGGAAGTTGTTTTGAATGCTAAGGATTATTCTTTTTTTTTTTTCCCCCCCCAGACAGAGTCTCACTCTGTTGTCCCATGCTAGAGTGCTGTCGTGACAGCCTAACTCATAGCAACCTCAAGTTCTTGGGCTCAAATGATCTGCCTGCTTTAGCTTCCTGAGTAGCTGGGACTATAGGCACCCACCAAAACACCCACCTAGTTTTTCTATTTTTAGTAGAGATGGGGGGGTCTCACTCTTGCTCAGGCTGGTCCTGAACTCCTACGCTCAAGCAATATACCTGCCTTGGCCTCCCAGAGTGCTAGGATTACAGTTGTGAGCCATTGTGCCTTGCCGGATTATTTTTATATTAATTTCATGTGAGTGAAAAATTGCAAAGTAGAATACATAATGTTTGACCCTCAATATAAGTAGAAACTATTTCATGTTTTATCTACATTTAAGAAAATGGCCAATGTGTATTGATTCTTTCTTCTACCTTGGGTATTACAAATATGATTTTAAATTGGGGTAAGGAATAGTAACTAGTATATTTATCAGAACCTGGTTTAGAAAAGAGAAGAGAAAGACTAGTAACCAATATAAAACATAAGGAAGAAAAATGGTAAGATTAGGCCAACTAAGGTTTTCTAGTGGAATAAGACATGCGACCACTAGGGAAATAAATAATTTCCTTACCAAGGCATATAGCTTCATGGGGGCATGTTTAGTACTTATCAGATACAAAGTGAGTAGGTAAGTTCTGTTTTATTTTTTAACAGACCTAGCTGAAAATTTGGTTAGACACACAAAATGAGGCAATTATATAAGCCTAGTTAGAAATACCTTAGGAAACATTAGCATTAATGCCTTTTTAAAAAGTTTTGGCACATTTTCAATGAGGTAAAGGAAAAAAGAGATGACACCGAAAGGTTTTGCACGGTATCTCAAACTTTGGGGATTCTTATTTCTGGAACTGACACATCACTGCTGAAAACTTACTTTAGTCCATGTTTTGCGGCTGACTTCTCGCTTTTCAATAAGATAACCAGTTAATGGACTTCCTCCGTCATCATCAGGTGGTTCCCAAGTCAAATGTACTGAGTCTCGGGTTATATCACTGAATTTAAGTTCTTTAGGTGCACTTGGGCGAGCTGAAAAAAAAGTATAATCACAAGTCAGTGTCATTGATGGCTGGAACCAGTATTTGTTAATATTGCCCAATCGCCTTAAGATGATAAAAGTTCAGTTCCTTACCAATTACATTCACATCAATTTCCCCAGAAATTGCTTTAACACGATTTTCTAATTTCAGTGTATAAATGCCTTTGTCTGGACGTTCACTTGGAGAAATGACAAGTTCAGCATAGGCAGATAAGGTCTTCATTTTCACACGGTCTCCCGCTTCTAGTAACGTATCTCCAAAAGACCAGGTGGCAGTTGGCCTTGGATAGCCTGTACTTGGAACCAGGATCTTGATTGGATTTGGGACAATAACTTCCAGACCATCTTTAAATGCACTTAAATCCATTGTTGGTTCAACTACAAAGAAGAAAAATTGATAAGTTTTCAATACCATATTTAAGTCTTTGTTACCCCCTGGTAGCTCTATGCTATTCCCAGATCTAAAAATAAAATATCCACGTACCAGATGCATCATCAGCAGTGAGAGGACCAAGAATCTCAGATGGATCTGAAACACCAGCTTCATTTTCTGCAGATACTCTGTACAAATACTTATTTCCTTTTTCTAATCCAGTAACCTAGAATTACAAATTAATATTTGCAAAATACGTATACATTTAAATCTATGATCACACACTGAATATTTTTTTAAATCTCTCTCTCTCTCTCTCTCTCTCTCTTTTTTTTTTTTTTGTTAACCAGGCCTGGGTTTGTTAACCACCCCTGCAGGGTTGGCACTCTCACCACTGAGCAACAGGTGCCCAGACTCTTTTTTTTTTTTTCCAATGAAAATGCCATACCTTGTAAGTCAGTTTAGGTACAAGTTTCACGTTGCAACGAATCCAATTATCTTTTCCTTCTTCACATCGCTCAATTATATAGCCTAGGATTGGGCTTCCTCCATCTTTCAGAGGAGGTTCCCATGTCAGCTGAACTGATGACTGAGTCTGATCTGTGGAATTTAGATTCACCGGAGGACTCGGTCTCTCTGGAATGAAAGAGTTGGAGCATACCATTTAATTTAGTGATAATTTATTAAGATAGTGCTGGAATCAATTCTAGCATCCTCATTAAAATAATAGGTTTATTGAATTTATCAAATAAAAGTTAGGCACAGTCTGGATTTCTATAATTTTGTTCAAATTATTCTGATGTTCTACCATTTTATTAGCTTTTATTTAATTTGATTTACTTTACTTGAGAGTCCTAATTTCTGGATTTCATGCAGTAATTATTTCCTTGTTTTGATGAGCATACCAATTGGGTCAGCAACTTTGACGAAGGGTGTGGCTGCACTTGGTTTTCCAATTCCAATTCGGTTCTGGGCTCTGACCCGGAAACTGTACTCCTGTCCTTCCACCACATCCGTGACAGTTGCAGACAGGTCTTCAGCCCTGACAGTCATGGCAGTGTCCCACCTGATAGAAGTCTTGTCTCTTAATTCGATGATGTAGTTTGTGATCTCGGCACCTCCATCATACTCCGGTGGTTCCCATGTCAGTGAGACACCGAATCGGTTCACATCAGTGATGGTTACATTCAAAGGAGGGCCTGGAACATCTGGATTTCACCACAGAAGAAGAAAACAAGAGCTTTGGGTTATATTGGGGAGAAAAGCAAAAATAAGGAGTTTGCTATTCACTTAAAAACATCTTACCATATTTACTTCTTGCTTCTACAGGATTGTCAGTTTCAACTGGTTCACCGGTGCCAACTCTGTTTCTTGCACTCACGCGGAAAAGGTACTCCACTCCTCCTTTTTGTAGTCCAGTGACAGTAAACTCACAACTGTCTGCACGGTCAGTGGCCAGAACCCAGGTCTTTCTCTTGATGTCCCGTCTTTCCACAACGTAACCTATGATTTTGCTCCCACCATCAGTTAATGGTTCTTCCCAAGCGAGGCTCACTTCACCATCAAATGTTTCTGTTACTTCTAAGTTACGTACTGGCCCAGGAACATCTGAAATTCACATAGAAAATAATTTTTGGAATTTTATCATGCCTTTAAGTTGTGCTTTGCCAATTCAGTCTGAGTGATTCAAGGGCTTACCAATAACTTTTAAATTGATGAATCCTTCTGCTTTTCCATGTTTGTTCTGAAGCACAACTTTATACCTTCCTTTGTCTTCATTCTTGGCTTCTAATATTCTGAAAGAAGTTTGTTCAGCTGTCGTATCAACAGTTTTTGAAGACAAAGGTTCATTTTCTTTAAACCATTCAGCTTCTGCTTTGGGGTAGGCATCATAAGGCACCACCATTGTGAGAGGCTGGCCAACATCAACCACAAGGTCTTGATCACCTGTCTTGATTTTGGGTGCAGCTAGTGGGAAAAATAACATGTGATGCTTTTAAGTTTTGAATTAACTGTAGTCAAACTACATCCTATCTTCTTTACTTGGCATTTATTAGCAACTAATTATTGCATAGGCCTGGAGTTACATCATAGTGACTTTACAGCAGAGAGCATTAACTGGCTTAAATGTGGTATAGCTTTCTCCCCCCCCCCTTTTTTTTTGTTGTAAATTATCAGAGTTTGGAGAATAGAGAGTTGAAGATGGTATGAAATCATAAAACATCAGTTCTTTGCCCCAAAATAACCCTGGGTAGTAAAAAAACATGTTTTAGGTTTTTTTTTTTAATGAAGTAGGCACTGCATACTTAGTTCAAGATCAACAAGACAAACTTTTTCTAATGTATAAGAGGTACACTAAGGGCTTTTTCATTATGATAGTCTATAAGGATGTCTTGGGTCAGGATGAGAACACACCTTAAAGTCATAGAGGATGGAAAGTAGAGAAGTATGGGGCTATCTTTAGGTATGGAAATACTCTCTGGGTGATGGGTTAGTTCCAGGAATTAATAAACAGCCACCATGTCCCAGGGATTGTCAAGGTCTTGAAGTGTGAGGATGAATTCTACCAGTTTCCCCTTACTCATGTCACTTACTTTGTAGTGAGAGAAATTAGAATAGTTAACATATGGGCAGGAAATTAAAGATTCTCACAAGGATTTTGTTACTAAATAACTGTGAAATCTAAAATCTGTGTAACTGTGATATTAGGAGGATATTTTAAAAGAAAAGAAAAGAACTTACCTGCCAGTTCAAGTTTTGCTCTGGCTTCTTTGTCTTTGGCAATAAATCTGTATTCACCCTGGTCACGTGGCTTAATATCGCAAATCTGTAGTCTATGTATTTTTCCTTCACTCATCATCTGGTGTTTATCACCCTGGACAATAACCATGTTATTTCTTAGCCATTGAACTTCCACCTTATCTTTGTTGAGCTCGGCTAAAAAGACAACATCAGCACCGGGGGCTTCGAGAATATCTTGAGGAGGCCTAATGATCTCCACAGGAATTTCTGGAAAGCAAATGTGAAGTTTTGGTCAATAATTTTTAGAAAATCGGTCACTAATATGCACAAATTGAAACTGTCCTTTCACTGAATATGTACCTTCCACAAAAAGCCTAGCCCGGGACTTCCTGTCTTCGACTCCACAAGCGTATTCACACTCGTCATCCAGCCTGCAATCTTTTATAATGAGTCTGTGTGTGCTGCCATCTTTTTCAAATTTGTATCTAAAGAAAAGGTTGAATGATCAGTTAGCTTGGGTAAGGACCCCTGAATTGTTGAAAGTGGACGTAGAGCTACAGCAATAGAAAATGAGAAGCTCTTGCTTACTTTTTGCCTTCTTTGATTTCTCTCCCATTTCTGTACCATTTTACATTTGCTTTCTCTCTGGACAGTTGGCAGGAGAAGACAGCATCATCGAACTCCGTGACCGTCTGGTCTTCCAAGTGTTCCACAAACTCTGTAGGGGCTTCGATGATGAGAAGCTCAGCAGCAGATTTATCTTGTCCAGCAGTGACGACGTATTCGCCTTCGTCTGGGAAGCCACAGTCTTTAATGATTAGGGAGTGCTTATACTTATCGACTCTGTAGGATACGCGGTTGTCAAGAGGCACTTCTTCTCCATTTCTGGTCCACTTTAGTGTTGCATTGAGACGGTTCACCTTGCACCAGAATGTGACAGATTTCTTCTCCATTGTCTCGATATCTTTAAGAGGTTCGATAATCCTAAGGTCTTCCTCTGTTGAAAAGGAGAAGAATAATGTAGATTGTAATTATTTTCACTCTAGAAACTGATGAACAAAGCCTCTAATGCCATACAAATTATTTACCTTCTACTATTAGATTGGCTGCACTTTTGACATTTTCACCTCTGTGGTTGGTCAGAGATACATTATAGTTGGCTTGGTCGTCTAATTGTGCATTTCTGATTCTGAGGGTGTAGACCAGGTCTTTTTGGAGAATGATGTATTTTGAACTGTCAAATATGGCTTCTTCATTTCTGAACCATTTGGCTTTGGCACCTTCTGTATTGACTTCACAGTTGAAGACAACTTCTTGCTGTTCCTTCACCCGGGTGTCCTTTAGAGGAACTACGATTCTGAGTTTTTCTGAAAGCAACCAACAAGATTTCATGGTATGAAGAAAGACCAAAGCGATAAACACAAATACAAGTAAATCCCAAAAAGCAAGAACAAACTTACCGATTACTGTCAAGTGAGCTGCTGCTCTGGCGGCCCCAACCATGACGACATAAGTGCCCATATCCTGCAAGGTGGCATCTTTCACAACTAGGATCCTCTTTTTACCATCTGCAATAACGTCATATTTATCTCCAGACTCAAGTGTTTGATCATCCCTCTTCCATTGGACTGGAAAGCTTTCCTTTGATATGGAGCAGACAAATTCAGCCTTTTCTCCTTCAAGTATTTCAAGGTTTTGAGGCTTTGAGATAAATTCAGCAGCAAGTTCTAGAAAGAAAAAGTTGCAAGGTATTGGAAATTTAGGCATAGGTACCTTAAATCTAACAAGTATGAATTGTTAAAAATAAAATGTCATTCACTGTAATTTTCATACCATGGACTTTGACTTTGCCATCAGTTCGTGAACTTGGCAGTCGACAGTTATAGCTGCCGGCATCCTCAAGGTGAGCGTTCTGAATGATCAGGATTCTCTTCCGCCCATCCGTCAGTATTTCATATCTTCCTGTTTCAATGATCTCTTCATCTCCTTTGTACCAGATCACATCTGCTCCAGGCTTGGAGACTTCACAAACCAGTTTTATAGTGTCTGTTTCACTAACTTCAATGTTGGCAAGATTTTTAGTAAAGACAGCTTCTTCTTCTGCAAGAAGAAGTGAAGAAAAAAAAAACCAAGCATTGAATTAAACTGGAAAGTTTTGGGGTTTTTTTCCCAACACATACACTTCTGCCAAGGATGACTGCACTCTTACCCAGGACTGTCAGCATGCCAGAAGTCCTTGCCGTCCTTACTTCACAGGAATACTCTGCTTCGTCATCCAGTAGACATTTGTTGATGACAAGAATACGCACTGCTCCCTTGGATATGATGTCATATTTTTTGCCCTTTTTAATTTCAGCACCATCTTTAAACCACTGAACCTGTATTCAAGGTAAATATAGTATTTCTTTATAAACCTGCTTGTTTTTCCTTCACACAAGTGTCCCTAAGAGGAACTATGATCCTGAGTTTTTTTGAAAGCAACCAGCAAGACTTCTTAGTATAAGAACTATGATGGTAGATGCAAATGTAAGTAAACCCAAAAAGTGAGAATAATCTTACCAATTATTATTAAGTGAGCTTCTAGGATACCATTAACAATGATTAAAAACAATGGGAGCATATAAAACTCCTTTGATGTGTGACTGAGACAGAAACTTGAAGGAACTTGCAAATGGTAGTTAATGGTAACAAGAAGTACTTAGCTGAGACCAATATAATCATTAATATTTAACTAATTCTGATCTAAGAAAATAGCAAATAGCAATTTCATATGATTCAAACTAGTAATAGCTAAGTCTCCAGATTGTGAGTCCAGTGCTTTTTAAGTAATTATAAATGAATAACATTAAACAGAGAACAATTAAGTCGAGTACATGTTTTATACGAAAATAATTTTTTTTTTCTTTTTTTTGAGACAGAGCCTCAAGCTGTCCCCCTGGGTAGAGTGCCGTGGCATTACAGCTCACAGCAACCTCCAACTCCTGGGCTCAAGCGAGTCTCCTGCCTCCGCCTCCCAAGTAGCTGGGGCCACAGGCGCCTGCCACAATGCCCGGCTATTTTTTGGTTGCAGCCGTCATTGTTGTTTGGCGGGTCCAGGCTGGGGATTCGAACCCGCCACCTTAGGTGTACGTGGCTGGCGCCTTAGCCGGTTGAGTTATAGGCGCCGAGCCACTAAAATAATTTTTAAAAGTAAAATGGTGATCAGAGGAAAATTTGACTAACTTCTTTTTTTCTCCCATTTTTGCTAGACCATAATTAAACATCAAGTCATTTAGACAGCAGGTATATGATCACAAACCTTAGCGTTTTCTCGGGAAATTTCACACTCAAACCGAGCCATTTCTTTTTCTTTAACTTGAAGATCTGTGAGTGGTCTTAAGAATTCCACATGAGGAGCTATAAGGAAACGTCAATAAAATTCAAAATGAGGTTTCTGGAAATGTACTCTGACATGACTATGGTATACATTAAGAAAAGTGAGTCTTTTGGAGGACCTTTTAATCTTAATAGTGACAATTTACTTTGAAATCACTCAGAGATACCATTCAAATATGATGCTTTACTTTTCATATAATTCTGTATTTTACATAAAATTGTGTGGCATACTATATGTCCAGCTAATAGCGTGCGCACACACACACAATACAGTATATATATTAGAGGGCCATCTTGGTCCTCCAAAATAATAGTTGGAAGAAAAATCTTTATTGATTACTGTGTCAGGGTTGAAAGATACTGTCAAAGGAGACACCAGTAGCAAAGAAACATCTTATTTCAGGCAGCCACGTAGTCTTTTAGAAACTAGCAAAATTCATTGATGATACAGCTTGAAGCACTGTGATCAGCCTTGTGAATGGCTCAGAGGCATGAGTGAGGAACTGAAATCACGCACATTTAGCATTTTTTAAAAAAAATCAGCTTCAAAGACGTCACAAGTAAGTCAGGCATAAAATCTATTAGTGCAACAAAGCAATGTGTCTTGCATGGGAGGGCAATTTGGTTTTTTACATTTTATTTATCTCCAGAATTAATTCTGCTGACGTATAGGATTGTGGAGCTGCCCCTTGCTTTTCCTTCTTTCAGAGCTCCTTGTGAGTCCTTCCCAAGATGACCTTTCTCGATCAACAAGATTCTGGCTAAAAGACTTGAAGATAACTAATTGCAGTTGCGCCTTCTTGGAGTGGAGGTACATGACAAGGGGAGGAAGGAGGCCCAAGAAGCTACTCTGGCATAAGCGAAAACAGGGCAACCACGTGGTGGGAAGAATAACACAGTACAAAATGCATGAAGTCAAGCCTACTAGCTGTTGACTGATGGGAAGCGAGTAAACCAAACAAACAAGTATTGCACAAAAATCTGCACCGAAAAATGTCATCACTGGACAAAGGAATGAATGAAACAAATGAGCAAGCATGTGGCATTTTGAAAAAAGATATTTTTCACCAAAGGAAGAAGTAATGCTAAAAGCCATTAGAGCTCTCTCCATCCAAAGAATCTGGGACTCAAAGACTCTAGGCCTCAATCCTTCTTCTTATCCGTTCTTATTCTCAGAGGGTGACTTATATTCAAGGCTTTGTTGTATGACAGCCAACCTCTCATCTGCTCCTATTCAAACTGAAGTTTCATGCTCGTTTTCTAGTTGTTCCCCAGACCTGAAGATTCATTTTCCTTCCACATGGAAATAACTTTTCACTTTTTGGAAATCAGGGCTCCCTACTTATCTTTTATATTCATTTTTTCCTCGTATTCATGCAGTAGGCTTACGCATTCACGTAGGCAAAGAGAGCATCTGCTCACAACTCAGTGAGAGAGCAGAAGCATAGCGAAAAGTGATCCATCTGTCCTTCAGCAGAGCAGAGGGAGCATAAAGCTTTTCTTTTTTTCTTTAAAGTCATAAAGAATCAGGTTAGGTCAGCGTCAATCTAAATACTGCCAAGAAATGCAGTTAGGCCAAGAAGAACATGCAAAAAAGTGTTTGTTTTGTTATCCAAGAGTTTAAAACCCAAAGTCCTATGTAAGAATACTTACGCACAACATTCAGGTTACAGGAAGTCTTAAAATCCTTAGCATCACAAGTGTATGTTTTAATATCCTCTGGGGTACAGTCATGTATAATAAGTTTTCTGACCCTGCCATCAGCAATAATTTCATACTTCTTGCTTTTGAGGATCTGAGTTCCATTTTTGAACCATTTCACCTTGGCATTTTCTCTGGAGACTTCACACTCCAGTACTGCAGTGGCTCCCTCTTCGACCGTCTGGTCCTCAAGGGGCTTAGTGAATTCAACTGGGGGTTCTGAAAGAATCAGACTCATTAGCCACGGTACTTCTCCTTTCCTTCTTCAAGACTTTCTGTACCTCCTCAACTTTCCTCTGGCATCTCCCGGGCTTCTTTCTATTCTAAGATTCATTTGTAAGTTTTGATTCCACTCAGACATTTTCCTCTAATAATGATGTTTTATCATTATTTGCACAGACAGAGGAAAATTGTATCTAAAACCCATGAAACACCAACGAAATAATAGTCAACTCCTAGTCAGTAAAGTGATGGATACTTAGTTTGATAATGATTCTTCTTCCAGCTGGTTTTTGAACATCTGGGATGTGCAATAAAAATAACCGGGACAGAAGGAGGAAGTAAAAGCTACACTAGTCAATTCTGACTCAGTACTTTTCAAAATAATCTGTGAAGTAGGATAAAATGAAGTAAAAAATAAAATTAGACTTTTGAATATTTAGCTGACATTAATGATCATCATACTCATTGTATAAAGATAAATGAGAGTTGGCATGATTCACAAGTCTCTGCATTATACATGTATTTCAAAGGAAGCCCTCCCATTACCTTTCACAAAGAGGTTGGCTTGAGTTTTGAAATCTTTGGCTGTTAGTTGGACTTCCCCAGCATCTTCTAACTTTACATCTCTCAGGGTAAGCGTATGAACTTTTCCTTCCGAACGTGTGACCACCTAGTTGTTTTGTAAAAAAAAAAGGGGGGGGGCATTTAAGAATACAGGAAACAGTAATCCAGTCTATAGGAGCATTTCATTCATTTAGGTAAACAGCTTGAAGTAGAGCTGTCCAAATTGTTTTATAATCATGTGTATAGCATATGATTATTTAAAAAGTTTTAACCAATAGTGGAATTTTCAAGAAAACTTTAGGTTTTCATAGTTACCTTTACATAGTTACAAGGAGGCCTTTTACACTGAGATTGTCTAGGCCAATTTCTGTTTATACCTGTGGTCTTTTTTGCTATACATGCACGCGCACACACACACACACACGCACAAAACATGTGCCTGGATTCTGCTCCTGGGTATGTATATATTTTGTTTTCCTAATTTGAAAAAGCAAAATCATGAAAGGGAAAAAAATATCATAAGCTGAATGTAAACCTTACGTTTTAAACACAAGGTGTTTGCCATGTAACAATGAGCTACAACTGTTTGTGCAGCAGGAATCCTCACGACCCTGACAAGAGTACAGCCACCCTGGTAGGATAGCTAGCAAGAGAAAGCAGGTCAGAGATCAAACCACTTGACCACAGCAACCCCTTCCCCACACCCCTGGAATGTCTCAAGGCCAGTGTTTCTGGGAAACACTAGAGCGCATAATCTCCTACCCTGGTCCTGGCTGACACTAGAGAAAAGACCCTGGTGCCAGATTCACACCTTTGCAGAAGGGAGTAATTCTAAAATGGGTCCCTGACACAGCATCATTCACTCTGCAGAAAAAGATGACACCTCTCACCTGCATTCCAACTACATCGAGAAAAGCCTTCTTGAGACTATGTGAAAATGAGCTGACTCTTGGTCAGACACCACCCTGCTCCTTCTAATAAAGCCTTTCCTAAATCCCTGGACTGGCCTCCTCTCCTTGCAGACCCTCACCCAGACCCTACTCCTAAATCTCTCACTCTTTTTCCCATTTATGTTAGCAGTTAAGTTTATTTTCCAAACCAGATAAACCTATGTGAAAATAATTCTTTCTTCATTTTGTTCAAAACTGCAAAGATGTTACCTTTTCTTCTCTTTTCCTATGTTTGAGTAAGTATTGGGGGGGGGGGAGGCTACAGAAGAGGTGCTGGTAAAGATAAGAGAATTGAGAGTTCTTCTAGTTCTATGATCTAAAATGTGTAAGAATCTATACCCTGCTATCCAGATTTATTTCTGCACGTTTTGAGTTAAAAATCATGTAAAAGTTTTTACGGCTGGAACTATTTCTTATGCTGGTGCGAAGGAAAGAATCACAAATAAGGTTTCATTTTAATTAAGGTTTTCCTTAATTAAGAGCTGGGCATGGTTATTCATACGATTACCCTAAAAATTGAGATTGGCCAAGGAAAAACAACAGATAGGAAGGTAATGAAGATGTGTCCTAGGAACAAAGTTACGAATTCAAATCTATGGTACTTAAATGAGAAAAATTTCATTTTTTAATGACTTTTTTTTTTATTGAATGGTAACTATGTACATTAATGCACTTCTGGGGTACAGTGTGGGGTTTTCACATGCAATCCGAAATACTTCCATCAAACTGGTCAACACAGCCTTCATGTCATTTTCTCAATTATTGTTTTAAAATGTTCACATTCTACTCTTAGAAAGAATTTTAATGACATTTTAATATAAATTTTGGACTGTGATTTTTGGCTATTTTGAAAAGTATCTCAATTTCTAATTCACTACAGATATATCTTATCTACTAACATATTGCTTTTTAATCTGAATTCCTCAGGGTTACTACAGAATGTTCTCTGTTACCAAGCACATCTCTCAGAGCACAGTGGTTCTCAGCAAATAACCTGTATCAATCTACTTTGACTATATTAAAAGAAAATAAGAAGGAAAAAGTAACTGCCACCTTATAAAAACAAACCAATGAAATGAATGCTGAAGATTTTCTGGTGGATTCTGTAAGGATACTATTAGAGATTATCCTTTTAAAATACTAATAATGGAAGCTCATTAAGACTGTGACTAAACCACTGAAGTTTAAATCCAAGTTTATCAAAGGCATTTAAGATCTAGCAGCCCTTTCTAAAAGTGACAGCTTAAAACACAAAACAAAAGATAAAAGAAAGAAAAAAAAGGCAAACCACTCATTTCTAAAATTTTCTCTTCACCTTTCCTATTCTTATAACTGTTTTATTTGGTTGGGGTTGTAATTTTGGGGGCTAAAAATTTGCAAAAAGTGAAGATTAAAGGCCCAAATTGACACGAGCAAGTTTATTCTGATAGACTGTAAAATGCAATAAAAGCAAAGCCTGTAAAATGTAAGAAAATGATTTTATTACTTCACAAGGTTCTATTTAAGTTCTTTTTGAGAAAGAGACATTTAAGCAATGTAGAAGCAAGCTCATAAAAGGCTGAAGTATGTTGGGTGGCTAAAGGATTAAAATTCCTATGCCAAGAGAGACACAAGAGGCCCTATAAAAGTATAGTAAACTGATCCTTTTTAACTCCAGAAAAATTTTTTAGCAACAGTTAGAGCTAAATTAGATTTCAGCTAGAAATAAAATTTAACAGTTAGATTTCTTTTCTTTCTTTCTTTTTTTCTGAATAAAAGAAATGTGAGTAACATTTTTGAGTAGTCTGCACTTTCAATAAAATAGTATGGCTTCTGCATTAAAACTAAGATTGATCTTCCAATAAAAAGCTCTTAATTTGGCCAAAAGATATTTAGAAGCTAAAGAATAACATCATTTGTCCTTAAGTATGCAAATTATGAATTTATAGAACTAGAAAGAATTGTGAAAAGTAGCCCAACTCTCTGCTTTTATGTATTTATTTTATTATTCTTTTCAGAGATGTGCTCTTGCTTTGTCACCCTGGCTGAAGTACAGTGACACGATCATAGCTCACAGTAGCCTGGAACTCCTGGGCACAAGTGGTCCTCTCACCTCAGCCTCCCAGGTAGCTGGGACCACAGGTATAAGCCACTGCATCAGGCTAACTGCTTTTAGACATGAAGTTAATCAAACCACACTTAATAGGAAAAGAATTCGTAAAATAAAGGTAGAGATGCCCTCATCACCTAGTTTAAAACTTAGAAGACCTCACTGAAAGGAAGGCTTTCTGATATGCAACTTAATTTTCAAGCTACAATTTGACTATACTGCTGATTTTCCTAGTTAGTAAAAAAAAGATGAAAAAGTTCTCCTTATTATTTGTGTAACAGGCAGACCTTATCTATCAGAGGACTGTTAATGAATTAATCCCTTTTGTAGAATACTAGTTTTATGATTGGTTTTAAGGCAGTTGCTTAAAGGCGTTGCTTTGGCTCTTTGTTAAATGAATCTTTCAAAAATGATATTCCTTTATATTATCAAAGTTTGATTCATGTTGCGGTCTTGATACCACACTCTATATTATTTCTGAAATATTAGGGGAAAATGCCATAGAGCACATGTACTGTCCTTTGCTTTGCTTCCACCCCATGCTGGATGTATTTTATATATTTTATTTCAAGAATTCAAAATCAAGATAATGTAAACACGTCCATAGTGGACAAAATATATAGGTCAATTTAGGCAAATTGCACTTTGGCCTATTTGAATAATCCTTTATTTCACTTACTGCTAACATCTTGGGCATAGAGAACGCTAGTGAAAGCTGACACTGGGAGCTGGCTATTTACCAAAAGTTCTTGAAATATATCCATTCATACATGTGGAGGACCACAGCCACCCTTCTTTCTTGTCAGTACCATCAGTTGCACTTTAAATAGTCCATTTGCATTCCAGAATTTGCACAGCTCAAAGCACTTGAAGGTTAAAAATAGCTTTGGAGAAATGCTTAAAGAGCAAATCTGCCGAGAAGTTATCTCAACTACTTGATCAACTGCCTGAAATGGAATTTCAGTCTTCTCCTCTTAATCCCCTTATATGTGGAACACTAGACAATAGGGAATTAACCTTCAAACTTAACCTGCACCATTGTTGCAGAACATCCAATCAGAAAGCCTTTTGATCTTTCCTGTCTTCTGGTTAAACGAATTATCAATGATAGCTAAAGAGTGTTCGTCTTTTCTTCAAAACACAAAAACTTGATCATACTTTAAATTTGTATTTCTATGTCAATAAAAACATCAGGTTAAGCACAAGAAAAATTTGAAAAGTCTGCTTTACGGTTTCAGCAGAAATCAGGTTAGAGGAGGCAGGAAAAAGGCAAACGTGATGGAAGGGACGTTAGAAAGTGCAGAGAAAAAGGAACGCAGAAGTGAAAGCTGAAGATCCCCAGAGGAAAGGGAGCAGTAACACGAGGCACTCATTTGCCTGCTTCTTACCGTATCACTGGGCTCTAGTTTCTTCCCTTTGAGATACCATTCCACTGGGATATCCTCGTAAGACAGCTCGCAGTCGAAAGTGGCTGTTTCCCCTGCAGTCACGGTGACATCCTTTAGGGGCCTCAGAAGACCAATTACTCGTGCTTTTCGGGAGGAAAGAAACAGCTTCGTATTACTCATTTTGTAATTCCAAAAGAATAAATGCAGACTCAGGTATGAATCTCCACGGTTGCTTTCTTCAGGAAGGAAAGAGCCACAGGACTGGCTCCTATTGTAACTCTCGTGTGAGCATGGCCTTGTGGTGCTGCGATGGGGAGAGCTGGTGACTGGGGAGTGGGTATTTGTAGGGCCCTTTGGTTTGGATGTACAAGGTCAGCAAGAATCTGCGCTGCATCTGTCTCTCTGCCAGGCGTCAAGTTCCCCTTGCTACATAAGGTATGTGACTTCCAAAATAACTAAGACTCTGATTGGGAGAGGACAAGGGGCCCTCAATCTCAGAGGCTGTCCATATCCATCAAACAATTTGCACCTTCCAAAAATGTTCACCCAAAGCTCCCGCCTCCCTTCTTGAGTCTGAAATGTCCACACAGCAAAGTTTTCTTTATGGTGCTACAGTGTTCAGCCACTTTAGCAGTTCTGAGTTAGATCCTTACTATATGTATGTCTACTTTCAATGAAAAAATTCCAGATGAGGAAAATCTGACTTGCTAAATTTTCTTTTGTTCAAATGGCAAGGTCAAGTGAATATAAGAAAGCCAGTTTTTGAACTTTAAAAAAAGTTTTCTAATCAAATAATTCCAATTAACTTTGCTCACATTCATTTTTCTGCAAAAGGGTTTCTTTAGTTTTTGGCAAAAATCCATAATACTTACGCTTAACTCGGAGGTGGGCACTAGATTTAACGTTGGCAGCTTGGAAATCTACCCCACCCGTCTGGTCCAGGCGGCAGTTGTGCAAAATGAGGAAATGCACTTTGCCTTCTTCCTTAATCTCACAATCCTGTAGCAAAAAACAGCAAAAGTTTCATAGGAAATCATTTTTCTTGAAGTTTTTATTTTGCCCTAAGGATAGAACCTACAAATAAATGCTGAGGAAATTTTGCATCAACTTTCTTTTGTGAAATCAGGCACTCTTAGAAAAGCAGCATTCACTTTAACTGTATATAATTCTGAACAAACTAGCAGTAACACAGAATCCCTACAAGCTCATTCCCACTCTGCTGGATCAAAAATAACACGGCGTGCCTGTGTGAACCCCTTTACAGCCCATGCCCCTCATTGGCTTAGGGTCTGGCAGAGAACCTGCTCTCTTGTTTTAAACGCCCTGTGCCCACTCTGACTTCCACCTGCTCTTTTCTGTTTCACACAGCTTCTTTAGATGTTGACAAGTTCAGAAATAGCCTTACAGGTGTTTGGAGCAGGGCCTCTCCCTTCAGTTTCCAGTTGGCATGGATATCTTCTTCAGAGATTTCTGTTTCAAAGCGGGCTGTCTCCGTTTCTATCACCTCCACGCTGTGCAGCGGCCGGACCAGTTTAATTTCCCGATCTGGAACAATGAAAGGTCACACACAGGAGCTGTTAGCCTCTGGCGCAAGTCATTTCAATGGCTTTAAGAGTGAAACTCATAGAGATTTCTTTACCCTCAATGTTAAGTTTTCCCGAGGTTTTATCTGTTCCGCAGTCACAGGTGTACTGTCCGATATCTGATTTCAGAGCTTTCTTTAGGATAAGCATGCGCTTCTTGCCGTCTGCCTTAATGACAGCATTTGGGGACGGTTTTATTTCCTTCCCATCCTTAAACCATTTCACTGGAGCATCTGCTTTGCTAATTTCGCACTGTAGAATCACTTCGTCTTTCTCTACGGCGGTGTAATCTTGAAGCTTTCCTGTAAAGTATGGATCTCCCTCTGCGAGTAAAGTATAAGTAAGAAAATGTTAGTAACCACCTAGGGAAATGACCATCTCTCGGAAAGTTCAAGAGGCAACTCACAGAGCTCTGGGTATATTTTAAAATTGTATCCAGTGTTCAATCCTTTAACATGTTTATGTTCAAAAGTTCTCTAAATATTAGAAAGGGAATCCATGCATGCAATTTACCAAGATCTAGTCCATCTATATTATCTTTTAAAATATTTTAGTAATGGTTGTTTGAAAGAAACTATGAAATTTACCTTCAGATAGAATTATGTGTTCCTCTATTAGTTGACTATATTTTTCTAATTTTTTTTTGGCAACTCTATTATGTCTAGTTTACCTTTAAGCTTTCAGATCCATGTTATTAGTTTTTCTGAATCAATTAATAGTTTGCCTTTAATAGTGTCTATACATGTTAAACTTCATACTTAATTTTCTTGATATTAAGTGGCCAAGAAAAGCAATGAGCTTATTAATGTAGTTCTGTTTTATTTTCTCTAATTAGAAACTTGAAAAATATTTCTCCGAATTATTTTGATGAAGTGAAGACAGGGAAAGTATTTATATATTCCACTTTTAAATACAATAAAGCTCAAGAATTAATTCAGAGTTTTAATTTTGATTTTAACTGGCTATTTTATGGGCCTCAGCTAGAATCTCCATTACTTTTAATTCTTCATATTTTTAGGTAAAAGTGTTTTAGAAATAAGCCTGATATCATATGTGATAGTTGCTTAAGGACTGGGGCTACTTTCAGGCAAAATATGCTTAGAAGACTATTTTATAATAGATTCTGACATATTTATGCTAAATTTAATAAAATAAAATTTAAATTTAAAAAGCACCTACCAAGCACAGTAAGCTTAGCTTCTGAACTTAGCCCCATAGCCTCTACTTTAATTTGGGAGGTGTCATCCATAGACAGGTCTTTGAATGTGATTGAATGAGTTTTCCCTTCATCGTCCATGGAGATCCGCCTGGTGGTGTGCAGGCGCTGGTCATTCTTGAACCATTTAACTCGGATGTTATCGTGGGACAACTCCACGGTAAACACAGCAGTTTCCTTCTCTTTGGCGGTTACATCCTTGAGAGGGGTGAGGAATTTAAGCCGGATTCCTATCAAGAAAAAAAAAAGATCGCATTCATTTCAGTAGTTTATTTTATATAAAAATCAAAGCAAAAATCCCAAGTCAGTTTAGGGGAGGCCTACTGGATAAAGATACTCACCTTCAATAATCAGTTTGCCGCTTGTGTGCTTGTCTTCAGCTTCAAAGATGTACTTTCCTTCATCTTCAAAAGCGGCTGACTTGATCACCATTGAATGTTTCGTGCCATCCTTTATAAGCTCAATTTTGTCATCACCTGTGATTTCCTGGGTTCCTTTTAGCCAACGGAATGTTTTGGGCTCCCGGGACACTTCACACTCAAACTTAGCCTCATCCTTCTCCAAGACTTTGACATCACTGAGAGGTGTGATGAAGATAAGAGGCAGTTCTGAAAGAAAAGGACAGTGGATAAAGTCAGAAATCACTTCTCCTGGTGAGCGCCCCCTGCATGCAGGGGCTTATCGGAAGTCTTGAAAATGAAGTCAGAATGGTGGCCGATGAGTAGCACCTACCTTTCACTTTCAGATTGGCTGCAGATTTAGCATTAGCAGCCTGGAAGGAAACCTCGCCTGTCATATCCAGCTGACAGTTGTAAAGAATCAGAGTGTGCTTCTTCCCATCTTCAATGATTTCACAATCCTGTTTGGAGCGAGGATGAGAAGAAAAGAAAGAACAGCATTTACAGAAATAGTTATTCCTCCAAATCGTCAAAAGATTTCAGCCCTTTCTTTATCCTGAACCACCGTGCAACCCCCTTCCTGTATGATCAGCTAATCTTGACTTACAGGGGAAGCAGTCAGAGGCTGCCCTTTTAACTTCCACTGGCCATGAACATCTGGCTCAGAAAGCTCAACTTCAAAGCGGGCTGTTTCACCAACGAACAGCTCTACTCCATACAGAGGCTTTTCCACTTTAATTAGTCGAGCTGAAATGATACAAAATTTCATTAATATAACTGAACAAATAAGCTGTGGGTTCCCACGTGGTGAATTTCACACGGTTGAGCAGCTCACCCTCCACAGTCAGGTTGGCCTGTGTCTTGTCTGTACCACAGTCACACATGTATTCGCCTTTATCTTTCAGTTCGGCCTTTTTGATTTTTAAGATGCGGCGCAGGCCGTCTGTCTTGATAGAGTGTTTGGGTGAAGGGACGATCTCTTCCCCATCTTTGAACCATTTCACTGGCACGTCTTTGCTCACTTCGCACTTCAAAATAATCTCATCCTTCTCGACTCCAGTTTTGTCATGTAATTTCACGGTGAAGTAAGGATCAGCCTCTGTAAAAGACATTCAGCAAAACAGCATTATCAGAAGAATGTGAAAACTGAAGTTTATGAAAGAGTAACAGCTTGCAGAATATTTAGTGACGACCCGCGCCCACCGTCCATAAACTGGCTGTCTTTACCTATGACCTTTAGATGTGCGGTGGAGCTCAGGTCCTTGACTTGGGCTTTTATCTGAGAGATGTCATCCAGCGTCACTTCTCTCATTTCCAATTTGTGGGTCTTGCCCTCGGAGGAGATGAGGACTGTTCTGCTTGTGTGGAGTTTGGCATCATTTTTGAACCAGACCACGTGCATTTTTTCATGAGAAAGCTCACAAACAAAAGTGGCTGTTTCACCTTCTTTCACTGTTTGATCTTCAAGAGGTGATATGAATTTCAGTCTGACACCTGCAACACAAGCATGGATAGAAGGCTCAGAAACTCAGTGGATCTCCAGAAAGAGTCCGCTCTGACCTGCCTAAATAGAAGGGACCTATTTTATGGGGCATTTATTTTATTCATCTTTCGAAGTAGAGCTCCATTTAAGAACATGAAGGGGGTTGTTCTGGTGATCTGTGAAAGTTAAGTAGGGGTGCTGAATGTCACAGCTTTTACAACTTGGTGTTCTCTCTGTAAAGTCAAATGTTGATACGCCTGCATGTGACATAGCACAGATCTCAGCTCTCTCACCTGTAACAAATAACCGTGCTGAGGTCTTCTTGCCCTCCACCTCAGCCGTGTATACGCCTTCATCATCAAATTGAGAATCATTGATAACAAGAATGTGCTTCTTCCCATCGGCGATGATATCAAATTTGTCAGATGACTTGATTATATCTGGTCCTTTTGACCATATAACATTTGCCTCTCTGGTGAGGACACATTCGAATCGAGCCTGTCGCCTTTCTGGAACAGTGACATCCTTCAGGGGCACAGCAAAGTCAAGTTCGATTTCTGAAAAGCAAACATAAAGAGTGAGGGTTTTCCAGAATGCAGAGGGATGTGACATGAGGTTGAGCCCCCTTCGGGAGTTCTGAGAGCCCCGTACCTTTTACTGTCAAAATGGCGGTTGTAATTGCATTGAGGGCCTGGTACAGGACTTCACCAGCTTGGTCCAGTTTGACTTTGTGCAAAGTTAAGAAGCGTTTTCCTCCTTCTGCTTTAATTTCACAGGTCTGAAAAACAATAGTTCTAGCTAGCATTTGAAAGAATTCCCCTAGAGGAGAAATGTTTCAGGTACAGGTTCTATGAAGTTAAAAACAATTACTACTAATACAAGTAAGCAGGACATCACCTGTCATAAAATTTTACAAAATTGTCTAAGTTGTCCACAAATACTGCATCAAATTCTTTCCCTTCTTTGAGACGTTAGAAGCCCAAAGTAATTCTATTGAAACCAAATCTAGAAGTCACATGTGAATGTGGGGTATATAGTTAGTTTGTATGAGCAACAACTTCATATGGGAAATGACTCACAGGTGAGGGCCTTAGCAGCTCTCCCTTCAGTTTCCATTGTCCAGGAATGTCTGCCTCAGAGATCTCTGCATCGAAGCTTGCACTTTCCTTCTCATAAATGGTAACATCCTCTATTGGTTTAAGCAGTTCAACTTCACGGTCTGTATTGATCAGGGATAAAGTAACACAATGCTTTAAGCAATCAAGCAGCACTTTGCTTTCATGTTTTTTGATGTGTTATTTTGCCTCATGCATACAAAAAACTTATCTTTCAGAAAAAAGGTAAGATTTTCATACCTCCAAGTGTCAGCTTTGCTGGGTATCTTTTCCCTTCAATTTCCACTGCGTATTCACCAATATCTTCTGGCATGGCATTCTTGATTTTGAGGAATAGATGGTTTCCATCTCTCAGTATTTCAGTCTTGTCAGTTGGTTCCAGCGGGAGTTCATCATAGCCTTTGAACCACTTAATGTTTGGAGTATCTTTAGCTATGTCACAGGCGAATATAGCTGTGCCCTTGGGTTTCACATGCTGGTCTCGGATAGGTTTCACCAGCCAATCTCTTATGACTTCTGTATAGAAATGAAGTCAGAGAAGTGATTATGATCTGAACAAGTAATATCTAGAACTTGCTAAGTAAATTTCAGAAAACATTTTGCAAAACTGAACTGCTATGATATATTGCTATTTCCCCTCTTACATAAGGTATGAGACTTCTGATACTCTAATATTGGAAAACAAAGTCCTTTCTTCCACTTTTTCAGTGTCAGGATGAGCAGAACAAAATGCCCCAGCAAGGTACTAACCTACTACTTTTACACAAGACGAGCATTCGAGGTTGTTGGCGTTTTCCACAGTAACTGTGTATGTCCCAGCATCTGTGTCATCGGCGTCATTGATGGTCAGGGCTCGCAACAAGCCGATGACACCGGGCACGATTCGACCAGGTTTCTCCACCACAATCTTGCCATCCTTCCTCCAGACCACATCACGCTCTTTGTTTAACTCACAGCTTAAGTACAAGGGCTGTCCTTTGACCACGGTGACTTCCTCCTCCAGGGTTTTCACAAAACGCACGGGAAGTTCTGTGGGGAATTTGGGTATATGTGTCAATACATACAACATTTCCAAGGCAATAAAACTTGGAAATTAGACATCTTATCAAAAACTATGGTGAACGTTGCTACTAAGGTTTATTGTAGTTAAGTATAACAGAGATCCCATTCAGAAGACTGGAAATTACCTTCTACGACGAGTTTAGCTGTGGAGGTCTTTTCTTTGTTTCCCAAACGTAAAACACAGGTGTATTCGCCAGCATCGGAAAGCTGCACGTCAATGATGTGTAGCTTTCTGTCTTTGCCATCTGCGATGAACCTGTGCTTTGGGCTCTCGCGGATATTGCTGCCGTCTTTCATCCAGGTTGTGATTGCAGTGGAGGGAGAGACTAAACACTCAAAGATGGCAGAAGAGCCAACAAACTCAGACTCGGTCAAGACGATGTCTTGGATTTCTTTCACAAACTTCAGTGGCACAGCCTTTAGCTGGTAGGAGAATGGTGCCTCATCGGGAGGTTTCTCCCCACCACTGCCTGGCCTTAGCTTTTTCCTCTCGATTTCTATGGGTGAAGGGGTCTTCTTGGCTACACCTAATTCAAAGTAAAATGAAAAGTTGATAAGGCTTCTTCATAGGAGTCAGAAAGCATGCACTTGTCTGCCTGCTGGATAAAATCAGCCACAAAGCAATTAAGAGACAAGAACAGAAAATTAAAGACCAGATCATTGAAAGGTCAATTGAATTCATCAGCCTTCTTTCCGATAGGAACATGAGATGGTAGAAGGAATCCAGGAATAATGAATGCTCTTCATTTTCTCAAGTTTTAATCCTAAGTATAAAGTATCCAGATTCATGTCTAATTATGTTATCTGCTATGTGTAAATATCATGCGTGTAAAAAAGGAGGCTGAGAATTTATAGGATTCATTATACTAAAATATAGTTGGTTATACATTTAATATCTATTTGCATAATATTAGAAATATAGTATTTGAAATATCAGAAAATATGCTAGTTTTAGCCTATTCAGTTAGAAATAATAAAGATACATTTAAAAAAATTTTTTTTCCCTTTAATGGTAAGCTTGGAAGTCCACAGAATGAAAAGCTACAAGGGATTCGAATCTTACCTTTAATGGGACCTTTGGGTTTGGCAGCCTCCTCCTTAGGCTTGGCTTCTGAAATAAGAAGAAAACTCAGCATTTAAAATATTTTCAGACTTATTTTATTTTTAATAGTACACTGGGCAGAGCAAGTCATGTTCTTTTAAATAAATATTAATGCATAAAGAAATGTTGGTTTCATTTGTATGACTTTTATGGAGAATACTTTGATATTCAGAGATTGATAAGACCAAGCTAAACTGACAACACATTTAGGATTAAAAAAATTCTTTCAGCAAATGTCTTTATTTTCTTCCCATTTTTGGAGGGCTTACTCTTGCCTGGTTTGGAAGAGTTTTGTTCATGCCTAGCTATGCAAAATATTCTATATGTTTTTATATGTGTTGGTTATGTGAACCAAGGACCAGTGTAGGAAAAAGGAAAATGTCCCCAGAGGTACAAAAACACCTTTCTTTTGGTGTTTGAGTTAAGAAGACAAACAAATTCAGGGAAAACATGGGTCTAGGTGTCACACATACATAACGTGCCAAAAAAAGGGCATACATATTTTAAGGAAAAAAAAACCATGTTAAAATTATAATACTCAAGTCATGTTTGACTTCTGCAGTAATAAGAGGTCTTCAAACGTGACTTTTATTCATCTTTTGTTTTTGACATATATTGAGATTGCAATTTTAATACAGTTTTTTGCTTTCTCAAAATATGTATGCATTTTTTGGAACCCTCTGTATAGGGGTTCCTTGGAGGATTTCCCTTAGACAATGAACTAAGGCAGAAGTAAGAGACTTCCTACATTTTAGTTTGATTCAGTTATCGATGTAGGGTCAGTTTAAACTGTAAAACTAGCTCACCAGCTTCAGCCCCTAGGATGTGAGAACAGCTTTATTTTTTACACATACTTAATTAGTCCAATGGGCAGTTCATGACTGTTTTCTGAACTAATAGAGGTACAACACTGAAATTATAAAAGTTTAAAAGAATAATGTCTAAATCATAAACATCAGTGATAAAATATAAATATTAAAAATTAAGCTTACCCAAAACAATATGCTATAGCATATTCTTTCATGTCACAAAACACAATGAAAATTCAAGTATTTTGAGATAATTTGAAATAAAAAGTTTTTCTGGGTAATTAAAAAAGTATTTTATAAGTGATTATTGTGTAATATATAGTAGGTAGCATGTAAATATAAAATATATGATATATAGTTAATAATCTATATAAATAATACAATTTTTTTCTAAATGATTTTAAATAAAAATTTAAAAAGGTTAGGCAACTTGCCAAAGGTCAAATACTTAAGATGTGTATTTATCAGTGATTTATAATTATACCTCTGATTAGTTTTGGTTTTCAAATTCATATACAACTAATAAGTACCGTAAGTTTGGATTTGAGGTATCTGTACCATAAAGTTAGTACATTTAAGAAAATTATTATTGATATAAATGCTTACATATATTTAAAGGCTAAAATTATATAGTCTTTTTTCTTTTTTTATCATAGTAAAACAAATCTAACATAAAAGTTATCATTTGAGCCATTTTAAGTGTACAATTTGATTGCATTGAGTATATTCACATTGTTGTACAACCATCAGCACTACACATTTACAGAACATTTTCATTCATGATTCATCTAGGGACGAGGGAAATCTGAAACTCTATGGGATCCCTGCGTATATGCTGTTAAGAGGGTATCTATTTCCTTAGTTTTCATCATCCCTAAACATATTCATTACTTAATCCCCAAAGCATATGAACGAAATGCAGGAACATACACTCCAACCAAACACAGTACGCAGCCACTGGGCAAGAGAGAAGGTGGGGAAAGGATATCAGACAAAGAAAAGGTGGGGGCTTATCATGTTCCCCCATCGTTGAAATGGCGCCTGTGTTCCATAATAGGACTTGAATTTTAATTGAGTATGAATATTTTTATTAAGCCACCAAAACAAACTAGCAAAAAGAAAAGTTACAGGATAAATACCTGCTTTCTTTCCAACCACCGGCACCGTCACGGGGGCAGCGATGGGCGTTGGTGTGGGCTCCATGGGAGGTGGTTTGATTGTTTTCACTTCTGTAGAGAGATGTCCATTGTATTAATGTTTCCATTTATCACTTCCTGAAAGCTTATTTGGTGGTCTGTTTGCCTTTTCTGATATAACTTTGAAATCCTCAAATTAACTAGTTTTCAGAGAATAATGCACTAAGCTTGTAGTCACCACCCCCCATTCCACAGACCGATACTGGTCCCTGGCCTGTTAGAAACCGGGCTGCACGTGAGGAGGTCAGTGGTTAGGCGAGCAAGTGAAGCCTCCTCTGTATTTACAGCCACTCTGTGTTGCCTGCATCATCAACTGAGCTCTGCCTCCTGTCACATCAGGGGTGGCATTAGATTCTCAAAGGAGTTCAAACCCTACTCATGCCAGGGATCTAGGCTGGGCATATCTTAAGAGAATCCAATTCCTGCCCCAGCCCATAGAAAAATTGTCTTCCATGAAATGGGTCCCTGGTACCAAAAAGGTTGGAGACCCCTGCATCAAGCATATAGAGACATCAGAAGTCATTTGCTTCATGCTGACTTTCATTTACTTTCTCTTATTAATTACAATGATTGTTTGTATGAGTCATGCAGCATAGGCTGTTGATGCTGAGGACAAGCTTGCTCACCTGGTTCAGGCTTTGGTTTAGCTTCAGGTCCAGGGAGAGGTATTGCTGGCTTAATTTCAGGCACTAAAATAATTCACAGTAATGAGCAGGGTATCATAGTATTTTTGAAGTTTTTCACTAAGTTCAAACCAAAATTAATCACATTTAACATATCTTAGGAGATATTAGAATTTATATCTAAATTTATTTTTCATGTTAAACAAAATACTTGGAAAATACTTAGGCAACTTTATGGGTGGTAATTTTCTTCATCTCACTGCCTGGGAAAATATTTCCCCCCCCACCCCCCGTAATTTATTTAAGAGTTGGGTGATTATTAGCCAATCACACAGGAGAGTGAAAGAGTAAAGACAATTAAGCTGTAAGTGACAACTAGATTGAGGTCCTGTGTTCAAATCTTGATGCCATTGTGATCATTTAAATATTTAAAGTGCTACACATTTGCATTTTAGAGACAACTGGGCAAGTGCCTGTAAGTTTTTACCTTTTGTTGGTTCAGGAATTTTCCTTTCCCTTTTCTTAACAGGAGGCACTTCCACCTCTTCGACGGCTTTTGGAGGCGGTTCTGGTACTTTAAAATAATATTATTTTGCAGAGTTAAGATTTGAATATTTAGAAATCAATTCATATCAAATACCAAATTAAATAATTTGTTTTTCAAAAGCTCGATTGACTAAAAAAACCCCTCTGACAGTCTATCAATTAATTTCCATTTTCTCTTCTTGACTCTGCCTCCATTTATTTTTCTTTCTTTTAGTCCATCCCAGTACTTGCCATCCCCATTAGTTTTCCCTTTCTAAATCATTTCTATAATGGTTCCCAGCCATTGCACCCTTTGGAATAGGCTAATTGGATAAAAACCAACCCACTTAAAAATCTCCCAGATGTTATGAAATCTTTGCCAACACCCTCCCATGAAGTTATTCTGCAGCCAACTTGATTATTTCAGTCGTTTTCCCTGGAAGAACTTAAGTAGCAAAGTAATAATAGGAATGAAGTGCAGGGGAATGCGTGACTGGATTTGGGAATTACTATAAAAATATTTAAACAGAAAGCAGACAGTGGAAAACACAGACTACATCACAGATGAACTACGAAGCTATGCTTATATTTAGCTTCATTTATGTTTACAAGATAAACCTTTTGTGAAGTGTCCATTTCGTTAAAAAATAAGTTTGCAAGTTGTCACTGAGATTCCTACCTGTAGGTTTTTTAACTTTTTCTACTTTTTTCGGTTCTACTTTAGGTTCTTCTTCTTCAGGCCTCTTTCTTAGAACTTTAAAGACAAAAAGGTTTATATGTAAACAAGACAAACGGAGGAAGATGTTGAAATAAGCTTGACGAGCACAAATCATGTACAAAGCAAAGAAATGGAAAGCATGCGACCTGGTGCCCTGCAAAATTAGCACTGACACGAAAAGCTCTTCTTAAAAACCTTTTGAAAATACTCTAATTAATTTATCTTAATTAAATCTTCTCAGAGACAAGACTGTGGCAGAAATAGTTCCCACACAAAATGAATACTTTGAATAGTAATAAATTCTTTTAATAATTCAATGTTACAATTTAATGAGTATGTAAATAAGCAGAAACTTTACTTAAGGCGTTTACCTAAAGACATGTGGCCTAGAAATGGGTCACTCTTTGTGAAGACAATGTTAGAACTTGATTCTTCCTTTGAGTATCTTGCTTCTAATTATTTAATATTTTATTAGTAGGAAAGAAATGTTCAGTTTTTAAAAAATGTTACTTATTAGTTGTGGTGATCTTGTGTCACACTTCCAAGCTGAATACTGAATTTAAGCTTACATAGTTTTCGTGTGAAGTATTTAATAGGTTTAGTGTATTTTACTACGTAATTTGGTTATGACAATGGCAGTCACGGCCATTTTTGTGGTTAGTTTAGAATGTTATTAATTTAGTTGTGCCTATTAATGTGGAAAATTTCAAAATACTGCGAATGCTCACAAATTTCTGTCTTCCTTTTTTTTTTGAAGATTTGAAAATAACAGTCTTCCTAATTTTCAATGAAACTACAAACAAATTTTAATAAATAGGGAAATCTAATTCAAAGAACGGTAAGAGACAGAAACATTTGTAAGCTTTCAAGTTAATTTCTTTATGTTCTTAAAGCTGATAGAAGGTTGAAAATACTATACCGCTTTTCAGAACAACTTCTTCCTTTGGTTGAGGTTTGGGTTCAGGAAGTAATTTGCGAACTTTCTTTTCAACTGAAGGCACTTAAAAAGAATATGATTTGAAATTTTGGAGTGAATTCATATAAAAATGGGATATCAACAAGAAAAAAAGTCTTTCCTAAAACTAGTTAACTATGGTGCATCAAGTCATAATTATGGTGGCATACAAATATCACAGAATTACAAGATAATATACTTTAAATTATTTGCTCTGCAAACATCTACAAAATCTTGTGATGAAATTCAATTACATTAACTGAAGGCAAATACATTGATCTTAAATGAGTGTAGAAGATGCTGTTCTGTCCTGACTTTATGGATCTTTCACCACATTGCAGGCTTGTTGACAGCATCATTGCTCCAACCTGCAATTGCAGATTGCCCAGATCTACACTCATATCTCCCTGACCATTAAATATATTACAGTGATATGGGTAAGCATTAGTATTATCACTCAGTCTTCTCCACCAGTGGAAGTGGAAAGCCAAGGGATTCAGTTTATGACCTTGATACTGGAGAGAGACCATATCACACTTTATAAACAGAAGGGAGGCATCCTTTCTGAAGGTTTCCTTTTAGACATAGTACACAGTAAAAATTATAGAACTGAACAATTTCATAGCTGCTGTTGGAAGTTCATTTTTCATAAATAAGACAATGTTGTTAAATTTAAACTAAGTGACGCAAGGAATTTTAAATTAGTTTCCTCTTGTGTCTATAGTTCATACCAAGCATGATGGACGATTTTATTTTATAGAGCACCCTCTTTTGCTATTATAGCTCTCATGGATTTAAATTGGGGGGGGAGAAAAAACATCTGGTGATTACTGAACCACATTACCTGTCTACTAATGTCAATGAAATCTAATTTGAAACATCATTTATTTGTATCATGTAACCATTGGTTAGCTTATATGAAATCTGAATTTTTTAGATATTTCTATAAAATTTTCCATTTGGTGCTTTAAGCAAGATATTTGCAATTCATTAAATAGTTTTTTATGTGATAAAGATAACCTTGTCTCTTCCAAAATGTAAAACATACGAGGGGCAAATAGGTATTTTATTTTAAATTATCATTTTTTTCTAATGTTAAGTATTTCAAGTAAATATGCTATAGTTAAACATGGAATTTTTTATTCATGTTAAATTGTGCTGGCCTTCAATACTATTTTGGAGGTACCAATACTCTTTTTTTTTTTTTTTTTGAGACAGAGCCTCAAGCTGTCCCCCTGGGTAGAGTGCTATGGCATTACAGCTCACAGCAACCTCCAACTCCTGGGCTCAAGCGAGTCTCCTGCCTCTGCCTCCCAAGTAGCTGGGACCACAGGCGCCCGCCACAACGCCCGGCCATTTTTTGGTTGCAGCCGTCATTGTTGTTTGGCAGGTCCGGGCTGGGGATTCGAACCTGCCACCTTAGGTGTACGTGGCTGGTGCCTTAGCCGGTTGAGCTATAGGCGCCGAGCCGGTACCAATACTCTTAATGTACGACTTGATCAAACTCAAAGAGAAGACCATGCATCTGATTAATGTAAATAGTTATGGCATAATACATATTTCCTTTACTTTATAATGGAAATAGTGAAAATATGTCTGTGCATTTGTTTTTCCATATTATTATTTTATTTTTAATATCTTAGTAATGTTTGGGACTCAGAACACATTGTTGTAGCTATTCTTTTTAAGGTCATTAAATGTCCTTAGATGACATTTTAATGTTTACCAATTAATTTTCATGATAACACTATGTTGTAATCTCTACTTTATGAATCAGGAAATGTATATTCACATGGGTAATTTTTTTCTAAAACTTCAGAATGATCAAGAATGATTCAATTTCTGGGTCTGGAGGTGTTGATTACCTTAAAAGAGAACATTGCTACCCACTAAACTTACTAGAAAAATTAATGAGTTTATTTTGAATAGACATTGTCTACACTTTTATGATTCATTTATTTTTCTTTGTGGTCTAATTAGTATTTTTTTGTGGTCTAATTATTATATTGGAAAAATGCTGTTTAAAGAAAAACAAATTTTGAAAAACGACCTACAATGACAATAAAATTTATCAAAAACTTGAGTTCTGTACATCTGAGCGAATGTCTGGGAGTCGGTGAAAGAGAAAGATCAGAAGGTCATCAGGAAATCCTCATGAATCATCTTAATAATATGGAAGGAGGCTATGATTGCTATTTAGTACTACAACACTGGCTAAATTGCTGATGTTCAGGTGAGATTCTAAAACTTTCCACAACTAGCTCTCAGCATTTTAAGCTAGACATCTCCTGATATCAATTATAGCTAACTAGTAAAATGTAATATTTTTAAGATTAGGAAAATGCAAAAAGACATATGTAGATGAGACAAAGATAAACAATATCTATCCATATAATGTATGATGTTGATGGGAGACAAAAGAAGCAACGCTCATGAGCCAGGACCATAACAGCCACAAAAATTCAATAAGTGAATGAGATCACTCTGATCATTGAGAAAGAGAGAGAGAGAGAGAACATTCTAGGGAGGCAGAAAGAGCAAGGAGGCAGATGAAGGGATAGCACATGGGGATATATTTTCCAGCCTGTGAAATACCTTTCAGAGGTGTAAGCTCCACTTTTTCTGGAACCTCAGGTTTTTCAGGGACTTTCTTCTTTGGAACAGCTTTAAAGAATATGATCTTACTTTTATTATTTGTATATTTAATCTTAAGCAAATGGTTAATTTTCTAGTCTAAGAATCAAAACCAAGCTTTGCACATAACCAGAGAGTTTTAATAAAAGCCAAGAACAGCCTCCAAAGAGCATACAAGAAGCATTCAAACCATGGAAAAAATGGCAGTTTTACCCCAGAATTGAGCAGTAAATTAAAGACTGGCTGAGAAGATAACTTCTTTCTTTACATGGGGAGGAAAATGTCCTTGGAGTATAAATTTTACATTAAGGAAATTCTGTTTAAGTGTATCACTCAGGGAGTATCATTCAACAATTCAACAGATGGGTGGCTTTTTTTTAAAACAGAGATGGGTGGCTTTTTAAGAAGTGCCATCTTTTCTGTATTTGACTTAAAATGCTGGAAGTTCCCCTTAAGGCCAAGGCTGGAAGTTCCTCTTACTGGTCAGGAGGAGAAAGAATCACCAGAAGCAATGTCTGGTGTCACTCTGGAAGATTCTGGGTTTGTAGATGGGTAACTAAGCATGGGAAAAATCTAAGAATACGTCTAGATTGCTTTAGATTAGGGAATCTCATGACATCATAAACAAGATACATTTTTATTAAAAAAAAAAGAAAGATGTGCTTCTGTCAGTTTATTTTAGCATTAAAAGATGTGGGTATTTTTAAAATTAAGTATTATTGTTATCAATTCAAAGAAAAATCAAAACATAAGAAGAAGGAAGAAAAGTTTAATAATTGGAAGAGATGCTGGATACAAAGTGTCTTCATCACCACTCTCTCCAGCTTTCCCTGAAAGCCACCATGGAAGGCAATTGGGTTTTCATTAAGTTGCAAAAAATAAAATTTAAAAAAGTGGCAGGTCATTCGCGTGTGCTCCTTTCATGTTAAGGGAGCGTGTATCAGCTATTGGGCACCATGAATATATTACCTGTGTTTTTAAAAGCACATGCAATTCTTTAGGAAAAAATTCTGACTGTTGCATAAATTTATTACTACACTATAAAAAATATCTTGCGAAGATTTCTTATACAGACATTCCTCATGCATAAGACCTCACAGATATACATAGAATCAGGCTTTGAAATCAGAAAACTCTTTCTCCCCACTGCACATAAGAAAGTTAGTTGGACAGCCCCTATATCCGGATGTCCAGGCTGATGTTAGCAATTCACTTTTTGACATTTGGGGCAGCAGGCAGGAGCCCTGCAGCAGCAGGAAACACACGTCTCTAGGCAATCCCACGGCACAGTCACGTCTGAAAGTACACACTTCCAAGAGTCATGGATTTCTTTCAAGCACCATTTCAGATGGCAGGACAGAGTGTGAAGAACATTAATAAGACTTTGGAAGTGACGTTTTATACCTTTAAGTTGGAACATTTTCTCCTTCACATCTTCCTTAGGTGGGGCAGGAGGAGGAGGTGAAGGTCTTGGTTTGAGCTTTGGTTTCTCAATAACCTTCTTTTCAGGTTCAGGTTCTTGAAAGAGTATTTTAAAAGTATTACTATGTGTATATGTTAGCATGTGGATACATCGTATATTTGCTAGAAATGTAAATTTATTTATATATACCAATATGTATGAAGTAAAATGTTTGCTTCTTTAGACATAGACATACAGTGTCAGTGTCAACATAAAACATGGAGAGGTCAACACTGGGCACGGACGGTGAGACATATGGCAAAGGCACCGGTGGAAACAACAAAGGAAGCCTCCCACCAGGCCACACTGGACATGGATGGTACAAAGTACATGGAAACTTCAGAATGGGGAGCACATTTAAAACGAACAGAACCTTCCCTACAGATACAAAGACATGTAGAACAGTATACGCAATACACATTTCAAGATAAAGAGCATGATGACGAAGATTCGAGTCCAAGTAATTGAATACCTGGTACGGGTACTTCTTCAGGCTGTGGTTCAGGTTCTGGTTCAGGTTCAGGTTTCTCAGGCTCAATATATTTTTCAATTTCCCGTTCTTTAAAGAATTTTGACAAAGGACATAAGATTGTAATGTAACATTCTTCACAAAGACTGACACAAGATTCACACAGAAGCAAAGATTACAATCACAAAAAGAAAAGTATACAATTCATATAAACTCCCTTGCATAGGGAAAGAGGTAAAATTTCCATTTTCTCATGCCTGAACTTACTATTAGCAACTACAAATGACTCGATGGATAGTGATGGCACATGAAATGACTTTTAAAATTTGATTTTGAGTTGTCATTTGAGGATTCAAATCAATTATTTCAGTTTTGCTTTAGTTGACAGTGCCTTTTGGAACCTATAATTACCAATAAGAATGATCAAATGAAAGATTCTCATTCAAAAGAATGTAACTATTTGAAAATGAAGGGGTCAAA